ATTTTATTTTATTTTTATTTTTTATTGTACCAGTGTTTTTTTTTTCTTCTTCTTCTACTATCTCTCTTAATTTAACTCATTTTTTATTTTCAACATTGATTTTATTATTTATTAATTTATTTCTTATTATTTCATACTTTTTAGTCATTTTTTCCTTCTAAATAACTTATTAATTAATTAAATATTTTTTCTTAAATATTTAATAAGTAAAAATTAAATTTGTGATCAAAGTGCATCAGGCTTAGGTTCTGCTTTAGCAAATTGCACTAATCTCTTAGATTTGAAGCTTTATCTTGGGGTAAAAACAGTTTATTTGTTTGGGATTGTGATATTTTTAGTTATAAAAATGAATTTAAAACATTATAATTCTTTTGATTTATTAATTAGCTTTTATTTAATTTATTTTTCTTTTTATTTTTTATTGTACTTGTGTTTTATTCTAACTCATTTTTTATTTGCAACATTTGCTTTAATTATTTATTTATTTATTTATTTATTAATTCATTTCTAATTATTTTATATTTTTTTGTTCATTTTTCCCTTCTAAATAACTAACTAATTATATATATTTTCTTCAATTTTTAAAAAGAATGAATTAAATTAGTGCAACAGGTGTATTAGGCTTAGGTTTTGCTTTAACAAATTGCTCTAATCTCTCGAGTTTGATACTTGATCTTTAGTAAAAACCGTGTTTTTGTTTTGGATTATAATAATTTTAGTTCTAAAAATGAATTTAAAACAATATAACTAAGATTTTAATTTGTATATTTCTTAGCTGCTTTTTATTTATTAGCTTAATTTTTCTTTGTATTTTTTCTTTCACTTTTTTTTTTAATTCATTTTTAATTTTCAATATTTTCTTTTATTGTTTATTTATTATTTGATTTCTTATTATTTTATATTTTTTCTTCATCTTTTTTGTTTTAAATAACTAATTAATTATATGTTTTTTCTTCATATTTAATTAGTAGAAATTAAATTAATGATTAGGGAGCATTACATTTAAGTAATGCTTTAGTAAAATGCACTAATCTCTCAAATTTGAAGCTTAATCTTGGGTAAAAATATTTAGAATTGTGATATTTTAGCTTTTAAAATCAATTTAAAGCAATTTAACTCTTTTAATTTGTTTATTTGTTAACTTTTTATTTAATTTATTTTCTTTTTTATTGTATTTATGTTTTTTCTTCTTCTATCTCTCTTAATTTAGCTTGTTTTTTTATTTTGAACATTTGATTTTATTATTTATTTATTTATTCATTTCTTATTATTTCATATTTTTTCTTCTAAATAAATAAATTATTTATATTTTTTCTTCTATAATTTAAAAAGAGATAATTAAATAAGTGCAGTAGGTGTATCAGGCTTAGGTTTTGCTTTAAAAAATTGCATTAATCTCTCAAATTTAACTCTTGATCTTTAGTAAAAACAGTTTATTTGTTTTGGATTATGATATTTTTAGTTATAAAAAGTTTATTAGCATTTATTTGATTTACTTTTCTTTTTATTTTTTATTGAACTTATGTTTTTTTTCTTCTATTTTTTCTTAATTTAACTCATTTTATATTTTCAATATTTGCTTTTATTATTTAATAATCCATTTCTTATTATTTCATTTTTTTTTTCAATTTTTTCCTTCTCAATAGCTATTTAAATAATTATATATTTTTTCTTCAATTTTTAAAAAGTAGAAATTAAATTGGTGATAGAATAGAATAGAAATACTCGCACATGTAAATGCACTCAGAATACGACTTAAAATTAATTTTATTTTTAATGTTTATATATATATTTAATTATGTATTTTTTAGGTGTACAATCATTTTCGTTCTCATAATTAATAATGAAAAGACTAAAGATAAATTTAAGATTTATTTATTTTTTTTTTTGTTTTTTTGATTATTTTGCATACACCCAGTTTCCTCACTTTTTAAAGAGCCTGAAAATTTGATAAAAATAAAATGTAAAATCATTTCCATAAAAAATATTTTTTGGCCATTAATTTATGTGGCTCTTAATTAATGAGGATTTAGAGTAATTCATTTCTTATTATTTCTTTTTTTTTCTTCGTTTTTTACTTCTAAATATCTGCATCAGGCTTAGGTCCTTCTTTAGCAAATAACACTAATCTTTCAAATATGACGCTATATCTTCAGTAAATTCATTTGTTTTGGATTGTGATATTTTTAGTAATAAAAATGAATTTAAACAAAAAAATTATTTTAATTTAATTGTTTATTAGCTTTTTATATAATTTATTTTACTTTACTTGTTCTGGTGTACTTGTATTTTTTTTTCTTCTATCTTTCTTAATTTAACCCATTTTTTTATTTTCAACATTTGCTTCTTTTATTTATTAATTAATTCATTTCATATTTTTTCTTCACTTATATCTTACTAAATAACTTATTAATTAATTTTTTACTTTTTCTACAATATTTAAAAAGATTGAATTAAATTGGTGCAATAGGTGCATCAGGCTTAGGTTCTGCTTTAGCAAATTATACTAATCTCTAGAATTTGACACTTGATCTTAGGTAATAACAATTTATTTATTTTGTATTGTGATATTTAAAGTTATAAAAATGAATCTAAAAAAAAAACTATTTAATTTGTATCTTTGTTAGCTTTTTATTTAATTGATTTTTCTTTTTCTTTTTTATTGTACTTGTATTTATTTTCTTCTTCTATCTTTCTTAATATAACTCATTATTTATTTTCAGCATTTTCTTTTATCATTTATTAATTTATTTCCAATTATTTCATATTTTTCTTCACTTTTTCCTTCTAAATAACTTAATAAATTATATATTTTTTCTTTAATATTTAAAAAGATCGAATTAAATTGGTGCAATAGGTGCATCAGACTTAGGTTCTGCTTTAGCAAATTGCATTAATATCTCAAATTTAACACTTGATCTTTAGTAAAAACACTTTATTTGTTTTGGATTGTGATATTTTTAGTTATGAAAATTAATTTAAAATAAAATAGATCTTTTTATTTGTATGTTTATTAGCTTTTTATTTAATTAATTTTTATTATATTAGTGTTTTTCCTTCTTCTCTTTCTCTTGAATTAACTAATTATTATATTTTCAACATTTGCTTTTATTAAATTTCTTCTTCATTTTTTCCTTCTAAATAACTAATTAATTAGATATTTTTTCTTCCATATTTAAAAAGTGACAATTAAATTGGTGATTAAGGTGTATCAGGCTTAGGTTTAGCTATAGCAAATTGCACTAATCTCTCAATTTTGAAACTTGATCTTTAGTAAAAATAGTTTATTTGTTTTGAATTGAGATATTTTAAGTTATAAAAATGAATTTAATACAATTTAACTCTTTTAATTTGTTTATTAACTTTTTTTTCTTCTTTTTTTCTTAATTTAACCCATCCTATTACTTCATACTTTATCTTCAATATTTAAAAAGTAGAAATTTTATTGGTGATGAAGGTGTATCAGTCTTAGGTTATGCTTTAGCAAATTGCACTACTCTCTCAAATTTGACACTTATTTTTATGTAAATTCAGTTTAATTGTTTGGAATTGTGATATTTTTACTTATAAAATTGAATTGAAAACAATACAACTCTTTTAATTTGTTTATTTGTTAGCTTTTTATTTATCTTTTTCATTTGTAATTGTGTTTTTTCTTCTTTTATTTCTCTAAATTTAATTCATTATTTTATTTTCAACAAATTTTATTATTTATTAATTCATTTCTTATTATTTCAAATTTTTTCTTCATTTTCCCTTCTAAATAACTAATTAATTATATATTATTTCTTCAATATTTAAAAAGTGATAACTAAATTGGTGCAACAGGTGCATCAGGCTTAGGTTTTGCTTTATCAAATTGCACTAATCTCTCAAATTTGACACTTTATCTTAGGTAAAAACAGTTTATTTGTTTTGTTTTGGATTGGATTGTGATATTTTTATTTATAAAAATTAATTTAAAAAAAAATTAACTCTTTTAATTTGTTTATTATCTTTTATTTGATTTATTTTTCTTTTATTTGTGTTTGTTTTTTTTTTCTATCTATCTATCTATCTATCTATCTATCTGATTTTTTATTTTTAATATTTTATTTTATTATTTATTAATTAATTTCTTATTATTTGATATTTTTTCTTCAATATTTAATAAGGAAAAATTAAATTATTGATTAAGGTGCATCAGGCTTAGGTTCTGCTTTAGTAAATTACACTAATCTCTCAAGCTTAATACTTGATCTTAGGTAAAAAAAGTTTATTTATTTTTGATTGTGATAATTTTAGTTATAAAAATGAATTTAAAAAATTACAAATAACTCTTTTAATTTGTAAGGTTATTAGCTTTATGTTAATTTATTTTTCTTTTTATTATTTATTATACTTGTATTTTTTTTCTTCTTCTACCTTTTTTAATTTAACTCATTTTTTTGTTTTTAAAATTTTTTTTTATTATTTATTAATTCATTTCTTATTATTTTATGTTTTTTCCTTAAAATAACTAATTAATTATATGTTTTTTTTTCTTCAATATTTAAAAAGTTTCAATAAAATTGGTGATTAAGGTTCATCAGACTTAGGTTCTGCTTTAGCAAATTGCACTCATCTCTTAAATTTGAAGCTTTATCTTAGGTAAAAAAAAGTTTATTTGTTTGTACTTGTGATATTTTTAGATATAAAAATGAATTTAAAACAATATAAACTCTTTTAATTTATTTATTTATTAAGTTTTTATTTATTTTCTTTATCTTTTTTATTCTGCTAATCTTTTATTTATTTATTTATTAACAATTTTTAAATATAATTTTTAATTAAAAAATTTTATTCAATTTAATATTTTAATTTAATAACATATAAAAGTAAAAAATATATAAATGAATCAAAACGATTTAAAGTAATAAGCAAGTGTCTTAAATCAAAAAGATTAGTTTTTAAAAAAATACATTTCTATGGATGATAAAATAGTGGTGAAAAATTGATGAATAAATATTAAATATTTGAATAATAGAAAATAATAGGTTATTTTTTATTATATGATATTTCGTAATTAGATAATTTAACCTAAAATATAGATAGGTAGATAAATTTATTTCTTTAAATAATGCATCATTTTAACAAAAAACCAAAGCTTTTAATCTTCAATATTATCCTCTATAATATTAAGGAATAATAGGGGTTACATATTGCAACCCCTGAATTTCTATTAATTTAAATAAATAATGTATTCTTAAAATAGTAATAATATTAAGAGAAAAATAACAACTTTTTTATATATTATATATAAATGTCATTTTTTTATACTTTTTAATAAGGATAATTTTTCAATAAGGAGAGTAAAATTTAGAAATAAGTTATCCCTCTTTATAGAAGAGTACCTATGTAGTTATAAGTGTAACCAACCTATCACTGTGTATCTCTCTATTAAATAAAATAATCCTCAATTAACAAAAATTGAATAGAATTAATGGATATGTTAGTTAAATTTAAAATATACTTCCATTGAATATTAAGGTAAAAATTAATGTAAAGTCTTTTCTCAAATTGTAAATTAGCTTGAAATTTTAATTAAAGATGCTTTAAATAAATTAATTTAATACCATTCAAATGTATTTTTTAATTTCAGTAAATTCTTTAAAGTGTAAAATAAATAGCCAAAATCTATATATATTTTTAATTGTTTATTTCTTAAACTTTGTTTAATAAGTAAATAAAATATAATATTTAAATAGAAGAATTTAAAAAATCAAAAGCAAATGAATATATTTTTAACTACAATATCTTATATTTTATTAAGCATATAATTCTTGCATAATTGCTATGCATAGCATTACACAAGTATCTGGAATAACAATGTTACTATTTAAGATGCTTGTATCGACGGATAAAAGAGCACTATTTTACTTTAATAAATAGAAAGTTGTCCCTTTTAAAAAAATTATCTTATTAGTAGCTATTAATCTTATTATATTTAACCTACTTATAGCATTTAAATTTAATAGAAAAACAACTAAATAATATTAAATAGTTAAGGTTTTGGTAAAATTTGTGTTAAATTAGCTGAAATATGCTTGCAAAATGTTAAGATAAAGCAAATTAATATAATAAATAAGAGCTTTTTAAACATAAGTAATTTATATAGTTATAATGACTCATTTTCTAATTCTACTTAAGGTTTAATTGCACATTCATTCTTAACAGGATTTTCTTAAGAGAACAGTTCTCCATTTTATATAAACACACTTCCAATAGCAAATTCTTCTAACTCATTTAATTTTACTTTTCTATTTTCATAATTGCCTATGGAATTAGATATAAATTATATAAGCTACCCACGCGAATAATACTAACCTAAACCAGACCTATATTATAGAATATTCTCTCAACTTAAAACCTATTTTGTTACTTCTCAGGCTAATTATTCTTAATTCAACTAAAAAATTAATAATATAGAATACACTTGTTGGATTTACAAAAATTTTACACTGGGAACTGATTTAAATAACACATTGTATGGGATTTCAGGCATTTAAACTGATAATGGTACTTTAAATTACAAAATTTTTTTTAATTAAACTGTAAGTTAATATTAGAGCTGCTAGTAGCTCAATTAAAAACTCAAAATTTAGACCTTATAATTTCAAATGATTAATTGTTAATTAAGTTACACAGATAAGCAGATTAGTTTTAACGATGCTTGTATTTCTCAATGTCCTGATGGATATTTCAAAGCTTAAGATTCAATTAGGAATATTTTTATATGTTCTCCTTGCGATTCATCTTGCAACATCTGCGTTGGACCGTCATAAACCTAATGTTGTACTTCTACTTAATAATTTCTTTATAATAACCTATGTTAAACAGAATTCCCATTATAAACTAATTGCTAATATGTAAATGACAACCTTTACAATTGTTAAAAATGTAAATCTACATGCAAAAACTACTGCGATGCTAATGGATAATGTCTAAGCTCCTGCCAAATAAAAAATTCCCAATTAATTTGCACATGTGAAAATTCATCTTACTATTACAATATTCTGCAAAGAATATGTATTCTTCGTCCCTAATAAAAAAACTGTTAGTCTGTAAGTTAAAATAGTCCCGAATGCGTAGTCTGCGATTAAGGTTATTTTCTGCACCAAGGAATCTGCACTTTTTGCGCCAAGTAATTTTTTAAGTTTTATAAATTGTTTGATAAAAACCAATCATTTGATTAATTATTAATTCAATAAATATAGTGGTAAGTACGCAAATTCAGATAATCAATGTCTCTAAACTTGCCCTAAATATTGTATCATATGTCGAAATAGTACAACATGCTAATAATACGATGAAACAGTACCATGTCATATAAACTGCTCTACTTGTTCTAAGCCTGGATCTTAGAATTCATGCACTTCTTGCAAATCAAAAACTCGATAACTAAATAATTAAACAAATACATGCGACTGTATTGAAGGATACTAAGAATCAGAAAAATAAGATTGTGAACTAATTCCAAGTCCAATTAGCAATAATATTGCGAATTTCTTAATAAAATACTTGCAAGCATCTATAGGCATTTAACTACCTCTGATTTTGATGCCAATTTAATCATTCTTAAGCTATTCAGTACTTCTTCAACAATAAATTGGAATTCTAAGCCTTAAATAAATAGTAGTAGGTAAAAACTTAAAATAAGAATTACTAAAAAGCTTTAATATTTTCAATTTATTTTTCAATTACTAAACTGAAAATATTGATTCTGATTAAATGAAAGCAAATTTAATATTTACATCATTAATATTATTAACACTTGAAGTCTTGTTAATTATATTAGAAATATTCATCAAAAAGTTTCAATTTAAAACTTTGATTGTAATAATAAGAAATATCTTAATATTAGCTGGTAGGTTTCTAACCACATTTGGAATATTTATGATAATATCTTACTTCTTTTCTCTTAGTAATTAAGATCAGAGTTCTTCAAAAGTTTATATTTATCTTTTGTCATTTAGTATTATGATTAATATAATTTTTTTATTCATTTTTACGTTCTAATTTAAAATTCATCAAAATTAGAATTCTGATAAAGAAAAAGATTCTTTAAAATATTTATTTATAACAAAAGATATTTGTTAAAAGTCAAAACTAAAACTTTATATTTGGTTTTCTCTAGAAGTAAGAAAAATATGTGCAACAATTGTGATTAACTAATATTATAATTATTATGGATTAATAAGTTTAATTACAATTAGCTTAATATTTGTCATAGTATAGATTTACTTCAAAATTTTCGAGTAAAAAATTAAGAGAGCTTATGTAATACTATCAGAAATATTATTCATGATGATGCTTACAATTACAGTAGCATTTTTAAATAAATAATAAACATAAGAATAATATTTTAATAACTTAATCTATGCTCAACTAACATTGTAAGACATACTAATAATAATTATTATTTTTTCGTGGTAAACTGTCAATATAATTTCCTCAATATTGATATACTTTAAGCTTTTTATTCAGGTTTATTAGTTTATAATTTCAAAAAGAGAAGTCACCTCATAGAATTAAAACACAAGCTTAACCATGAATTTTCCTAAAGAAATTGAATTTTGTAAAAATTTTTAATAATTAATTTAATTAAAAAAATAATATTTTTATTATTAAATAGCTGACATAGAATAAATATTGAAAACTGGCCAATAGTTTCATAAGTACAAATTTAATAAATGAAAAATTGAGATTAATTATGAAATTTAAATTAAGAAATCTATATTCACTTCTTATATTTATTTGTTAATTTATTATTAATAAGCTATAAATTAGATTTATATAAAACATAAAAATTTATTTAATTTAGGCATTTAAAACTTTTTTTAAAATTTTAAAAATAAAATTAATACTTTTAAATTATTTTATAATAGTTTTATATATTATAATATTTTTTTTATTTTTAATTTATTTTATTAAAGCTTTTTTCAAATAAAAATAGTAAAAAATTTACTATTTTTTAAAAAAAGCTCTTTGTAATGGTAAAAAATAGACTTTTTTATCTTAACGATAAATATATAAGAATAAATAAATTATTTGAAAAAAATGGTTAAATTTTATGTTTTTTCTTTAAATTGTCTTTTCATCATTTTAATAAATAAAATTTAATCCATTTATAAAATTATTTGATAAATTACTAAGATATTTAATTATAAATAATAAAAGGTAAAGGAAAGAAATTGAAGCTGAATAAGAAGGTAGTTGCTTGCTTTCTGAAATTGGAGATTGTACGCTTAAAGATAAATACAAATAATAATGAAAGAGAAATAAATTGTAACTCTTAATCAAACGTGAATAAAATATTCAATAAATAGTAAGAAAAAAATTGGGTGGAAAATTTAACCTATAGTAATGTAACTAGTTACTTTTCATTATTTAATTTGGAAATAAAAGCTAAATTTGTAAACTAAAACTAGTTTTGTCTTAGTAATTCATATTCCTCTTTACATTAAAAAAAATAAATAGTATTTTTGACTTTTCTATTTTGATTGAATTTTAGCTTACTACTTTTTTTTTCAAAATTCATAAGTAAAAATAAATATAATTCAATCTTAATTTATTTATTTATTTGTTACTCTTCAAGATTTTCTGGCTGACATTACCAAAAACTCAAAATTAAGTACCTTATTTTAATAAATTTTAATTTGCTTGACATGCGTATTTGTGAGTTGGTTTTTTTTAAAGAACTCAACTACCTAGTTCTACCAACTTTTTAACATAGGGGCTTGAATTCGTTAAACAAATAAAATATGAAGGTTACAATTAATATCTGTCAATAAAAAGAAATAATTGTTTGTCTAAGATATTTTATTTATTTCTTTTATATTAATTACATCATTTCCAATACAATCTTATGCAAATTTAAAATTTCTAATTTCCTCACCTTCTTATTCATTCAAATTCTTTGAAGATTGAGTTTAAATCTATATCATACAAGTCAATTTATTAAATTTTTAATTTTAATAATAGAATAGTTAATTTTTTTATAAATTTAATTAAATAGTGGCTAGTCAAAAATATATTTTAAAGTGCTAAATCTATTCTAAATGATATTTATTCTTTTAACCTTTTCATTTTTAATAAATTTGATGCTTCAGTGTCATTAATTTCTTTTATTATCTTCTGCTATTCTAATTAATTATATTGAATTTCTTATCATTTCTTAGAAAATTTTTGTTGAGAGTTGATAAATATTCAAAATTAATTAGCTTAGAGATTTATGAGTGATTCCCTTTTGCCAAATTAGATTTATTTGAAATATTAAATTAATTGATTTCTTGATTACGATTTCTGTTTTTCAGCTGCGAATTCCTTATTAGCTAAAATTATTCGATCTAATTTGTTGTTTTAAATCTTAATTTGAGATTACTCTCCTTTAATTCCAAGAAAATTAGTTTGTGGACACTTTTATGGTATTTCGTAATCCCTTTTGTTAATTATAAATAACACGAATTTAATTTAATCCAATTTTAACTTTACTCCCCACTCATAAATTAATTTAAACAGATTTGTTTCTTTGTTTATTTTTTCTTTGTTATTTGTTTCTTTTATTATTTTTTTGCTTCATTACTATTTTCCACAATCTGAATATCAAGAAGCGAATAAATATCTCGCGATAAGAATATAAAATTTAAAATAAGTATAAATTAATTAAGATTAGAAAAAAATCTGTGAAATGCTTTCTTAGAAAACATTAATCTGCCTCTCATTCATTTTACTCTTAACTCAAGCCTAAGTTTTACCTGGTCTTGATTACATCAAGAGTGGTTACGATGGTACTAAGATCCTCAACGATTAATTGGGTTAGAGCAAGTATCCTATTTTCTAATTTGACCCTTCAAATGGTGAAAACGACTACACTATGAATGGAAAAACTTACAAGGTCCCTATGGCTGTCTAAGCTACTGATCTTTCTATCAGAAAGGAAACTCAATGCGAAGGTATCTTTTACTCTTTCTCTGATTTCTAAAAGAAATACTCTGAATCAATCACTTTTTCTGCTGGTTTTACTATCTCCGAGATCACCCCCTCTCTCAATGTTAACCACTAATTAGACTAATTACACTAAGAAATTACCTAAAATAACAAGGCCGTTTCAGTTTCTTAATCTTACTGGGCCATGTATACCTTGACTACCGCCCCTGCCTTCTTGATGCCATTAAATCCTATGTTCAAGTAATCATTGGATGCCCTCAACAGAATGGCCAGAAACCCCGCTAGCGATACCTAATAAACCATTTACAACCAAGTTATTAACTCTTTCGGTACCCACTTCGTTTCCAGCGTCGTCATGGGAGGTGCTGCTAAAATTTATACCACCATTAACTAAGGATACATCAAGACCCTTGACTTTGAATAAATTAAAACTCAAGTCACTTTAGATGTCAACAATTAAATTTTCAAGTTCAAATTCGGTTACGACTCTACTGATATTACTTAAAGACCAACTGAAAGTTTCAAGAAAAATTCCGATGATATCATCGTTTTCTCTCCCGAAGTTGATCATTTATAAGATCCTAAGGCTTGGTCTACTTGGGAATCTACAGTTCCTATGAAACCCCAACCCGTTAACACCACTGTTTCTTACATTTCTGATTTGGCTTACGAATACCCTGAAGTTCAAGCTCATTTAAGAAAGACCATCGAATACTACTTAAAGAATAATAAACTTCCTTCTATCGGTGAAATTAATAACACTGCTTGATTGATAGATTTAAGTAAAGTCAATATTAAAAATGAAATTCTTACTTGTAATAAATGATGAATTAATAACTAATATTTGTGTTATATAGCATTCTATATTTCAAAATTGATATGATAAAATCTAACAAATAATCAACTTCAATTATTTGCTTTAAAAAAATTAAATAAATACCTATTTCAATTTTAGAATTTTTTACAAAAAATATTATTTTATTAATTCATAAAATAGCAAAAAAAAATACTTACTAAACATTTTTATTATCTACAAAATGAAAAACTAAAAAAAAATAAGAAAAATTTGAATGATAAAAGCAACTTCAAAGCTTTTTTATTTATTATTATCATTTTACATTTATCTAAATATACTTAATTTAAAGTAAAATAAAGCAGCGTAAATAATTAAAAAATACCTTACTTATTTTTATTTAAAACTCAATTTAAATTACAATTTGTGAAATTCTCAACAAATTTAATGCTTACTTACATACTTACTTACAAATATATATTACAGAAGAAAAAGCTAAATCATAAAGACTTTTAAAAGATTATCAATAAATAATATCAGCTTTTTGTAAATAAGGGGTCGAAAAAAATAAATTTCGTTACTAATTATCGAAAGAAAATAATTCATATAAAATAATCAAAGAACTTTTATTAGATTTAGTAGAAATGTGAATTAGAAATTTTCTTTCATCAGAAATTAAAAATAAACATATGAGATTGAATTAAAAATAAAGAAATATAGATAGTAAGATTAAATTCCAATTTTTACTTATTAGCTAAAAAAGATTTAAAATTAATTTTAATTTTAAGTAAAATAATTTGATAATATTAGAATCATTACATAAAAAAGTGTATAAAATATACTTTTTTATCAAAAATTCTCAAAATAATAAAGAATTTAAAATCAATTTTAATTATATTTTTATAATTCTATTCGTTTAGAAGAATTGTTAAAATATCTAATTATGACTCTTTTGTTAAAAAAAAAATTACTTGAAATATCAAATGCTTTACTTTAAAAATCGTTATCTATCTAAAACTATAAGTGAATTAGTTAATAAATATTTTTTCTGTTTAAATTTTCTGATATTTTATTAAAAATTTTTTTAAATGTACTCTCAGATCTTAGCTTCTACTTTCAATCTTATCTTTAGTAAGATATCTATTTTTTCAACTTAAATGGCAAATTTATAAGTTTATTTTCAAATTATAAATATTGGGTCAATTGAAATATTGATAAATTTATACTTAGGCTCTTTATTGATATTGAAATATTTTATTCTGTAAAAATAATAAATACTTTTTATGGAATGTATTCAGTTTTAATAGGCTTTATAGAGTATACATATAAAAAGGATGTAAAAATTATAAAAGAAAGATATCATTTGTTTATTAAAGCAGTTAACAACTTTCAAAAAGACTTTCTGTTATTTAAATATAAAATAATTTTCATTTTTTAAATGATTACAATAAAAATTAATGGAGACAAAAATATTATTTTTTCAAAATATGAAAATTATACATTATTACATTCTTTTAGAATAAATAATAATGGAATATAAAAAAATCAAATAATCTATTACACACCTCAATTCAAAAAAATTTAAATTAGTCATTCGAATTAAATAGGTTTTATAATTAAAAGATTTGAATGTGATTGAAAAATTTAAATTTGCTTTATAAAAATTTATCAATAAAAGAATATTTTACTTTATTATATTCTTTTAGAAAAAATTATAATGGAATATAAAAAAAAGACAATATAATCTTTAACAACCTAATATCATTTATTTATCTTCACTACAATTCTATAAAATACAATTACTTGTTTTATAATAAATAAAATAGATTTTTAAAAGATTTAATGGTGTCCTATTTTTAAAAATGTAATATTAGGAAATAAGTAGAAATTAGAAATCGCCTAAAATCAAAAGAAATCTAATTTTAAATAAATTTAAGACTATCAGATTAATTTATCTCTTACCTTTTACAAGATAGTTAAAAAAACCTTAACAAATTAAGATATATCTTATACTTTTTATATAAATATTTTTAAAATTATTAATGAAAAATAGTAATATAAATATTTTTGATAATTGATTAAAATTAATGAAAAAATCTTTTGAACTTAAAATTTTTAAATATATTTTATTAATTTAAATTCTTCTTTTAAAAACATTAAATAATTGTATAATATTTAAATTTTAATAAAATACTATCCAGATTAATATATAAAAAATTTATAATTAATATAGTACAAATGTTTTTATTTATTAATTAATGGATTTATTGAAAATTAATAAACCTTAACCTTCTTAATGTATTTAAAAAGATCTTAAAACTTTGATATATACATAACCAGATTTTGAATGGCATAATTATACTTTAAATATACTTTTAACATATAGAAATCTATTGTAATCATGTATTATAATAAAAGAATATAAATAATAATTTTAAAAATATTTTAATTTTCAATTAATTATATATACACACACTATTATTGATACTCAATTATTAAGGTTTCATTTAATTACGGTAGACTTTTGAGAATTAAAAAAAATTTATTTACAATAAAAAGAATTTTTTTACTCTCTAAAATTTGAAAAAAATTTTCTGTCTGTATTTTGATTAATTTTCATAAGAATTTTAAAACAAAATTAAAAGAAATCAAAAAAAAAAATAAATATAAACGTTCTTGGTTTAAAATATTTATTATTTCTTTCACAAACATAAAAACATAAACTGTTTTATTCACTTTTTTTTCACATAAATTTAAATTAGTTAAAATCCTAAACTCACTAATTATTTACTAATTATATGTTAATAAATAACTATTTTTATGAAAACTAAATGTTCAGTTCTTCTTTCTAGTCTTATTAATATAAGGTAATGTATATTATTTAAAATATTATAATTAGTTTTCTAAATATTTATATTGTAGTATTTTTATAGATAAATAAATTTATATTTATTTAAATTTATTAAAATATGTTTTTTCAACTATCTAAAGTAAGCATTTCTTAATATTTTTTATTCAATTCAATATTAGAAATTAGTTGTTTTCCTTGATCATCACTATTAGTTTATAAATTTCCTATTTCCATTATTGATGTTTCTTTAATATAGTCTTATGTTTTATCTTCATTAATAAACCGATTAGTATCTTTTAAAAAAATATATATAATGTAAAATATAACAATTAAAAAATAAATAAGTATACTTAAAGGGCTATCTTTAGTTCTTCTTGTATAGTAATCCCATTTATCTCTCATGTTTTTAAAAGAATTTTACTTCCTATACAAGGTAGGACTTTCTTATTTACTATTTAAAATAAATCTATTTGTTACTATCTTTTATGTTGATTTAGAAGATGCAATTTAAGTTCGTAAATTAAAATGTTATTGTACTGATTCTATGCCATAAAAATTATGATTTTTAAAATATTCAACTAACATTTTGACTTTACTTTTAACAATTTTTAATTTTATTAACGATTTAATTTTATTTTTATTTTCTATTTGAATATTTTCAAACAAAGATGGATATTTCTACTTAAAATAAATTAAACAATTTTCTATTTTGTTCCTTTTTAATTAATCACTTGAGATAGTTCTTGAGCTTATACCAAAAGCTAATTATAGAATGTATTTCAAATTAAGAGAAATTAGAAATATACATAATATGGCTTATTAGTATGGATTTGATACATTTTAAATTACTGAAGTTAAATTTAATGATAAAGCACATATTATAGCAGATTTCTACAAGATACTATTAAAGTTTTTGCTAATATATGGTTTGAATTTGAATATTACAAATATTTTAAATAAAAGAGCAACATTCATCAAGCATATCTTTTTTAAAAAATAAAAATTAGCATTAAAAGAATATTGAGTTATAATGTATTTAAGAAAATTTTGCAAAAAAATAAAATTTTTAATTTATAATTAAGAACTTACCTTAAGTACTTCGTTCTATTGCATCAATATTGAAATTATAATAAGCAATGATTTATATACTAATTTACCAAACTCCCAATAATATAATTTTTCTTTGTATCCTGCAAATATAAATGAATATTTTATTTCAATAAATATTGACCATTTTTTTAACTTTCCTTATTTTATTTTAATAAAAAGAAACAGAGGAATTATTATCACCCAAAGAACTAATAATGGTAGACTAAAGTAAAATATAAAAGGTTTGTGATATTTAGGATCGAAACATCTTATATTTATATCTAAATCTAAGTAGCTTTTATCACCTATCTGTATGCAATTCAAAGATCTACTTACAAGTATAATAACCATAGGGAAAAAGTAGAGATAAATAAAGATGCAAGCTGTGTTTAGATAATTAAGTATAATTTTATTTTTTTTGATATATTTTTAGAAAAATCCATATATTAGGAAGATAAAAAACTATGAAAAAGGTAAATTTAGAGACCACAAAAATTAATAAAACCATAAAGGTTAAAGATTAGGGTATTTTGACAATAAGCAGTCAATAGATTTACTTGATACACTTAAAGAATTTCCAGATAGCTAAATTGGAATTTTAAAATAACTAGGGAGACTAAAAGACAAACAACTAATCAAAGATAAAATTTATAAATGATCTGTTAGAATTTTGGATAGTATTTAAGGTTTATCAGACTGTCTTACTAATAAATATAAAATAATAAATTAATATTAAATATTGATGAATAAATTACGTGTTGATCCTAAAAATAATATATTTGCTTTATTGATAAAGTAACCAGCTAATTTAGCCTATAGCTTTCTAATGTTATTTTATAAAATTGCAAAAATATAGAAAAAGATAAAAAAATATATCAATATATTTTCTATAATAACAAGAGCTAAACTGTCTTCACATTCATAGCATTTCCCAGAACTAAAGATTTCTGAATATTGTTTTCCCCATAATTCTCCATAAGTATCACAAGAATAGCAAAGTGGGCCTCTATGACCTTCTAAACAATAATCCTTTAAAAATTTTATTTTTTGGTTTAATTAAAAAGCATTGTTTAATTTTTAGTAGTAATTTATAATTTAAAACTTTTAAAATTAATACTTGCTGCAGTTATTTATTTATAAATGAAACAACTCAAATTGGCTATTCAAAAAAAATTTTAATAAATTTATATCATTATTTAGGAATAAATCTTATAGAAATTATTAAATTTACTTTAGAGTTTTTAGACTCAGGCAGACAAGAGCTAGGATTAAAACTGCAATATAATATTTAATCTGTTTATATATTTTCCCTCCAATATCCATTTTTTAAAAGTATTGTTGATTTATAACATTTAATAGCTGAGTCAGGACATTACGAACATACTGTATCATGTATATTTAAAGAGTACTTTCCTTCAGGACAATCTTCACAGATTGTTGAATTACTTTATAATTTAGTAATTTATCCTTAAGAACATTTATCAAAATAAATTTTGATATTTTATTTAAGTTATCCTTATTGTAAATAATTATTCCCATTTGAATCCATAAGCTAAGGAAAATTATTTGAAACAATTTCTAGTGTCATACTATTTTCTGGTTTGAACATAATTTAACCATTTAGCTCAAATCCACTATCTCCAAATTATTTTGATTATAGTTCTCCTACTAACTATATCTATTAATTAGTTTTATCCCATTAAAAAGAAACTTATATTGAATCAATTATGGTTTATACATCATAGCTATATTAAATATACTAGCTTTGATTATTAATTGAAATTACTATTGGATTATTCTCTTCATCTAGCATTTATATATTTTTGAAATATATTTTATCACCACTTTTAAATTATTTAATATTTATCATTCGATTTTAGGTTTATATTATAGCATGTTCTTAGGATACTTTAATATCATTTATATTTATTTTTATACTTCTTAGAGTTGAACCAAAATTTTTTCCATATATCTTTGCATAGTTTTAAGATATAATATTGTTCAAATTTTTTCCTTTTTAAAATTCTAAAATAAAATCTGGTATTATTTATTCATAATATATTGCACCACCTATTTAAGCTTTATTCGATGAAAGGGTTGAATTTTACAGTACCATATTAGAATTATAAAGGTTTATTGCACCTCCTGTTGAGTAATAGGCTTCATTATTAATAAATTCACTTTAAAAAATAACTAAATTTCCTGGTGTGATTTTATTCTAAATACTGATAGCACCTCCTTTTTATTTTAAACATTTATTTTAATAAAATCTAGTATTATTTATTTAAATAATAGTATTATCTATTGCATAAATAGATCCACCAAACCCTTAACTATTGGTATTATTTTTAAAAATGCTATTAGTAACTAAAACTTTGTTGCATTAATTTAATAATATTATTGAAGATTAGATATTACTATATAGATAAATATCTTTTACTTTAATCCCATCAAGCAAAAGATTATCTATATTTTTTAATTCAATTAGTTAATTTTATATTTTAGAATCAAAAAATAAGCAAGACTTTATCAAAGTATCTCCAATATAATCTTGTTGATCAATAAATACTATTTACATTTAGTTATTTATAGAATTTAAATTTTAAATATTGTTATTATTACATTTAAGAATTATTATTAAAGACACTTAACTATCTAATGGACTTTCATTTTATTATTAAGTAAATTTTGAATTTTATATTGTAAAATTAGTAATAACTAATTTTTATGAAACAATATAAAAGCAATTTAAAGACATTTATAATTAGTTTATATTTATGTCGTAAATTTCTGTGCTATTTACTTGAGAGATAAATTAAATGTCTATTGAATTAGTTATGTTTATATTTTTTAATTAATAATTTTTGGATAAGTATTATTAAGTATCTAATTCTAGAGATTAAACTTAAATTAATTTCATCTGCTCTGAATTTGATAAACTAATATTTTCAATTTGAGAAATTTGTGACCCTTATATATCAAATATCTAAGAAATATTAACTGAATCAATTAGAATATTACTAATGCTTAAAGTATTTGTTAGAATTATTTAAAATGCTATTATTTCATTTGATTAAAAAATAGTCAAATTAGAAATAACTATTTATTTATTATTTTACATTTTAAAAATTTAATAATTATTAGCATTATTAACATAGACTTATTTAACAATAACATTAGTGTTGTTGTTTATACTAAATATGCAATCTAAAGTTTAATCTCCAAATATATAAATATCTTCAATAACTACTAGCTCACTATTCTATATTATTATTAGATTTTAACTCTAAAAACCATTTTTTAATGTAAGATTTTGCAAATAAACCTTGTCAAAATTTGATAAAATAAGTGATTCTTATATTTCTACTGTCATATTAAACATTTAAAAGCTTTTCATTTAATAATTTTTATTTAAGAATAAATTGTTAAGTATCATTAAATTCATGTTTTTTAAATAAAAATTTTATATAAGTGATGAATAGTTAGTATCGTTAGTCCAGTAAACATTAATAAATTAAGAATTAGAATAGCTAACTAAACTCATTTCATAATTTTAATCTAAATTCCCTTTATTAATTTAATTAAAATTTACAGTTTACAAATATTATCCATCTTGATATTCTATTTCGATAAGAGTGAGCTTCTAATTAGAATTTGAATTTTATAAATTTGTCAAACTTTATATTAGTGTCATATTTGTGTAAATGTTTTCAAGGGGTCTATTTTATTATTAAATACCTATATAGCATGTTTAGTTCTATTATAAAGGTATTGTTAAGCGATGTGTACTTTCATACGAACAGAGTAACAGATCTAAATAATTCTATAAACTTGAATTTTAAACAATTTACATATTCAGTAGCTTCTAATAACTTTGATTAGTTTCATATATTAATTTATAATCAGTTAAAGCATCCATTTAAATAACAGAAAATTTAAATTTTTAAATTATTATAAAGTAGTTATTATACCTGGTGTTAATAAAATTTTAAACTTCTTAAATTCCATGATTAATTTATGGGAATTACTACTAGAAACTTAGCCCATTATAAATTATAATGTCATTAGGACATATGGAGTATACAAAATCAGAATCATAAGAAATAATTGCTTATTTTAAACAAGCATTTTAAATATTTGTTATCAAATTTAATGTATATGAAAACACTAATGTATTCCCTTAGTTATTAACCATATATATGAGTTTTCTAAAAGGATCACCTACAATATTAGTTATTTAAGAATAATAAACATAATAAGAATTTATTATCTATTTGGTTCCGACATTTATTATTTAGACATTTAAGTCGTTTAATCCTTAAGTTACTATGCATATAAGCTTTTAATCTTATTCTTAGCTATCATTGTTATTATATCTTTCTTCATAGTCAAATGGAACATTCCACCAATTCGTAGAGTAATTATCATAATCTTTAAATTATAGTTTAAAAACAAACTTAATTAGAGAATCACTTGGAAAAAGCCATTAGTAATTTTAGTTTTAAATATAATTATATATTTATATTGTGTTAGTAGAGGGAAGAATAATAAAATCGCTTAAAATAAAAGATTGAGTAGTATCTCCTTCATTAAAATTGAATAAAAAAGTTTCTATAGGATTCGTATTGTTTAAGTTTAATTAGCTTAGCTATAAATTTTATTAGTACAACATAAATATTTGATTTCTCACTTGATCATAGAAGTAATTATCAGGTAAACTAAATATGTTTATTTGCATACATATTTCTAGTTTAATCTCTTCAAAATCAACTTTAACTATAGTTAAATTTTTAAACTAAAAAAATAAAAATATGCTATCATTTATTAATATTAATTATTAAAAGTAAGGATATATGCTAATTGAAGAAGTTTCAAAGAATAACGTATCAACTATCTAAGCATTTTAAAATAAATTAATAGATAAATTAACAATACTATAGCTAACTGATAATTGTTTCCCCATAAATAAGTTTTAAATTTTCTGGTATTGAAGTAGATTAGTTTCACTTGCATAAAGAATTTCAGTTAGATCAAAAGAAATTATATGAGTATTTGTTTAAACAACTAATAATGATAGTTAAGTGTTTAAATATGTTTATAAAATAGGTGCATCATTATATTTTTATAAGGAAATGGTTTCAATAAACTAAATAGTAGGATATTTATATGTATAAATAAAATATTATGAATATAGAAAAACTATATTTTTATTTTCGTCCATTAAGATACCTTAAATTTAATCTGTTTTGATATTAATAATAGATACTTCTTAGGTTAAATAATTGCAAAGATAAATATTAGGAGTATAATCTGCTATTATTAAAGTTGTTTTATTTTAGTAATAATAATTAGCATCTTTAGCATATTAGTTTGCAGTTTCGTATATAAATAATTAATTATTTCCTGGAATATTTATTATATTAATTTAAGAAAGTGAATTAGTGATTCCAATCAAGATATTATAATTAAAATCATAAAATAGATTTGTGATATTATATCTATAATCAAATAAATATTTAAATTATTCATTCTTATTTAATTTAAAATAGTTTAAATCTTTGGAATAAAAAGCTACAATTAACTAATATTTCATATTTATCAAAGGAATCATTTTCCAAACATTCTAATTAATTCCAATATACTTTTATTATTTTCAATAAATAAATAAATAAATAAAATTTTTATAATATAATTTAAAAAGTTTACACTTTAATCAAATGCATCTATGAGATTACCAGTTATTAAATTGTATATTTAAATATATGGAAAATATTTTACTATTACATTTTCTTCACACTTTACAAAAAATAGTATCTCTCTTTGATTATATGTTTTTAAATTTATCTAAGTTAAATTATTTATCTATTTTTAATAATAAAATGTAAAAATCTTTATTAAATAATTAAAAAACAATACCTATATTATATAGATAAGTTATTAGATAGATTTAACAACTATCACTTTTTAAATAGGGCAATAATAGTACTCAGAAATGTTTGATTCTAATGTTGATAGTAGTTATAATTATGGGTTCGCCTATAAGCTTTAAAGATAAATTTTTTCATTTTAAACCCATATAAAAGAAACTTAATCCCAATTAACAATGGTTACTTTAAGATTAAACTGTACATCTAATTTTATTTTTATTACTTCTGAAATAGTTTATAAGATATTATAAATTATTAACTGGTTTTAGACATTATCATATAGGGCTATTTTATTGTTTTATAATTACATATCTTAAATTGTTAAATTTTAATTAAGATTAAATACATTAAATGGTTAGTTTAACAAATTTTAAAACCAAAAAACGCCATTTTAAGAGTAAAAACAATCAATTTAAGAATTATCATCTAGAATTACATTCCCTACATAGCTCATACTATCTAGTTAACTTTTAACAATGATCATATTTTCAGTATCAATAATACTTTCTGATTTTTTAATATATTATGAAAATTTATCTAAGGCAAAGACATTCACTTATAAGTTTTTATATAAATCAATATCAGTTTTTGCATGCATTTATTAAAATTATTTTAATTCCATATCAAACTTATAAAAATATATTTGATCATAATAAAATACATACCTATCATTTTTTATTATTGGTAAATAGCCTTAAGCAGATTCAGGATAAAATACTCCTAAATTAAGAATTTTGAATTGTGAAAGGTTAAAGCTATATATGTAAATTAATTAATCTCCAAAAATAAATATTTCTCCTGATTTTTGATAATTTGTTGAAGGAACTTATGAAACTGTAATTTCAAGAGATGTCATTTAATAAACTAATTATTTTTAGCTTATAGAAAAAGGTTACAAATTATTTTCTGAAAAAAATAAATATATTATGTCATTAAAAGCCATAATAGGAGTACAACAGTTATCAGCCAGATAAAATGACAGGTAATATTGCTCACCGAAGCTACATATTTCATCTACCTATTTCAATTATAAATCTATTAGATAGATTATTGATTCAAATGACTCATTTTAGGAAATATAAGCAATCTTATCATCATTTATAATAATAAAATTATCTAATGAAAAGAAATATTATTCTAGGTTCTATATGTATATTTAGCCTGTTTCTAAGCTAAAAATCTGTGGTATATATTAAAGAACTAATAAATTTCTTTTTTCAATGTAGTAAAATTAAGTTTATTAATAGTCTATTTGATAAGAATATTATATAATTTATTTTTGTGAAGATATGTCAATAATATACTCTGTTATATTTTCATTTTCTATTTTCCTCAGTAAAAAGTAATGATTGCTGATAACCTAAATCTCATCAAATAATGCAGAATTATCTTACATTTCCAATTAAAAAAATGCTGTATTTGTTTTTGTATTTTTTTATAAACTTTAGAGGTTATATCTTATTTTTTATACCCCTATAGCTTATTATGAAAACAATTAATTAATTTCATAAATATAAAAAGAATTTATATCTATTAACTTTTAAGTGCTAAATATATTTTAATGTTATATTATGTATGACAAATTTATATCTATGTGATAAAATTTTTGACTTTCATAGGGATTTAATTACTTTATTATTTACGTTTAATCCTTTAAATTATATTATATTCTGATTAGCTTATAGTTAAAACTCGATAACTATATTATTTATGATAAAAATATCTCTATTATATTATTTTTCTTAAAAATAACATTTTATAATTTAAAAAAGTATTTATTAAATTGAAAATTTATTGTTTAAATAAATGAATCAGTCTAATTAGTTTATTCTCTTTGCTATTTCCATAAATAATCTGTTAGATTTAAAAATTATATTTTTTCAGTTATTAAGAATAAAAATGTCGAATTTGTCAATTAATTTTCATAAATATTAAATGAATTTAAGTTCTAATTAGTAATATTAAATGAATATTTAACTCCATCTAATGAAGAATCCAAAACAAGAATTTAGATATTCTAATTGGTTGAATCATATTGTATTATTGAATTCATAAGTTGACTGTATTTTATAATAAACTAGTAAAATGGAGTTGTGTTTAATTTTTCTTCATTAAATTCAGTATAATTAGTAAAAATAAGTTTAGATACGGAATTAACTTCTAGACTATAATCAATTAGAATGCCTATAATATATTAATCTTATTAATATAATTAAATAAGATATAAGTTAGATAATATTAAAGGGTCTGCTAAAAATTTCAACTATCTACTATCTTCTTAAAGAACTCCTATCTAAATTTTACAATAAAATGTTAAAATAATTTAAAATCTATTATTACTATTCTCGAATAATTATTTCTCAAGTGGGAAATATATATTTAGTAGAATAATAAATATTATTTTATAAATTAAACAGAATATAAAATAGTAAAAAAATATATCCAAATAGGCTTAGAGATTGAATAAAAATAAAAAAAGTGAAGAATGTTTGATCAAATATATAATTATTTGATGAAGAAACCTAAATTTGTATTAAAACATTTAATTTTGAGAGTTAAAAAAATATTTTTGATTGATTTTATATGTAAAAAAATTAGATTTATTCATCAAAAATAAATTAAATGTTTGATTAAACATTTTTTCTTTTATCAGGTTTGAAAACCTTTTTTATTTCTTTTAAATTTTTTTTTATTATATATTGCTCTTCTAAATGCATATATACTTCCTACTAAAGAAATAATTATTGGAGAATAGATATGGAATTTCAATATTTACATTGTAGGTGTAAAAACTAGTCTAAAAATAATAACTTATATTATTATATAGCTTTATTACAAACATTCCTTCAATAAACCCGCTGCTAAATTCATAAGTTCTGAATTAATTCTGAATCGCATCATACCAAGCAACTTCGCTCGTACTTGTTTTAAAGAAAACCATTTGATTTAAAGTATCTGTATATAAAACTGAGTAACTATTTTACAAATTATTAATTTCAGATACTATTAAGTTTATAGTTAAATCAATCACTGTTAAAGTATAATTGGCAATACAGCCTCCGTATTTACCTATGATAAAACTTAATTATAAAAAATTTTCACTGTCATCAAAGTATTATTAGTCTTTACTTTAAAATTAGTAAAGAATTCGCTCATAAATTATCTCAAAATTTTAATTAGCAACTGCAAAATAGCATTAATCAGCTCTAATCAGATATTAGTCTACAGAAAAGTTGCCTATTTCCTTAACTATATATTTGAATTATGATGGACTTTAGTCAAATTAAATGCACTATATAACTTTTTCACATATTTAAGAGCTCTGGTTCTAATAATACGATTTTTCGCAACTTTTTACACATTAATCTTATGAATATGGTTATTAAATAAAATCGTATTTTGAAGGACAAATATTTGGTTTAATATTGCATTTTTAGCTTAAATCTATAGTTAAATTTGAGTTACACTTAAGACAAGTTTAGTTAGAATCATATTCGATGCATCCTTAGACTTAGCTTTTTGCGCAAGATTAATTTGAAATCTAAATCTCACCTTACTAGCAGCTTTAAATACAAGTAGAAGTATTAGATAAGCTTTTTAAATAATTTTGAGGGCACGATGTACATTAATTATAATTAACATTAAAGCAATCTAAGCAATTGCTGGAACACGGTAAGCATAATTAACTAACTATATTGAAGATTTGTCCTCTTAAGCACTGAGCATTAACATGTAGTAAATTTATTAAAATTAAAATCAATAAATGATTAAAACTCATAGAAATTTGAATCTATTTATTTGAATATATTACCTTTATTCAGTTGTTTATTTAATTAAATTAGGTAAGTAAGTGAAAGATCTATTGAATTTAAATCTATTTAATATTTTTTTCTTCTTTCTTAATTTTTTAAGCAAAAATAATCTTTAGAATTTTAATGTTTGTCTTTTAAATATAATTTTTTATCTATTAAATTTTGTTATTAAATAATATATCATTTAAATTTTCATTAATAAATAGGTCACCTTTAAATTAATTTCTCTCATGAAAAATATAATAAATTTAAATCTACTAACCTCATTTGTGTTTGGCATAAAGACACCAATAGTCATTTATCATTTTGTTTTGATTTCAAAAAGTTTTTAAAATTATAAAATTTCCAATAGCATTTATTTATATTTTTAATTCATAAAATTTTATTTGTATTTAAAAACCCAATGCTAATATTATTAAAGTTAAGTTTTTAAATAAAAAATACACTTTTTAAATAATTTAAATGTATGAAAAAAATTTTTAATTTTAAAAATTAAATGTTTGATAAAAAAATTAATATTTCTTCATCAAAAAATAAATTAAATATTTGATTAAATATTTTTTTGTTTATTAAGGTTCGAAACCTATTTGTATACCTTTTTTTAAATTTTCTTCTAATATTATTTATTATTTTACTAAATATATATTTCCTACTCCATAATAATAATTCGATTTAGGATAACAATAGATATATAAATAGAAAGATATAGTAAAACTAGTTTTAAAATTTATTTATTTTTCTTTAATAACATTAGATAGTTAATTACAATAGCAAAAAATACTCTAACTAAAAATAGTTAATTGCAGCATTAAAATCGCATGTTTAATTAGTAGAGGATCGAAATGTATAAACAAGATCAAATGAAAGTCAATAAGAGTGTTTTAAATTATGTCAAGCATCATAGATATACTCAAAAAAGAACTTTAGATAAGAGAATCATTTTTTAGAGAGGATGCAATCGTGATTTTAACAATCTAAAACATTAAAGCAATTTTGCTACTGTTTTCCTTTTTGAAGTAACAAATTCTTAAAGAAAAATATACAAACTCTTAAATTTTACATATGTTTTAATTAAAAGAAACAGCTACAATAAATCTAGTATAGAAGAAGAATAACTGCTAAAATTACTTAAGAGGTTAAACATGTTAGGCATTGTTAAAGAATCAATTTATGTATGGAGTTTAATAAAATGAAAAATATAACAAAAATTAAAGAAAGAAATCAAAAAAATATAATTTTTTATGAAGATACAACTTTTTTATTAAAGTAAAAATGATAATTTAGTTATTTCATAATTATTTTTAGTTTCTTAGAAATATTTAAAATTACTTCTACTTTGTGTTTTTTCTTTTCATAATTCATTTTACTCATTTTAATGCAAATATCGTTTATGTGTTTTTATTTTTCTATATTCTGATAAATGAAATTTCAAAAAATCTAAAATAGTAATTAAATAATTTTATTCATTTTAATTAATTTGTTTAAATTGATTTATTCTATTTTAATTTTTTTCAAAGAATTTGTCTAAGTTTTTAATTTTTAATATAAAAAATATAATATTAAATGAATATATTCAAACTATAAGTATTTTATTAAACAATTGAAGAAATTTATTTATTGATTTTTAAATACAAAAATAAAAGTTATTTAGAATATTAATTATTTAAATAAATCATTAAATTTATTTTTTTCAATTTAACTTAGGATTAACAAATTCTATAATTTATTATGTATGAATAGGCTAGATTATTATTAATTAGCATGGGATTGACTATGTAAGCTAAAGTATGATCTTGCTTTAAAATAAATTGCCTTATTAAATGATTTAATATATTAAATCATCCAAAAATAAATAAGAAAGATATACTTTTAAGTAAAAAACTATTCGAGTATGTTTAATTAATCCTTAAAAAATTATTTCTTAATGCTAATAAAATAAGCTAAAAAACACAAGGATCCTTCAACAAATAAAGTATTTACAAAAATAAAGATAGAAGCAAAAAATAATTTTTGAATGAAAAGTAATTTAACTTATTTGGAGGTAGTGAGAAATAAGCATTTTAAGAAGAAATACATAGTGATGAAGAATATGACAATTAAAATGATTTAACGGTATAAAAAAGGTTTTTAAAAAAAACATCTTTTAGATAAAAATACCCAAAAAAATTAACTCAATTCTGTAAAATTAAGCAATTAGAACATGAGCTCAGATTAAGATTAAACTTCAAAAATGAATTAGAATTCAAATAAAATTTATTTTTGGAATCAAAAAGAAGAATCGATATTTGAAAATGTTTCCTAAGATAATAATATTTAAAATTATTTTTAAAAGTAATGACTTGATTGTTTAATTGAAAATTAATTAATTATAAATTCAAGATAAATAACTAACGTTAAAAACATTCTTAAAATTAAAAAAAATACTTTCCATAAAGCTCACTATTCTTCTGAAATTAAAAAAAACTCCATTTCACTCTTGGATTTTGGAAAAATCTGAATTTGGAAGTTCTGCGAATCCGGGTTCTAGGGTAATGAATATTTAAATTATTTTAGAATAAGAAAGTTAAAGAAATTGAGTAGGCTTTATTTTCTTTACTATGCACATATATTTTATTTACTTAGATAAATTATAAATAAAATTAAAAATTTTTTTAAATAAAGATTTTGCAAAAAAGTAATTTGCTAATTTTAAAAAATATGAGCTAATTAGGAATAGATTTTTAATTATGAAATAATAATTTTTTATTAAGATGCTTAAATTATTAATAAACTGCACATAAAATATTTTATACTTTTTGATAAACAGATTTATTTTCTTATTTTCAATAGATACTTATTTAAAATAAAAAATTTAATCATAAAACTAATTTGGTTTTATAAAGCAAACTCAAAGTTTAAAGATTTAAACAAATCTTTAAAATATGATAAAAATTAGAACTATCGATTCAAGTAAGGGCCAAAATATTTGCTTCAAATCAATATTAAATATATTTACCATTTATCACCTAAAATAGAACTAATCTTTTAATCTTTCTAGCTAGTTATCTGAGCAAGTTTTTTCTGGTTTCTTTATATTCGCTAATACCTTGCTAAATTTTTACTAACTTTAGCTTCTATAAAACATAAAATTTGTTTATAAAAGCTAGTAAATCACCAAAAACCAAATTATTTTATTTTGCTATCAAAAGTTAAAATGTCTCTAGATTATTTAGTTAGCTTAAATAATTTCCGATTTCTTAGATTTAAAAACTTGTTATATTATTTTAACCTAAAATTAAAGACAAATACTTTAAATTTGATAATTTAGAAATACTGCTTGCAATATTAATAACTCCAGATCCTATTGATTGATATTCAAAGTTAATTTTTAAATCCTCAATAAATTACAAATTATATATTTAATCTGATAATTTTGAGCTTCCATTCTGAGTAATATTAAAATATGATGGTAATTTTATTTCAATTTCTTTAATTTAAGGTATTAAGTTGATAGACTAAATAGGTAAAAATATATTCTAAAACATTTCTTTTTCATCTAAATTAATGTCAGTCAAAATAATAATTTTACTTCTACAATCAATATTTTTATTTGGATTAGGTATAATTTCATTTTTAATTTAATTTTTCTCTTTACTGAAGATAAAATTTATGCTTTAAGAATTTAAAAGTCTAATTAGATCTACAGATTCAAAAGGAAAATTCTCAGTGATCTCGCTTAAATTAATCTTTATTTAAAATTATTCTAAGTTTTTTAAGCATTTAATGGCCTATGATATTTCTTGAATGCTGTAAGATTTTATCTAGTTATTATTACCAATATTCAAATTCAGCTATTATAAATCTTGCATCATACTTATTGCTTTGCACGCACTGGAAACCCCAATTGAATGTGCAAAATTAAAGTCATCAAACGATAAATCTAGCATATCCAAGTTCAAGTTTTGTATTCCTTCACCTAAAGCGCAAGCTCCTTCTTATTTTATTTTGTTTTCGTTTCCTATCTTAATTTTTAATTATTTTAAATTTGAAAGATGTTAGAATGCTCTTCCAATAGAAACAGCCCCTTCACTTTCTATTGAATCCTATCCAATTTCAAGATGAAGAATATTTAAATTAACTAAATGTTGCAAGCAATTACCGATTTCTATGGCTCCTTATCTTTAAATATTGCATTCGTCAAGAGATAATACAAAATAAGTCAAATTAAAAAGCGATTTTATACCTTATGCCAAACCATGAGCTCCTTCTTCGTTAATTTAGTTAAAATTGCCTATTTACAAGTCTAAGTATTCCAAATGAATTAAACTTTTTAATGAGTTTCCTAAACATTTAGCAGATTGAGTTCCAAATCCATTATTCTTTTAGAAAATTAAAGTTAATTTATTTAATTTTTAAAGATTAGTTAATGAATAGCTTATTAGTTTAGATTAATTATAGCTAAATAAGCTGTTAGATTTAATCATCAAATTAAGTTTATAAACATTTTTAAATTTCTAAATATTTCTCAAAAAATCATCTATTTTTTCTTTTTAATTATTATTAATTAATTACATACAAGCACTTATTTATGATAAACTTAGGTATTAATCCTCTCTATTATATTCAGATAATTGCTTTCCTACTTAATTTTCTGCCTAATCCAATTCTTCCAAAAAAATATTATTATTCTCATCATTTAATTTAAAAGAAGGTTCAATTTATAAATTAAAACTTTAAATGTTTTCACAATACTCCACAAAATCTAAAATACTTACAGAATATTCATTATCGATATTGATAATACCAAATATTTTTTCAAGTTTTTTAAGCTATTTGATCCCTTAAACTATATTATCAAAATTTAGATTATTAATATATGGTAGCATAAAAATCAATGAGAGGTCCTATAAATTTACTAAATGACTTAAACCATTTCCAAAAAAAATAATTTCTGAGGCATCTAATTTTTTATTTGTGTATTTCAAACTCATATTTAAAGTAAGTCTCTCCAATTTTTTTAAATATTAAAAGATATTTCCTATTTCCTTAATGGTATATTTTTCATCTAATGAAATTTAAATGTAAAAATATAACCTCTTTAAATTAACTAAATTTTTAAACATTTCTTCACATTTTTTTGAAAAATCCTCATTCATTTATTATCCATGAAAATTAAGATTTAAATCTTAAATTTAAATAAGATTTTAAATTCCTTCAGTAACTGCTTCAAAATATTTTGGTCCCTGCTCATATACATTTACATCTAAATTCAAATTTGTTAATTTTGTAAGAGAACTAAGAGCTCTACCGAACTCATTATAATTTTAATTATTCTAAAAATTTATTTTAAGACTCAAAGCAGTTAAATTTTTTAATTAAGCTAAGGCTTTAGATAAATCTGATACATTTATTTTATCATTTTCATTACTTTATAAACCACAACGAAAGTTGAAATTTTCAAGATTAGTTAAGTATTTAAAACTTTCAAAAAACTTCTTTTGATTTTCTTAAGAAATATTCACAATTTAAAAAAAATACAAATAAAGCTGCTTTAACTTACTTAAACTCTAGAAACCTAAAGTCAAGCCTTGAACTCCATAATTTGATAGGCTTTCAACTAAACTAAATTTTAAAAATTATAATTTATTCAACGATTGTAAAGATTATCCTAAAGAAAGTATTCCAATTTACTAAATAAAACTTTAATTATTAATATCTATTACTAATGAAATTAGGTTCGTTAATTGCTATACGCCCTCTGCAATAGCTTAAGCTCCTTTTTAATCTATTTAATTGTATTTGCATAAAGTTAAATCAAGGTATTATAATTATTAAAGTTCTCCTAAAGCTTAACCTAGACTTGCAGCCCCTTCATGCCCTACTTAATTATTTTCGTTTATAAAAATCTGCAATTTTATCAAACGCTTCATATTTTTTATACCTTAAGCTAAAGCAGACAAACCAATTGTTCCAATATTACAATTACTATCAACTGTTAATTTAAAGTCAAATAAATTTACTAAATTTTTAAGGCTATTACCTAAACATGAAGCTGCATATTTACCATGGATTTTCTAAGAATTTATTTTCAAATTTAATTATTTAAGTTAAGACATTTAGTTAAATACATCAGCAAAGCTAATTATCGCTTATTCATCATTAAGATAGTACAAACCTTCTATCTATAAACTTTCAAGTTTCTTAAGATTTTTCAAATTTTTGCTGAACTCTATTTAAACTTATGAACTAAAACTGCTTTAATAAGAGATAAAAAAGTTTAATTCTTTTAAATTAATTAAAGATCCCAAAGCTGTTGCTAATTTTATAGCTCCATCGATTTATAACTGTCCTAATAACATATTTAAATGTAATACTTTTAAGTTTTAAAAGTGTTCTAATGCTTTTGCAAAAACTATTAATCCATTTTCTTTAATTTTTTTCCCATCAATATCTAATTAAAATTTTTCCAATTGTTTGATAGATTTTAATTTCTCGCAAAAAAATATAAATCCTTTCTCATCGTATCTATTTTATTGCCCTATTAAAATCTAAAGCTTACTAAGATTAGGAAGTTCTTCAAAAATAGCTCCCAAATATTACAATCCTTCATTTTGAATATAATTATATCCTTCTATCATAATGCTTAGATCAGATAATTTTTTTAAATTTGCAATTGCTTCTGTCAAGTGTAACATTTCTGAATATTCAACATGACAAGATTCATCTATCTGTAAATGTAATATTGAAGCATTTACTAATATTTTCAAACTTTATGCTAATTTTTTATATCCTTCATCACCTATCACTACATTTTTAGAGATTTTGATAAAAATTTAAAAATAATGTCTATACTATTATAGATGATCCACTAATAAATCTAAATATTCTAAAGCTTATAGTTTTATATACTAAAATTAAACAGAAATTGATGATCTCTTTGAGTTTTATTCTAGCTCTTTTTTAAAAAAATCTAATGATTTTGATGATTATGCTATTATCAAATTACTCATTTTAATATCCTAAAATTCTATTAACTTATCTTAATTTTTATTAATATTTAATATGTTTTAATAAAATTCAAAAAGGATAATATTTAAATAATAAATTTGGAAAATAAAAGTATTTGAAAATCATATTACCTTATTCTAATAATATTTATTACAAGCTATATAAACAAAAATATCTAAATTTTTGATTGATGAATTTGAAAATATAATTGTTTGTTTTTATTGCACTAAAAAGTGTAAAATAATTTATTTTATTTATTACATAAACATTTTATTTACTCATATAAAAAGCATATACATACAAGATAAGACTATTTTTATAAAAGAGTGGTGTATTAATGCAGCAAGCTGTTATTACAAAAAATAAGCATTAAATGAGTATATCAGATTATGAATACTCAAACACGTTTATATATAGTTAAGATTTTTTTTTTTGAATACCAGAATAGTCTCCTTTATATTTTATAGATAGGGTGTATGAAACGTATTAAACTGGTTGATAATTTATCAATTAAATGTTAATAAGTGAACTATTTATATGAAAACTTAATGTTGAGTTCCTCTTTCTAGCCTTATCAATATCTCAAAAATATTTAATAATATTTTAAAAAAACTTGAATAAAAAAATAAATTTATAAGCTAATTGTTTTTTAAAATATTTTTAAACATAAAAATTAATTTTCTAAATATTTATATAAAGCATTTTTGCAAATAATAAATTTATATTCATTTATATTTACTTATATATATTTTTAAACTATCTAAATTAAGTATCTCTTAATATTTTTTATTCAATTCTATATTAGAAATTAGTTGTTTTCCTTCATTATCACTATTAGTTTATAAAGTTCCTGCTTCCATAATTGATGTTTCAATAATATAATTTTATGTCTTATCTTCATCAATAAAGCGATTAGTATCTTTAAAAAATATAAAATTTAAAATATAACTAGCAAAATAAATAAGAATACTTAAACAACTATCATTAGTTCTTCTTGTATAGTAATCCCATTTATCTCTCATATTTTTAAATACAAGGTAGGGCTTTCTTATTTACTATTTAAAATAAATTTATTTGTTAATATCTTTTATGTTGATTTAGAAGATATAATTGAAGTTTTTTATAAATTAAAATATTATTGTACTGATTCTATTCCATAAAAATTATGATTTTTAAAATATTCAACTAACATTTTGACTTTATTTTTAACAATTTTTAATTTTATTAGAGATTTAATTTAATTTTCATTTGCTATTTGAATATTTTCAAACAAAGATGGATATTTCTACTTAAAATAAATTAAACAGTTTTCTATTTTGTTTCTTTTAAATTAATATATAGAAAGGAATTATTATCACCCAAATAGCTAATAATGGTAAGTTGAAATAAAATATTAAAGGTTTGTGATATTTATGATCGAAAATTCTTAATTTTATTGATATTCAATATGATTTAATAAAATTCAATAGGCTCAGGAAACTCCATAACCATGTTTGGAAAAATTTTGTCAAAATTCTAAACATTTTTATCTCTTAGCATTGATTCAGAAGTATTTTATATGAGAAACTTCTGTTAGCTACGTTTTTGTACCACACAATGTGCTCCTTCTTATAAATAGAATTTTAATGTTAAAATAATTTATTATATTTTTATACATAAATATTTTATTGACTCATATAAAAACATATAGTTACAAAATAAAATTATTTTAAAAAAAGAGTGAATTCTTAATGCAGCAAGCTGGTAATTAAAAAATAAGCAGGGATGAGTATATCAAATTATGTATATTCAAACACAATGATATATAATTAAGATTTTTTTTTTATGCATTAAACTTAATATTAATTTTGGAATTGTTTTTAGAGCATAATTTGTTAAAATCTTTTTATGGTTGATAATTATTATATTAAATGTTAATAAATAATTCAATTTATGAAAACTAAATTTTTAGTTCCTCTTTCTATCCTAATCAATATTTCTAGATATATTTTTATCAAATTTTTAAAAATTTATATAAAAAAAGAATTTTATAAGGTGGAAAGATTAACTTAATACATAAAAATTATTTATATATAAAAATAGTTTTCTAAATATTTATATAATAGCATTTTTGAGAATAAATTTAAATTCATTTATTTATATCTATTTTTTCAACTATCTAAATTTAGTATTTCTTAATATTTTTTATCTGATTCAATATTAAAAGTTAGTTGTTTTCCTTGATCGCAACTATTAGTTTATAAACTACCTGTTTCCATAATTTATATTTCTTTAATATAATCTTATGTGTTATCTTCATAAGTAAAACGATTAGAATCTTTTATAAATATAAAATATAAAATTTAAAATATAACAATTAAAATAATTAAGTATACTTAAAGGGCTTTCTTTGGTTCCTCTTGTATAGTAATTCCATTTATCTCTCATATTTTTAAAAGAATTTTTCTTCTTAAAGAAGGAAGGACTTTCTTTTTTATCATTTAAAATAAATCTATTTTATAATATATTTTATGTTGATTTAGAAGATATAATTGAAGTTCTTTGTAAATTAAAATGTTATTGTACTGATTCTATGCCATAAAAATTATTATTTTTAAAATATTCAACTAACATTTTAATTTTACTTTTAACAATTTTTAATTTCATTAGAGATTTAATTTTATTTTTATTTTCTATTTGAATATTTTCAAACAAAGATGGATATTTCTATTTAAAATAAATTAAACAATTTTCTATTTTGCTCCTTTTTAATTAATCACTTGAGATAGTTCTTGAGCTTATTCCAACAGCTAATTATAGAATGTATTTCAAATTAAGAAAAATTAGAAATATACATAATAAGGCTTATTAGTATGGATTTGATATATTTTAAATAATTGAACTTAAATTTAATGATAAGGCACATATTATAGCAGATTTCTACAAGATACTATTAAAGTTTTTGCTAATATATGGTTTGAATTTGAATATTACAAATATTTTAAATATGAGAGCAACATTCATCAAGCATATCTTTTTTAAAAAAGAAAAAATTAGCTTAATAAGAACATAAAGTAATTATGTTTTTAAGAAAATTTTACTAAAGAAATAAGAAATCATTATTTAAATATATAATTAAGAACTTACTTTAAGTACTTCATTCTATTGCATCAATATTGAAATTATAATAAGCAACGATTTATATACTAATTTACCAAACTCCCAATAATAAAATTTTTCTTTGTATCCTGCAAATATAAATGAATATTTTATTTCAATAAATATTGACCATTTTTTTAACTTTCCTTATTTTATTTTAATAAAAAGAAACAAAGGAATTATTATCGCCCAAATAAATAATAATGGTAGGCTTAAATAAAATATAAAAGGTTTGTGATATTTAGGATCGAAACATCTTATATTTATATCTAAATCTAGGTAGCTTTTATCTCCTATCTATATGCAATTCAAAGATCTACTTAAGAGTATAATAACCATAGGGAAAAAGTAGAGATAAATAAAGATGCAAGCTGTGTTTAGATAATTAAGTACAATTTTATTTTTTTTGATATATTTTTAGCAAACTCCATATATCAGGTAGAAAAAAAACAATGAAAAAGGTAATATTAGTGACCACAAAAATTAATAAAACCATAAAGGTTAAAGAATAGGGTATTTTGACAATAAACAGTCAATAGATTTACTTGTTACACTTAAAGAATTTCCAGACAGCTAAATTGGAGTTTTAAAATAATTAGGGAGACTGAAAGAAAAACAACTTATCAAAGATAAAATTTATAAATGATCTGTTAGAATTTTGGATACTATTTAAGGTTTATCAGACTGTCTTACTAATAAATATAAAATAATAAATTAATATAGAATATTGATGGATAAATTACGTGTTGATCCTAAAAATAATATATTTGCTTTATTGATAAAGTAACCAGCTAATTTAGCCTAGAGCTTTCTAATTATATTTTTTAAAATTACAAAAATATAGAAAAAGATTGAGATATATATCATTATATTTTCTGTGATAACAAGAGCAAAACTGCCTTCGCATTCATAACATTTCCCAGAACCAAACATTTCTGAATAGTGTTTTCCCCATAATTCTCCATAAGTATCACAAGTATAGCAAAGTGGTCCTCTATATCCTTCTAAACAATAATCCTTTTAAAAAAATTATTTTTTGATTTAATAAAAGAGCTTTTTTTAATTTTTAAGTTTAAGTATTTAATTTATAATCTTTTAAAATTAATACTTGCTGCAATTATTTATTTTGAAATGCAACAATTCAAATTGGTTATTCAAAAAAAAAATTGTAATAAATCTTTTAAATTGTTTAGGAATAAATCTTGTCGAAATTGTCAAATTTACTTTAGAGTTTTTAGACTCAGGTAGACAAGAGCTAGGATTAAAATGACAAAATAATATTTAATCTGTTTATATATTTTCCCTCCAATATCCATTTTTTAAAAGTATTGTTGATTTATAGCATTTAATAGCTGAGTCAGGACATTATGAGCAAACTGTATCATTTATATTCAAAGAGTATTTTCCTTCAGGACAATCTTCACAGATTATTGAATTACTTTATTACTTAGTAATTTATCCTTAAGAACATTTATCAAAATAAATTGTGATATTTTAATAAAGTTATCCTTATTATATATAAATATTGCCTTTTGAATCCATAAGCTAAGGAAAATTATTTGAAACAATTTATAGTGTCATACTATTTTCTGGTTTGAACATAATTTAACCATTTAGCTCAAATCCACTATCTACAAATTATTTTGATTATAGTTCTCCTACTAACTATATCTATTAATTAGTTTTATCCCATTAAAAAGAAACTTATATTGAATCAATTATGGTTTATACATCATAGCTATATTAAATATACTAGCTTTGATTATTAAATGAAATTACTATTGGATTATTCTCTTCATCTAGCATTTATACATTTTTAAAATATATTTTATCACCACTTTTAAATTATTTAACATCAATCATTCCATTTTAGGTTTATATCGTAGCATATTCTTAGGATACTTTAATATCATCAATATTTATTTTTATATTTCTTAGAGTTGAACCAAAATTCTTTCCATATATTTTTGCATAGTTTTAAGATATAATATTGTTCAAATTTTTTCCTTTTTAAAATTCTAAAATAAAATCTGGTATTATTTATTCATAATATATTGCACCACCTATTTAAGCTATATTCAATGAAAGGGTTGAATTTTACAGTATCATATTAGAATTATAAAGGTTTATTGCACCTCCTGTTGAGTAATAAGCTTCATTATTAATAAATTCACTTTAAATAATAATTAAATTTCCTGGTATGATTATATTCTAAATACTGATAGCACCTCCGTTTTATTTTAAACATTTATTTAAATAAAATCTAGTATTATTTATTTAAATAATGCTATTATCTACTGCATAAATAGATCCACCAAACCCTTAACTATTGGTATTATTTTGAAATACACTATTAGTAATTAAAACTAAGTTGCATTACTTTAATAATATTATTGAAGATTAAGCATTATTATATGCATAAATATCTTTTACTTTAATCCCATCAAGCAAAAGATTATCTATATTTTTTAACTCAATCAGTTAATTTTATATTTTAGAATCAAAAAATAAGCAAGACTTTATCTAAGTATCTCCAATATAATCTTGCTGATCAGCAAATAATATTTACATTTAATTATTTATAGAATTAAAATTTTAAATAATGTTTTTATTATATTTAAGAATTATTATTAAAGAAACTTAACTATCTAATGTTCTTTCAGTTTATTATTCAGTCATTTTTGAATTTTATATAGTAAAATTAGTAATAACTAATTGTTATGCAACTATATAAAAGCAATTTAAAGACATTTCTAATTAGCTTATATTTATGTCATAAATTTCTGTGTTGTTTACTTGAGAATTAAATTAAATGTCTATTGAATTAGTTATGTTTATATTTTTTAGTTTATAAATTTTCGATAAGTACTATAAAGTATCTAATTCTAGAGATTAAACTTAAATTAATTTCATCTGCTCTGAATTTGATAAACTAATATTTTCAATTTGTGAAATTTGTGACCCTTGTATATCAAATATCGAAGACAATTTAACTGAATCAATTAGAATATTACTAATGCTTAAAGTATTTGTTAGAATTATTTAAAATGCTTTTATTTCATTTGATTAAAAAATAGTCAAATTAGAAATTACTATTTATTTATTATTTTACATTATAAAAACTTAATAATTATTAGCATTATTAACATAGACTCGTTTAACAATAACATTAGTGTTATTATTTAAAGTAAATATGCAATCTAAAGTTTAATTTCCAAATATATAAATATCTTCAATAACCACTAACTCACTATTCTATATTATTATTTGATTTTAACTCTATTAACTATTTTTTAATATAAGTTTCTGCAAATAAACCTTGCCAAAATTTGATAAAATAAGTGATTCTTATATTTCTACTGTCATATTAAACATTTAAAAGTTTTTCATTTACAAATTTTTATTTAAGTCTACATTGCTAAGTATAATTAAATTCATGTTTTTTAAATAAAAATTTTTTATAAGTGATGAATAGTTAGTATCGTTAGTCCAGTAAACATTAATAAATTAAGAATTAGAATAGCTAACTAAACTCATTTCATAATTTTAATCTAAATTCCCTTCATTAATTTAATTAAAATTTACATTTTACAAATATTATCCATCTTGATATTCTATTTCGATCAGAGTGAGCTTCTAATTAGAATTTGAATTTTATAAATTTGTCAAACTTTATATTAGTGTGATATTTGTGTAAAGATTTTCAAGGGGTCTATTTTATTATTAAATACCTATATAGCATGTTTAATTCTATTATAAAGGTATTGTTAAGCGATGTGTACTTTCATAAGAACATAGTAGCAGATCTAAATAATTCTATAAACTTGAATCTTAAACAATTTACATATTCAGTAGCTTCTAATAACTTTGATTAGTTTCATATATTAATTTATAATCAGTTAAAGCATCCATTTAAATAACAGAAAATTTAAATTTTTAAATTATTATAAAGTAGTTATTATATCTGGTGTTAATCAAATTTTAAGCTTCTTAAATTCCATGGTTAATTTATGGGAATTACTACTAGAAACTTAGACCATTATAAATTATAATGTCATTAGGACATATGGAGTATACAAAATCAGAATCATAAGAAATAATTGCTTATTTTAAACAAGCATTTTAAATATTTGTTATCAAATTTAATGTATATGAAAACACTAATGTATTCCCTTAGTTATTAACCATATATATGAGTTTTCTAAAAGGATCACCTACAATATTAGTTATTTAAGAATAATAAACAAAATAAGAATTTATTGTCTATTTGGTTCCGACATTTATTATTTAAACATTTAAGCTGTTTACTCCTTAAATTACTATGCATATAAGCTTTTAATCTTATTCTTAGCTATCATTGTTATTATATCTTTCTTCATAGTCAAATGGAACATTCCACCAATTTGTAGAGTAATTATCGTAATCTTTAAATTATAGTTTAAAAACAAACTTAATTTGAGAATCACTTGGAAAAAGCAATTAGTAATTTTAGTTTTAAATATAATTATATATTTATATTGTGTTGGTAGAGGGAAGAATAATAAAATCGCTTAAAATAAAAGATTGAGTAGTATCTCCTTCATTAAAAATGAATAAAAAAGTTTCTATAGGATTCGTATTGTTTAAGTTTAAATAGCTTAGCTATAAATTTTATTAGTATAACATAAATATTTGATTTCTCACTTGATCGTAGAAGTAATTATCAGGTAAACTAAATATGTTTATTTGCATACATATTTCTAGTTTAATACCTTCAAAATCAACTTGAACTATAATTAAATTTTTAAATTGAATAAAGAAAAATGTGCTATCTTTCATTAATATTAGCTATTATAAATAAGGATATATGATAAACGAAGAAGTTTCAAAGAATAACGTATCAACTATCTAAGCATTTTAAAATAAATTAAGAGATAAATTAACAATACTATAACTAACTGATAATTATTTTCCTAGAAATAAGTTTTAAATTTTCTAGTATTGAAGTAGATTAGTTTCACTTGCATAAAGAATTTCAGTCAGATCAAAAGAAATTATATGAGTATTCGTCTAAACAATTATTAGTGATAATTAAGTGTTCATATAAGCTTATTAAATAGGTGTATCATTATATTTTTATAAGGAGATTGTTTCAATAAATTCAATGGTAGGATATTTATATGCATAAATAAAATATTATGAAATTAGAAAAACAATACTTTTATTTTCGTCCATTAAGATACCTTATATTTAATATGTTTTGATATTAAAAATAGTAACTTCATGGGTTAAATAATTGTAAAGATAAATGTTAGGAGTATAATCTACTATTATTAAAGTTGTTTGATCTTAGTAATAATAATTAGCATCTTTAGCAAATTAACTTGTAGTTTCGTATATAAATAATTAATTATTTCCTGGAATATTTATTGCGTTAATTTAACAAAGTGAATTAGTGATTCCAATCAAGATATTATGCTTAAAATCATAAAATAGATTTGTGATATTATATCTATAATCAAATAAATATTGAAAATATTATTCATACTTATTTAATTTAAAATAGTTTAAAATTTAGGAATAAAAAACTACAATTAACTAATGTTTCAAATCTATCAAAGGAATGATTTTCTATGTATTCTAATTTTCTCCAACAAACTTTTATTATTTAAAATAAATAAATAAAATTTTTATAATATAATTTTGATAGTTTACGATTTAATCAAATGCATCTATGAGATTTCCAGTTATTAAGTCATATAGTTAAATATATGGATAATATGTTACTATAATGTTTTCTTCACACTTTACAAGAAATAGTAGCTCCTCTTTTTGATTATATTGACTTTTTGTTTTTAAATTTTTCCAATTTTCATTATTTATCTATTTTTAATTATAAAATATAAAATCTTTAATTAAAAAATTAAAAACAATACCTATATTATATGGACAAGTTATTAGATAGATTTAGCAACTATCACTTTTTAAAGAGGACAATAATAGTACTCAGAAACGTTTGATTCTAATTTTGAAATTAGTTATAATTGTGGGTTTGCCTATAAGCTTTAAAGATAAATTTTTTCATTCTAAACCCATATAAAAGAAATTTAATCCCAATTAGTAATAGTTATTTTAAGATTAAATTGTACATCTAAATCTATCTTCTTTACCTCTTAGATAGTTTATAAAACATTATAAAGTATTAATTACTTTTAAGCATTATCATAGAGGGCTATTTTATTGTTTTATAATTACATATCTTAAATTGTTAAATTTTAAGTAAGATTAAATACATTAAATGGTTAGTTTAACAAATTTTAAAACCAAAAAACACCATTTTATGAGTAAAAGCAATCAATTTAAGAATTATCATCAAGAATTACATTCCCTAAATAACTCATACTATCTAGTTAACTTTTAACAATGATCATATTTTCAGTATCAATAATACTTTCTGAATTTTTAACGTATTATGAAAATTTATCTAAAGCATAGACGTTCGCTAAGAAGTTTTTATATAAATCAATATCAGTTTTTGCATGGATTTATTAAAGTTCTTTTAAATCCATATCAAACTTGTAAAAATATATTTGATCATAATAAAATACATACCTATCATTTTTTATTATTGGTAAATAACCTTAAAGAGAGTAATGATAAAATACTCCTAAATTAAGAATTTTAAACTGTGAAAGGTCAAAATTATATACATAAATTAATTAATAGGCAAAAATAAATATTTCTTCTGATTTATGATAATTTGTTGAAGGAAATTATAAAACCTCAATCTCAAAAGATGTCATTTAATAAACTAATTATTTTTAGCTTAAAGAAAAAGGTTGGCAATTATTCTCTGAAAAAAATAAATATATTATGTCATTAAAAGTGATAATAGGAGTACAAAAGTTATCAGCCAGATAAAATTATAGGTAATATTGCTCACCGAAGTTACATATTTCATCTACCTATTTCAATTATAAATCTATTAGATAGATTGTTGATTCAAAGGATTCATTATAGGAAATATAAGCAATCTTATCATCATTTATAATAATAAAATTATCTAATGAAAAGAAATATTATTCTAGGTTTTATATGTATATTTAGCCTGTGTCTAAGCTAAAAATCTGTGGTATATATTAAACAACTAATAAATTTCTTTTTTCAATGTAGTAAAATTTATTATATTAATAGTCTATTTCATAAGAATATTATAGAATTTATTTTTGTGAAGATATGTCAATAATATACTCTGTTATACTTTCATTTTCTATTTTCCTCAGTAAAAAGTAATGATTGCTGATAAGCTAAATCTCATCAAATAATGCAGAATTATCTTACATTTCTAATTAAAAAAATGCAGTATTTGTTTTTGAATTCTTTTATAAACTTTAGAGATTATATTTTATTTTTTATACCCCAATAGCTTATTATGAAAGAAATTAATTAATTTCATAAATATAAAAAGAATTTATATCTATTACCTTTTTAGTGCTAAATATATTTTAATGTTATATTAAGTCTAATGAAAAGAGATCTGTAAGATAAAATTTTTGGCTTTCATAGGGGTTTAATTACTTTATTATTTACGTTTAATCCTTTAAATTATATTATATTCTGATTAGCTTAAAGTTAAAACTCTAAGTCAATATTACTTAAGATAAAAATATCTCTATTATATTATTTTTCTTAAAAATAACATTTTATAATGTTAATTATTGTTGATTTAATTTAAAATCTATGGTTTAAATTAACAAATCAGCCTAATTAGTTTATCCGCTTTGTTATTTCGATATATAATCTGTTAGATTTAAAAATTATATTTTTTCAGTGATTAAGAATAAAAATGTCGAATTTGTCAATTAATTTTCGTAAACTCTAAATGAATTTAAGTTGTTATAAGTAATATTAAATGAAAATTTAACTTCATCTAATGAAGAATCCAAAACAAGAATCTAGATATTTTTATTGTTTGGATCATATTGTATTATTGAATTCGTAAGCTAATTGTATTATATAATAAACTAGTAAAGTGGTACTGAGCTTAATTATTCTTATTTAAATTCAGTATAATTAGTAAATATAAGTTTAGATACTTAATTAACTCTAAGTTGATAATTATTTAGAATGATTATTATTTCTTAATCTTATTAATATAATTAAATAATTTTTTATTAAGGTAATATTAAAGGGTCTGATAAAAATTTCAACTATTTGTTATCTTCTTAAAGAATTGCTATCTATATTTTACAATAAAATTTTATAATAATTTAAAAAATCTATTTTATTTTAATATTTACTAAGTATGTCTAAAAACTGGTGTAAAAATAATAAATTATTTTATTATTTTGTTTTATTAGAAACATTTCTTCAATAATTCCATCTTTAAATTTATATGTCCTGAATTAATTATTAGTCCCATCATACCATGAAATTTTGCTCGTATTTGTATTAAAGAAAACCATTTGGTTTTAAATATCTGTATACAAAACTGTATAACTATTTTGCAAATTATTAATTTCAGATACTATTAAGTTTATAGTTAAATCAATCAATGTTAAAGTAGAGTTGGCAATACAGCCACCGTATTTACCTATGATAAAACTAAATTATTTTCTATCTTCCCCATCTTGAAAGTACTATTCATCTTCAGTTTAGTAAAGAACTCGCTCATATATTATCTCAAAATTTTAATTAGCAACAGCAAAATAGCATTAGCCAGCTCTAATCAGATATTAGTCTTCATAAAAACTGCCTATTTCCTAAACTATATATTTAAATTGCTATGGGCTTTAGTCAAATTAAATGCACTAAATAACTTTTTCACATATTTAAGTGCTCTAATTTTAATAATACGATACTTCACAACTTTTTACGCATTAATCTTATGAGTATGGTTATTAAATAAAATCGTATTCAGAAGGACAAATATTTGGTTTAAGATTGCACCTTTAGTTTAAATCTATAATTAGATTTGAATTACACTTAAGACATGTTTAGTTGGAGTCATATTCGATGCATCCTTAGACTTAGCTTTTGGCACAAGATTCATTTGAGACTTAAATTTCACCTTACTAGCAACTTTAAATACATGTAGAAGTATTAGATAAGCTTTTTAAGTAACTTTGAGGGCATGATGTACATTAATTAGAATTAACATTAAAACAGTCTAAGCAATTGCTAGAACAAGGTAAGCATGACTAACTAACTATATTGAAGATTTGTCCTCTTAAGCACTGAGCATTAACATATAGTAAATTTATGAAAATTGAAGCCAATAAATAACTCAAACACATAGAAATTTAAACCTATTTATTTGAAAATAATACCTTCATTCAGTTATTTATTTAATTAAATTTGACAAGTAAATGATTGATCTCTTGAATTTAAATTTACTTAATTATTTTTTTCTTCTTTCTTTTGTTTTTGAGCAAAAACAATCTTTATGATTTTAGTGTTTGTTTATTATTTAAAATTTTTTATCTATTAAATTTTGTTTTTAAATTATATATCGCTTAATTTTTAATTAATAATTACTACATCTTTAGATTAATTCCTCTAAGAAAAATATAATAAACCTATATTTACTAAGGTTATTAGAGTTAGGGGGAGAAAAACCAACAACAATTTATTTATTTGGTTATGATTTAAAATATATATATATCAATAATATTTCATTTATAATTCAAATCAAACAAATTTTATTTCTTTTTGAAACCACTAATCATTCAATTACTATATTTTTTTTAATTATTTTCAAACAAAATTATAAAATTTAAAATGTAATATCTAATAATCTATTAAAATGGGTAATTATAAAAAATCACAACAACATTTATTGTACTACTAATTATCTAACAAACTAATTTTAAATTAATTTTTTTTAACTACTAGTTTTCTTTTCTTCATTCCTATTATCAAGATAATATAAATATTTAAAGGATGTATTAAGATTTATTTAGAAAGAATGATTAATTTAAAATGAATTACTCTTAAATATTTTACAGACGAACAGAAGTATAGCAAAATCAAAAGGACTGAATTTTTATATTTTTATCTTTTAAATTACGTAAGTTTAATGAACCATATTTTGTTGGAATATTGGTTATGTTTCCCCCCTTTAGATTAATATATATTAGAGGTTAAGAAAATTTCTTCAACTTTTTTATCAGGGTAATACATATAAATAAAGTTAGATATATAGCTATATAAAGAAAAAAATAGATAAATAGATAGATATTTAGACTAATAAATATAAAAATTGATTAAAAGATATAGTAAACCTAATTTGAAAAATTAAGTATTTTTCTTTAATTATATCAATTAGTTAATTGTTATTGCAAAAAATAGTCTTACTTTTAAACAGTTGATTACAGTCAACCAAAAACTCAAATTTTATATTTAATAAGTAAAATGTATAATTAAGTTCAAAGGGAAGTCAATAAGAGCATGATAAATTATCAAAAATATCATAGATATACTAAAAATAGAACTTCAAAGGAGAGGATCATTTTTTAGAGAGGATGTAATAATGATTCTAATAATCTAACAAATTTAAGCAATTTTGCTTCTAACCTTAATAAACAAACTGTTAATATTGACATATGTACTAATTAAAAGAGTAAAAGCAACAATAAATCAAGTATAGAAGAAGAATAACTGCTAAAATAGCTTAAGAAGATAAATATGCTTAGCATTGTAAAAGAATTAATTTATGGAGGTTAATAAAATGAAAAATATAACGAAAGTTAAAGAGTGAAATAAAAAAATAAATAATTTGTTATGGAGATACAACCTTTTTCTTAAAGTAAGAATGATAATTTAGTTATTTTATAATTATCTTTAGTCTTTTTAAAATATTTAAAATTACTTCTACTTTATGTTTATCCTTTTCATCTTTTACTCAATTTAATGCAAATATCTTTATGTGTTTTTATTTTTCTATTTTTTGATCAAAGAAATCTCTAAAAAATCTAAAATGATTATAAAAAAATATTTTTTTGCTTTTCAATGAACTTGTCTAAGTTTTTTTTAATTTTTAATATGATTAATTTATAATTTCAAATGAATATCAGCAAACTAATTATAAGTATTTTATTAAATAAAGGAACATATTTATTTTATTGATTTTAAATGCAAAAATAAAAGTTATTTTGAATATTAATTATTATTTCAATAAATCATTAAATGCATTTCTTCTATTTAACTTAGGGTTAGCAGATTCTCTATTTTATTACATATGCAGAGGCTAGATTATTTTTAGTTAACTTTGGATTACTTAAATAAGCTAAAGAATGGCCTTTTTCTCAAATAAGCTGCCTTATTAAATTATTTAATATATTAGATAATCCAAAAATAAATAAGAAAGTGATCGCTCTAACTAAAAAACCATTCGAATGAGTTTTTAAGGAATTAATGCTTAAAAAATTATGTCCTAATGCTAATAAAATAAGCTAAAAAATGCTAGGATCCTTCAGAAAAAAAATTATTTAGAAAAATAAAGGTAAAAGCTAAAAGAATTTTTGAATGCAAAATAAACTAAATTGCTTGGAGGAAGTGATAAATAAGAATATTATGAAGAAATACAAAGCGATGAAGAATAAGACAATTAAAGAGATTTAACTTTATAAAAAAGGAATTTAAAAAAAAATTTTTTAGATAAATCTATTCAAAAAAATTAACTCAATTCTGTAATATTGTGCAATTAGAGCATGAACTCATATTAAGAATAAACTTCAAAAAGTAATAATTAAGTCTCATCTGATTAGAAATATTAAGAAAGTTCTAGTTTTGAGGAATTGGTACATAAATATAATGAGTAACCAGAGATAAATATTTAGCTAATTAAATTAGCCAACTAGCTATGCTAAAAGTTTTAAATTGAACAATAAAAAATTGATTAAATTTCAACTTAGATAAATTAGCCTAAGGAATAGGAGGATAAATAACAAGAATTTAAATTTCAAAAAACTAAAAAAGATAATAATGTTAAAAATTCATAAGGTATTTGTGCAGAGAATTAAATACAGAGTGAGAGTGAGTTCTAAGAGAATATTGAGCTAGATAAATTAATAACAAAAACAGCTAGAAAAAGAAATTTAAAAAATGAAGATTTAATTTTTTTGTAATCAGTACTTAAGTTAGGTAAATATATTAATAGTGGTGGTGAAGCAGATATTTTTGTCAATATAGAGGAATAGATAGCTTTCAGAATTATCAAATTAGACAAGTTTGATTACCAAAATTATTTTTTGAAGGAGTAACTAAAAGAATTGTATAATATTAAATAATTCTAAGAAGAATAGCATGTTTTAGATTTAACTTTTTCCCATATTATCGAAGATAAGACAAACAACTAAAAATACATAGTTCATATTATGTAGATATGTCCAACGAGTTTAAATAAAGAGTTAACATCTGTAAGCGAGTACAGTTTGAGTTAAGCTTTAAATGTTATTTTTACTTCTCTTCACTTTTTAATAGCACTTAGATAGAAGTATATTTACCACTCAGATATTAAGCCCGGAAATATACTAAAAATTGGAGATTAGTACAAAGTTTCTGATTTTGGTTCATCATAAGTTATTCATTTTAGTTAACCTTTTGCCCAACCTCTAGCGTGCACACCTTATTATACTCCACGTCGCTTCTAAAATCTGCCTTTTTATCACGATATTTATTCGGTAGCTAAGACTATAGAAATTGTCTTAAATAAAATAAATGGTCATTAAGTTGTGAAAGAGATGTTATTGTAACAAGTGGATAAACTTTTAAAAGATGATGAAAATTCAATTAAAATTGATTGCTTTTAATTGCCATAAGAATTTATTGATTGTTTAATTGATTAGTGTGATAAAGAAGTAGACGAATTTTTATAAACATACTTAGAATAAATAGAAAAACACATTGAAATCAAGAAAGAAAATAAAGTATTTGAATATGAATCCTAGTTGTAATATTGTTAAATAGCTATTAAAATATTGAATAAAAGAAATTTAAATATTGAGAAAAGTAAATAAAACTAAATAAAAGCTATTGCTTTATAGACTAAAAGTTACATCTTGTTAAAAAAATAAAAATATTAAGAGTCAATTTCTTGCATAGAAGATATTTTAAGAGAATGTCATGAATAAATTTATATGGAAAGATTAATAAAATTAATCATGATAATAACTAAAATTTATTCTAAATGCAATAAAATAGAATTTTCATAAGAATTTGCAAATAAATTAATGCAATTTATCAAAAATACTAAGACGACATGTGAAGAATTATTTGAATTGAAGCTCAAAATATTTGAAATTCAGTTATAAATTACAAATAATATTGAACAAATTTTTAAAGATTTTTATGATTAATTAGTGCATCTAGATTCAGAATTTAGACTAAAAATAATTTATAAAACAATTATTAAATACATCCAATATTTGCATGATAAAAATCTGTATGACAAAAATCTTTATGACTTGATTAAATTTATTCAGGAAAATGAAGATGATAACTCTTATTATCAATAAAAGTTAATTAAAAAGATAGGTTTGTACCTTTATAAGTTTTTGTTCTCTCAAAAAGGAAAACAGCTTGATATTAGATTTTATTTTGAGTATGAAAACGAGATTTTAATTTTGCCTTAAATCATCATGAAATATTTACATAACAAATAAGATTAATTAATTGAAATTTGCTTTGATGAAGTTATTTGGCAATTTTATTTAATATTATTAGAATTTTAAAAAAATGGATTGTATAATTTAGATCAATATAAGAGTTAAATTTATGATTTGATTGAAAGATATGAAAAAGTTATACCTGTAACAAAAATCTTAAAATATGAAAAACATTTGCCATATTAAGAAATTGTAAATTACAATAAGCTATAAAATAAGTACTACTAAAAATACAGTCAAAAAGGCTTTTCTGATGAATATGAATTTTTCAATGAAATCAAATATGAAAATAAAGAAATTTAAATTTTCGAACAATTATAAAAAATAACTCAAGACATTTTTTAAATGAAATTAGTAAGCAGCAAAAAGAAAGTCGCTTTTAAAAATAAATATTTAGATTTTGAATCTCAACTCTTAATTAAATACTTTGATTCTTAAAAGTTCAGCTTAAAATTTATTGGCTCCTAACAATTTTTTTAATAAAATCTAAATTACTTTCCATTTCAAATTCACTGCGATGAAATCATGAAATAAAGCTATTTTAGGTAGAAATTTATTCTTAATATATGAATTAACATTTTTTTGAATAAATAATTTATTAATAATTTGAAAGCTAAATTGACAAGGACATTTATAGTAGTATCAGCAGTTTAAATATTGAACTATAAGACTAAGAATAAACTTAATTTTATGTGAAAAAGTAATAAAATGAAACATCTTTGATAATTAAGATAAAGTAAAAATTATTTCCTTTCAATCATTTTTTTGTAAAAAAAATAAAAATAAGAATTTATTGATGAAAAATTTTTTTTTATTGATGTTTTAAAAATTTTAAAGAAATTAATTGATTTTTAATGAATTAATTTTTAATTAATAATTTATTTTAGAAAGGACATTGAATAAAATCTTATAAACATGCCATCACTAACATTTTTAATGTCAAATCTAACAAATTTTAATTCATTAACAATAAATTTAAGGTAAAATTATTTTTTAATTTCAATTTTATCAAGAATTTTATGATAATTAAACTTAGCGATAGCTTTGATCATTCGAAATATGCTGAAACTTTAGTAAATGCAATATAAAATATTAAATACTTAACTCTGGATTTAAGGTAATACCTAAATATTTTTTAATTTTATTTAATAATATTTTTACATAATTTTATTTCTTATTTTTGATAAAAATTGTTTTTAATTGTTTGTATTTTTTCTTTTTTATTTATAGTCAAAATAAAATATGTGATTATGGAACACAGAGTATTGCAAATATTTTGAATAAGTGTCAAAATATATCTAAATTAAATCTTAACTTAGAGTAAATTTCTTTAAATTTTTGTTATCATTTATGAAAACAATCACTTTTTATTTAAATTAAATTGATTTCACATCATAAAATTTATAAAAATAATTTAATAGGCAAAACTAAATAGGCGATGCAGGAGCTCAGAATATAGTCAAATCTTTAGCTAAATGTGAAAATCTTGTAGAATTAGATCTTAATTTAGAGTATTTTTTAAATTTAATTGTTTCTTTCGTAAATACTATATCATCTCTCTAATCATAACTAATAAATTTATTTCTTAGAGATTTTATTTAATTAAACTATCTATCTGTGAATTAAAAAGGATTTTTTTTTAGCATGGTTTTTAGAAAAATTAAAGTATTTAATTAAAATTTTAAATATAAAAATTTAAGTTGGAATAATATTGGTGAAGAAGGAATTTATAACATTGACAAAGCTTTGCAAATAAATAAGAACATTATTAGATTAAATATATGCTTAGAGTAATTTTGTCTTTCTTCTTTATAAACCAAATTTTATCAATTGGGTATATTAAATTATTAAAATTTTACATTTTTTAATTAGGATGAATAATATAAGTGATTAAGGAGTTTTTTACATTTCTTTAGCTATAGAAAAATGTTAGAGTATTACCCATTTAAACCTAAATTTAATGTAATTTGTTTTAGAAATTATAAATTTATTCAATTACATTTTTTTTAGAGGCAACAATATTGGTGATTAAGGAGTTCAGAGCATAGCAAAAGCGATATAATAATCCTAAAAAATTACTGAATTAACTCTTAAATTGGAGTAATTTTTTTTAATTTAAAGTTATTAATAACATTTTTTAAATTTAATTATTAATTTTATAAGATTAAACATTATATTTCAATTATTCTTAGTTTAAATAAAATAAATGATAAAGGAGCTTAGAGTATTGCAATTGCTTTAAAATAATGCTAAAATATTACCAAATTAAATCTTGATTTATAGTAATTATAATAATATTTATATTTCATTTATTTTACCAAAAATAAACATAATATAAATAAATGAATATATTTTTTTAACAAATTAATTTAATAACTAACTATTTAAGACACTTTAATTGTATTACTAAAACTTAATATTAGTTGGAATCAAATCGGTCACAAAGGAGCTTAGAGTATTTTAAAAGCATTAGAAAAATGTTAAAATTTAAGATAATTGCATCTTGATTTAAGGTATTTTATTTACAAAATATTTTTTTATTTTTTAAGAAATTTTCTTTTACTTATTTAATTTATTTAATGATAATTATTTTTTAATTATAAGCTCGAATAACATTGGAGATGAAACTGCTTAAGTTTTTACTAAAACTTTTAAAAAGTGTCAAAACATTACTCAATTAAGCATTTATTTAATGTAAACTTCTAATAATTTATTATGTCATTTTTAATTTAGTCTTTCTCTAATTCAAAATTATTTGATAGGAACAATGGTATCAGCAATTAAGGAGCTTAAAGTATCTCAGACGCTTTGAAATATATCTAAAATGTTACTCAATTAAATCTTAGCTTAGCGTATTTTTTAAATTTTATTTTCATGAAAGATCTTTAAAAAACCAAAAAAAATTGATTAATAAATCATTTAATTGTTAATTAAATTTTTCATATTATTTTATCAAAATAAATAATAAATATTTTATTAGATACAATAAAATTGACCATATAGGAGCTTAAAAAATAGCAAAAGTATTTGAAAATTGCTAAAAAATATCTCAATTATGTCTTGATCTTAGGTAAATCTATCTTACTTATTACAATTTTCTTTGAATAATAAATAATATTAATTTTACACTATCAATCATCTTTATTAAAGGTAATCAATCCCCTAAACCTACCTACTTTTCTCCAAAATTTTTAATCTTATTCTTACCAATTTCAATTTGTAAATATTCCTTAAATTAACTTAAAAATTTAATTTTAACACATAAAAAATAGTTTTTGTTAAAGAGAAATTAGGATATTAAATGTTTTATTTTTTTAGGATTAACAAAATCGGTAATTAAGGAATAAAGGAAATTGCTAATTCTTTAAACAAAAGTCAAAATATAACTAGATTAGATCTTATCATAGGGTAATTCATTTTTATAAAGATAACTTAATTAAATTTACTTTCAGATTTAATTTTATTTATTTATCAATTTAAGCATTTCAATCAATACTTATTTTTTAGGTCTAATTATATTACCCATGAAGGAGCTTCAATAATTGCAGAAACTCTAGAAAAATGTTAAAATATTACCTAATTAAATCTTGATTTAGAGTAATTTTTTTTCTTTGTAAAGGTTAAAATTTAAATAATAAACTATTTATAAATAAATTATTAACAACCAACCAACCTACATTTTTTATTTGTTGATTTTGAATGCAACATTTTGGGTTTTAAAATATAATGTATTAGTTATAGTGATATTGGATGTGATGGAGTTTAAGCCATAGTAAATGCTTTGACAAGATGTTAAAATATTAGGGAATTAAATCTTAATTTAGAGTAATTTATTAGATTCTTTATTTTAAATTAAGAAATAATTTATTGACTAATTAATTATTATTTTTTTAGTTGGAATAAAATAGATGATAAAGGAGTTTAGGATATATCTAATGCTTTTTAAAAGTGCCTCAATATTAAAAAATTAAGTTTTGACTCAAGGTAAATAAAATATTTCTTATTTCAACAAATTTGAATAAATAATTCGCTCTTAATTTTATTTTTTCTATTTAAATAAAATATTAACTAATATTTTTTTATTCAAGCCCAAATAAAATTGCTGAAGAAGAACCTTAAAGTATTCCACCTTCCTTATTAGAAATTTAGGAAAATATTGAGTTAAAATTTGATCAAGAGTATTTTGTTTAAATTCTTTATTAAATAATTTAATTAATTTTGCTTAGAAATATTTTATTTGATAAAGTTAAATAAATAATTTTTGATGTTTTTTATTTAGTATCTATGGCTTATTAAATTTATTTATTTAATTTTTTCTGTATGAAAATACTATTTAAAGCTATAAATAAAAATCAAAAGCATATATAATATTTATTAACTTTCAAACTTATTAACATTTTAAATATTTCATAAATAAAATTTTCAAATTAGATAAGCTGAAATTGTTAACATGAGTGCAGAAAGTGGTAATTTTCTAACAGACTTAAATGAGTACCAACATACAAATGAATCTACAATCAACATAAAGTACATTTATCATTTTTATTTTATTTAGTCTTTCTGATCTCTATTTTTATTTTGCCAATGTAAACTAAATAAACTATTTTTTAAGACAAATACATAGATTATTTGTTTTTGATAATTACATAAAATTTATTATCTTTTAATCATAATTTCTCTTAATTTCAATCCTTTGAAAAAAAATAATTGAGCTCTTCTTAAATTTTATAATTTTTTGACCTATATCAATCTTATTATTTTTGGACAAGATTTTTTATGATAAGTTATGGTGAAAGTAATGATAAATAAAGTGCTAATTTTATTAAAAATAATACTTATTTAGTTTTTTTCAACTCTAACAAGTTGTATGCTACTTTTTAACATTTTTGTTTTTTTAAAATAAAAAATGCTAGTTGGAATAACCTGTACTGCTTAATAGCTTAAAATATTGTAAATTATATAAATAAAGGGCAAATAGTTTAACTCAATCTTCTCTTAGAGTAATTTAATTTATTATTGTAAATGAAAATTAAAAATATTTTTTATTCTAATCATTTATTTAATTAATTTTTTATTTCTTCATTTGCTCTTTAAATTTTAAAAATAAAATTAATTCTATTAGAAATTTACTAGATAAAGATAAGACCTAAAATGACTGCGAAACCATCAATAAGCATTTTTTAAATAAAACTTTGAGTTTGATAAAATAATCCCAACTTACCCTTTGCTTAGAGTAATTCTATTGGATTATAGTTGATTTATTTTATTAAATGAAATAACATAATTTATTACTTAAAGCTTTTTTTGTTTTACTTATTTAAATTTTTTGCTAAATAATTTTAATAAATAAAACTTAAATAGTTTAAGTATTATAGGTAAACATGCTATTTAATACTTAAAAGACATTTTATTAAACTAAAAAAATAAAATCGAATTGAGCATTCTTCAGTAAAATTCTTTTTATTTAAAAATTAATTTATTCAATTTTATAAAATTTATTAATTAATTTTACAAACAAATATTTTTGAAAAATGAGGAGTAATTATAAAAATAAAATTAAATATCATTTAGTCAAAATTAAATCGATTAAGAATCTGCGACTATTAAAGATACTTTAGAAAAATGTCAAGATCTTACTCAACTAAATCTTTATTTCCAGTAAACTCTTAAATTCTTTCATTTTATAAAAAAATAAATTTAGATAAAACAATTAATATGATTTTTCATAAATAAAGTAAAAAGGAAATGAATTAAGAAGGAGCTTTAATTATTGCAAAAACATTGTAAAAATGCTAGAACGTTAGTTAATTAACTCTTGATTTAAGGTATTTTCTTTTTTTATTTGGATTATTAAAATCTTCAAAAAAATATAAAAACATTTTAATTAATTACAACCTTTTTTACTTTATTTAAATTTTTTTTTTTTAAAGTTATAATGAAATCGGTAAAGAAGGAGCTTAGTAAATTTCAAATGCTTTATAAATGTGTCAAATGATAACTTAATTAAATTTAAACTTAAGGTTTTGCTTTAAATTAAAACTTACTTAAATTGAAAATTACATTTTTCTTTTTTAAATTTATTGAATTTCCTTTTCAGAATATTGTAAAAATTTTAATTTTATTAGTGAAAATAATATCAACCATGAAGGAGCTTCTAGTATTTAGAAGGCTTTGGAAAATATATGCTAAAATATTACTAAATTAAATATTGATATTAGGTAACTATTGATTACAAATAATTTTTATTTTTAAGTAAATTAAATATTGTTTATATTATTTTCTTAGTTTGAATAAAATTTAAGATGAAGGAGCTTAGAGCATAACAAATATTTTGAATAATTGCTTAAATATCACTTATCTAAATTTAAATTTATTGTAATTTTCTTTAAATTTTTTTGGAATCTTTATTAAAAAAAATAATTAAAATTAGATCAAATGAAATTTCTGATAAAGGAGTTTAGAGTATTGCAAATTCTCTCCCAAAATGTCAAAATATTACACTACTAAATTTAGATTTAAGGTATTCATTCATCCATTTTTAATTATAGATTAAATAAATTTAAACATTTATTTGCATCTTATTTTTTATCGCTCATTTAATTGGATATATTTATTCTTAAACATAGCTCAAATAAAATTGGAGATAAAGGGATATAGAGTGTTTCTACTGCTATTTAGTAGCTTCACAAAATTATTCAATTAGACCTTAACTTTTCGTAATAAAATAAAAAAATCATTTAGGACTAAATAAATTTCTTAGTATTAAACAAATTATTGAAATAGAATTAATTCAAACAAACAAACAAATATTTGTTTTGAAATTTTATTTAAAGCTTTGCTTGATAAGATATTTTAAATTATTTTTAATTTAATACTTTTAGTTTGAATGAAATACACCAAGGAGGTGCAAAGAGTATTGCATTAGCTTTGAAAAAGTTTCAAAATATTACTCATTTATAACTTGATTTAAGGTTATTTTTTTACAAATTATAAAAAATAAATTTTTTTCTTAAAGGTTTGTTCTGGTTATAAATATTTCAAATATAATTTTTAGTTTAAATGATATTTATGATGAAGGAGCTAAAAGCATTATAAATTCTTTGGATAAAAATTCAAATATATAATAATTAAAACTAAATTTAAGGTAAATTTTTACAAATTCATTTTACTAATATAAAAAGTGTTAAGATTTTCTATTTATTATTGATTTGTAAGTTTAATTTCAAAATTTGAATTAAAATCATAATATTATAGTGATAGTAAAATTGGTGATGAATCAGTAGAGAGCTTAGCAATTACTTTAAAAAAGTTGCCAAAAATAACAATTTTAAATCTTGATTTAAGGTTTTTTTACTTTATTATTTTTATATAAAAACCTAATTTTAAATCATCATCAACATAATTATTTATTGAGTTAATTTTTATAAATATAATTGATTAGTGCTAATATTATAAGCAATCAAGGAGCGTATAGCATTTCAAATGCCTTGGAGAATTGTTAAAATATTACATAATTAGATCTTAGATTTTAGTAAATTTGTTTGAATATTGTTTTTTTTATTATTTTAGGATATTAAAATTAATTTAAAAAATAAAATTTATTTATGATTTTCATAATTTTTTAATTTATTTGAAATGTTAATTTTTTAAATTACTTTTATTTATTTCATTAAGTTAAAATAAAATTGGAGATGACGGAATTTAAAATATTTCCGAATGCTTGATAAAGTCTCAAAATATAACTCACTTGTGCTTAAATTTATAGTAATTAAATCCTATAATTAGCTATTTGATTTTCTTCAAAATTAAAATATTTTTTGAAATTAAATTATTCAATTATAATTTTTTTGATTTAACAATCTTTAAAAATTTGATTAGGGAAAATTAAATCAGTGATTGTGGGGCTTAGAGTATTGCAAATGCTTTGGAAAAATGTCAAAATATCACTCAGTTAAATCTTGATTTAGGGTAATTTTCTAATATTTATTTTTTGATTGTTAGTAAAATTAAAATATTTAGTTTTGATATCTTAGATTTTTTATTAAGCTTAAAGTACTTAATGACATAAAATTTATTTTTTAGGAATAGCATTACAGATGAAGGAGCCAAAATAATTTCTAATGCATTAGAAAAATGTTAAAATGTGACTTTATTAAATCTTAATTTGAAGTAAATTTTTAATTTATAAAATAAAAAAATTTAAATATTTTTATTGTGTAACATTTTTTATTTGAAATTTAAATTTTTTGATTAAAAATTAATTAATATTTATGATTTTCTATTAAAGTGAAAACTAATTTGGGGACGATGGAGCTTAGAGTATTGCAAATGCTTTGTAAAAGTGTCAAAAAATTACTTAATTAAACCTTAACTTGCAGTAATTTTCTTAAAAATTTTATTGATTAATCTTTATTTAACAAAAATTTAATAAATAAGACATATGCTATTTATTTATTTAATTAAATAAATTTCTCATCAAAAATATATATTAATTTTAAATTATTGTGGGCATTTATTTATTTCCTATCTACTCTCAAATTTATCTTTAATTTATTTAATTTTTTAAATTTAGGGCAAATAAAATCAGTTAAGAAGTTGTTAATAATATTGAATTAATGTTGAAAGAATGCCAAAATATTACTGAATTGAAACTTAACATTGAATTTCAATTTAAAGAAAATTAAAGTTAATAAGCAAGGTATTTTAATTTCCTCAAATTTTTATATCTATATTAAATATTTTCAAATAAAACTACAGTTTAAATCAAAGTTTTGATGACGAAGATTTTAGCATTGAAGGTTCTTTTGAAGAGTGCGAGGATTTTACTGAATTTAATAATGATTGATTAAATATATTTTTTTTGTCTATTATTTGTGTTTAATAGAAACAATTAAATTGTTTAAAAATGTTTATTTATATTTTTCTTCTTTATTTAAATTGAATTTCAAGATTGCTTACTAACATACATCATATATATTTGCTTCAGTATAGAAAAGAATAGGAGTGTTCATTCATATATTGTGTTTCATGTGAGCGCAACATATATTCTGTATATTAAAAATTTTTAATAAGAATTAATTGAAAATGGATAATACTATTATTATTTTTGGTTGATTAGAGTAAATACTAATATTCTAAGTCATTTACTGCTTACGAATATAAAATATATAAATAGATAAATTGAACAACATATATTTAATACTTTTATATTATTTTAAATTCATTTACCATAATTCCTCATTAATTAAGGTAACCTTTTATTAAGGCTATTTTAGAAAATTTTTGGACATAGCCAGCCACAAGTATTAGTGATTATTATTTTTAATAATTATTAAAGATTTCTATTTTAAGGTAAATATAAAAATCATTTTATTTTAAATAATCTATAAACAAACTAATTTATTAAAATTGAAAAAAAAAAATGATTTTTATATTTATCTATCTAATGGTGATGTTAAAAATAGATTTGAAGATATATATTATAATTTAGTTTGATTTGTTTTGATATGTATGTGAGTGTAATTAATTAAAGATTCCAGAAATAATAAGATTTCTTTATCAATAATTAGTTAATAAAAAAAGATATTAAATTAATTGTTTATTAGGTAGGGATATTTATAAGATATAAAGGAGTAATGATTAGGAATAATTTAACAAAATCGATATGGAAGTAGGTAGTCAGACCTTATTGCTTTGGTCAAAGTTTGCATAAACATAACTTATATCAATTTTCATAAGTACCTCCTATGAATAATAGCGGCATAGTTAATCCTAATATGGATTTAAATTAGAAAATTGAAGCACTGGAAAAGTCATAGCCATTTTTTGTAAAATAAAATTAAGAAAGCTAGAATAAGTTAGCATTTAATTGTTATTAAAAATAAGGATAGAATCATGTTTTTCGATCCTGATATTATGGCTAATCTACCTGGTCCCTTGCAAAAATTTGATCCAATAGTTGAGGCAGGAAAGGTGAATTTATTTTTAAAGAAACTAATAAATTTTTGTAATATGATCAAATATTTATTAAATAGGATATGCTCGTGTACTTTCATGACTTAGGATTGCCATGGTATGCAATATTTTTCAGCGATTGCAAATTTATCAAATTATCAAGTAGGATTTTTTAATTTTTTGTTTCACATAAGATAGGTGGAGTGTTATTTCGGTTGCCTGTTTTTTACTGAGAAGCTCTATAATGCCTTTAATTTATGTGCAATTTAAAAGGACAAGCAAATTAGCATCTGTAAATTAATATGGTTTTAATGAATGATTAATGAATAGTAACAATTTTTTTATAATTAAGATTGCACCAGTGCTCATCCAAGTGAAAAAGTTAGCTGATCAATGTTAAGTTTCAAGATCAAAGAGAATTTAATTGATTGCTACTGCTTGGTTTTAAATTATTAGGTAAATAGATAGATAAATAAATACAATTTAAATCAAAATTAATTATAATAGAAAAATTATATTTTTTATGTGCTAATACAATAATATTTCTATCTTTTACAATAATAATTTAATTTTTTATTTATTAAATTTAATAGATAACAAAAATTAAAGATGTTCAGACTATTTGTTTACAATTTGGTCAATATTCCTATCATTATTACTATGGTTTGGAGCATAAGAAGAACCATGATTGAAGAATCTGTCAAGAATACTTCTTTCCTTTGGATTCCTGTATTTATTTATTTATTCAATAAATTATTTAATTATAAGTAAGTAATATATATTAAAAAAATTATTTTAATCTTAGAGTTTTGTCCAAGTTGATCCTTATTTTATACTTCCAGTCTTAGCTATAGCAGGTTATTACTGGAATCTTCAGGTAATAAATAACTTTTTATAAACAATTATATATAATGAAAAAAGCAAATTTATTATTTAAAATTTAATCAATCTAGGATTTTTATGTTCTACAAGTAGCAGTTTTGCTTTGAATAAAACTTTTTTCAAATAAAAAAAATATTTAAAACATTTATTTGAAATTCATTATTTTAAAATAGATTTAGTTATTTATTTTGTATCACTCATATTATTAATTTCAAATAATATTTTATTTTATAGAGATTTATTACACCAGAAAATAAACACACTTTGATTTCAAAGATAAGAGGAATAGGATAAATATTATTGATCCTTTGGCTTCCACTTCTATCTAATTGGCCTGCTGTAAAAATATAAAATAAATAAAATAATGATTTAATTGTTAATGTCTTTGAATTTTATAAAATTTTAAGTTGATCTAATGGTATATCTTCAACAATGCTCTTTACAGTCTAATTTAAACTACTCTGATTACCCATCCTAATTTCATTAGATTTGTTGAACCTAAAATGCTTTTGTATCAATTCATTTTGAAGACTGTCGAATATGATAAGATATAATCAGAAACTTTAGTTGGTAAGCTTTTATTTTACCTTTTTTATGATAAAAATTATTTTCTAAAACTAATTAATTTTAGAATCTATAAAATCGGGGGAAGATTCCTACAAAGATAAATCAATTTCAGAAGAGGTTTTGGTTGCATAGATGGAAGAAATGTTAAGAAAATTAAATGCTGAAAACATCGATGAAACTATGGATGATGTACGTGAATACACAGAAAATGATCTTAAATTCTGATAGGAAATACTCTAAAATAAATATAAATAATGAACATATTTAAATATAAAACAATAAATTCTTATTGTAAATTTTCAAAATTGTATTTTTTTAAGGATGTTTTTTATTTCTTGTTGAGTTTTTGTTTCTTCAACACCTTCTCCGTCGTCATCTATTAAAATAAAAGTTATTTACTATTAAATTTACAAAATAGTCAAAGATAAATGAAAAATCTAAATTATGAATTGAAAAAGTAAATTTTTTAATGTCATTTTTCTTTGCCTGAATTTATTTGAGTTTTAGTTTTTATGATGCTAATCATCTCTCCATTTGGCGACTTGAAAAATCCCATCTTATTTATTTTTAGTGCAAATAGAAATAAATTAATTATATATATTAGCTATAAATAATATAAGAATATTCTAGTATATTTTTACTTGATAATCTTCGTTGTCAACTATCTCTCCATCTTTTTCTGCGCCATAGCTTTGAAATTTTTTCAGAGTGTGCTCAAAATCGTCTACTTCAAAGTTTAAAATTGGACTGTAACCTTTCATATTGTAAGCTTCCCTATTTATTTATTGTTTTATCTAAACACTCAATCATTTCTGCAAATAATATATTAGATTGATCCTTTACCCATCAATTTGCTTAAGAATAAGTCTGAAATTTGAATAATCTTTTAACTCAACAAGTTGTTTGCTTTGATGTGAAACTTTTAAACCAACTGCATCGCTATAAAAGCCTGCAGTTTTCTCAACATCCCTGCAGAAAAGGATAATGTTTTTAAATGTGGCTGTGATTTATTTGGAATACATGCAAAAATTAAAGATTAAAAAGTATTAATTAACAAAGCATATATTTAACTAAAACAGATATCGCTTAAAGATATATAAATAAATTACTTGTAATTAAGCTATCTAAATCAGTAAAAACAAAAAGTCGTTAAAAAAATTATAAGAAGCAAAATATCTTTTTTCAAATTTTAATATTTGTATTTAAAATTAAATGATTTATTTTTAAATAGTATTTCAGCTTTTTTTAATTTTTGCTTTTATTTTACATATTAATGTAGATTTTTATGTTTTATTTCTGTATTATTTTAAGCTATTCTATTTATTTATTTATTTGTTTATTTTGTTTTTTGGTTTTACTGTTATTAATTAATTAATTTCTTGTTTTTATATCTTTTTTTGTATCTTTTTAAAATTTAAATTTAAAATTTGTTGTTTTTTCTTTTTTTCTTTCTTCTTTTTAAAAAATTAGCTATCATTCAGTCAGTCATTCAGTCAATCAATCAGTCAGTATTTTTGCTCAATTGCTCTATTTAAAACTGGAGGTGATCACCTAATAAAAAAATACTTTTTATATAGTTAATATAGAATTACAAAGGGAAAAAGCAAATCTATTACTTTTTGCAGTAAAAAGATTTGGTTTTGAATAGCGTAGAAGAAACCCCTTCATTACTCAAAGGAAGCTTCTTCTCGGGCCTAGGATTAAAAACTTGATTTTTGCTATTCAAAATTATATTTTTTGATTATACCCAATCTCAAAGAGATTGAAAACTGAATTTGATGATTCAGCTCTTTATTCTAAGTAGAGTAATTGATGCGAGATACTAATTGCCATTAGGTTAAAAACTTTGATGATATTGGACCACAATACGCATTTTTCTGGATTAAAAAACTTGTTTTTGGCAAATATCTCTATCAATCAACTTCTCTCTTAAAATCTTCTCTATTGTTTTTAATTAATTAACAATTAATTATATTTTTCTTCTTATTAACTTTTTTATTAATTTGAATTTAATTTTTCAAAATATTTAGAAAAAATATAAAATTTGTTTTTTTTTAATAATTGAAAAAATCTTATTACTATTAAAATTCTTCTTCATTTTTTTCAAGTAAATACTTACTAAGCTAATTCATAGTGCTAAACTAAAAAATTTGTTTATAAAAACTCTATTTAAGGTTTAAATTGCTTTCGAGTCTTTACATTCACTTTATTTAGTGATTTCCATAATTTCACTAAGTATTTTAATACCAATTTATCTAATTTTAATTATTTATTTATTTATTTATAATACAAATTTCTAGTTTTTTTCAGAAAATACTTGGATGGAAATGAATTATTTAGTTATTTCCTTCAAATTATAATTTTATTATATAAAATGAAAAATAAATATTCAAATAAATAATAAAACAACCAATCAAACTAATAATTTTATTTTCGATTTACTACTATAATTTTTAATTTGATAAATTAAATTTATAATTAGATATTTAAAAGTTAAAAAACCTCTGTTATTAGATTTTAAATCTTACTTTGATTAAATCCAATCTTATCTTTATTATCCTTATTTGTTTATAGAGATGTTTATTCTATAAAAAAAATGGAAGCTTAAGTTAAAAAATTATTTTTGCAAATAATAGAAAGAATATTTCCAAAACATTCATTTTTAACTTTATTTTTATACTAATAAAATTTTGCTCTTTATTTTACTTATTTAATGCTGAAATTATAAAAAATATTCAAGATTCTTATTTAAAGGGTCTAATTAATTCATCCTATCCATATAAATTTAATAGATCTAATAAAAATATTCAAATTTTTTACTTAAATTTTTCTTATTTAACATAAAGAGAGACTGACTGACTGACAGATACATACATACAAATTAATAAAAACTATACAAAAACAAAGTGATTCAAAAAAGATTCTTTTAATTAATAAATCATGTATGTTAGTTGAATAAATAAATAAATAAAATGTGTTTATTGATTAACAATATTTAATTGTCCTTAAACTTAAATTTAAATTTATTGTAGATTTAAAATTAAAAAATATTTGTATAAATTCAGATTTGTTTATCTTGCTTTCATGGAATTATTGAAAGATGATTAATAAAGAATTCAAATAAGAATTTATTGCGAAAGTAAAAATGTTAAACATTATATAATTAGTAATTAAATCTATTAAATGTATCTGATTTCTCAAGTTTGTGTTATTTATTTCTTTAACAATATTCGAAATTTATGAGAGCAAAACTTAAATTTGATTTATTTATTTATCTCTTTTTAGTTCCATGGTGTTTTCATACTTAACTTCATATCCAATTTTACAAATAAGTATTGACTTGCAAAAATTTGGTCTATCTAATATCGTTTTAAAGAAATAATTGTTTTATTTATTTATTTCTAACTGAATTTAAGGAGGAAATTAACGTTTTCATCTCATATAAACAAAATTATAAACCATGAATGATGAAGAAATCATAGAAATCAAGAAACATAAAAATTTTAATTTTAAATGTGTGCTCAAGACATTCGTTAATGTTAGATATTGTTTTTTTATTTTCTTTGTTTTTAAGTTATTTATTTATTTGTTATATTTTATTTTTGGTTTATTATTATTTATTTAGTTTTTAATTATTTATTTATTTATTTATTTATTTAATTAATTAATTTAATTTTTATTAATTCTTTTATTATTCTTTTTATTTAATCTTTTTCTTTCTTTTTATTTTGCTTTTAAAAATTAGGTGGTTTGGCACAGTTGGAGAGCGAAGTACGAGCGAGATAAGTTGTTTGTTCTTTTTATAATAAGGCCTATTTTATTTTAATTAAAAAATACTTTTTATATATAATAGAATACTAATAAAAATGCATCTTAGTGCGTGTATGTCATGCTAAAATGGAGGCGCTAATAATTTAAATTAATTGATTGGTGGAGATTTTAAAAACTTTTTAAATTATTTGCCATTTTTTAGTTTTTCATACTTTAAACTGGAGTGATTTTTTGCTTCTAAAGAGATTTAAATGCAGCAGCGTAATTATCCTTCTAATTCATATTTAGTGTCAATTGAATTGGTTGGAATATTGGCAACAAATAGAAGGTGGGTGGCTTCATTTGTTGGTGGAGTAAAAAACTTAAGCTGTAAGCTAGGACTTTGATTGACAAAGAATAATTTAATGACGATAAATCTAAATATTGAATGAGCATGCGAAAATCAATTTAGATAGATATTATGTCATACGAGATCTTATTTATATCAAAGCAGACATACAGCTTCCAAATTAAAAACTTTGATAAAGTGCACTGCTGCTATTTAAAGCTACTTTTAGAATACTACTATCTACATTCAAATTCATTTTAACATTAGAAGGTAGTCAGTACCTTTTATATATTAGAATGAATTTCTGCAGATTAGTAATATTAAATCTTTTTCCTTTTGTTTTTCTTTCGTTCTTTATTTATCAAATTTTTTTTTATTTAATTTATTTGAAATTTAATTTATTATTATCACTCTAAAGCCAATTTTCTCAAAGAAAATGAAAAAACTATAATTTAAATAATTGAAATCTTCAAAGAAAGATATTTATTTCTCATCTCAAATTAAATAAAAGAAAATATAATTTCAAATATAATCACCATTTATTTATTTATTAAAGCATTTTTTATTTAATTAAGAGCAAACAAAGCCAACCTAAATTTGGCATAACCAATTCAGAAAAATAAAGAGTATCTCTAGATTTATCTATGAGTTATAATTAAATTATATTGTAAAACATTAATATTTTTTTTATGCTATAAATAAACAAAATATTTTTAAATATTATCATTACTTGGTTAATAGATGGAAAAATGTTAAAATTAATTTTTTTACTATTTTAATTCACAAATTGTCTTCATAAAATCATTATGTGGAAATTACTATTTGTTTAATTAATAAACATAAAATAAATTAAGCATTTTATGATGAACAATTTTTTTCAAATAAATAGTCGAATTATTACGTTTTCACTTAGGAAATTCTTATTAAAAGACATAATTAATTAAATAGATAAGTAGTTTATAATAAGCTTTTTATAAAATTTAATACAAAAATAGTTTTAGACTAAGTAAACAATTTATAAGAAAAAATTATTTTTTTATTTATTAATAGCATTTCATTTTTACAAATTTTGTTATAAATTAATTTCCATATTATTATTACTAAGGATGGATTCTACTTAGAAAAGAAAATATTTATTGCAAAATGGTATATTTTAATTTTTAAAATCAAATATAATAAATTAATAAAAAAACAAATTATTAAATGTTTTAAATTTACTAAAAAATAAATATTAAAATTTATTATTATCTTTTATTTTATATTAAAAATAATAAAATAGAATAAATTAAATAACATATAAAATCTATCTAGTGGAATGGATACATAATACTGAAATTTATTTAATTGGCATATCTTAAAAAATAATAAATAAATTGTAAAAAAATGAATAATCAATTTAAAATTATTCCATCTATCCATCTATCTATTTTTTAAATTGAATTTTTTATGAAAATTTGCCTATTAGTCTAATATATCTAATCTTTGTAAATTTAACATTTAATTTTCCTTTATTAAATGGATTATCTTAAAATGAATAATACATATAAAGATAGTAAGTATTTCATTATTATTAAGCTAATAAATTTATTTACTTGTTTACTTATCTAATAATCTTAAATTTCTTCACTAATTTGTTAAATACATTTATTAATTTATTTCATTCATTAATTAATTCATTTATTTTAAGTTTACCCAATAAAAAATAAAATGATCAAACAAATATTAAGGATTTTCTGTGGGTAAAAACAAAAGTAAATTAAGCTTTTCTTTTTTAGAATTGATAAAGTCTGAAAGTAAGAAATTTCATTTACAAAAACAATAAAAAGTAAGTAAGTAAATAAATAAATAAATAAATTAATTGATTTTCTTTTTTATAACTAACTGTTTAAATTTTGATTATTCGAACAACTACTTCATAAGGATCTTCAAATAAAAACTATTAAGTTCCATTTTTCATAGAATTAAATAAAGATAGTGAAAATTTACTTTAATATGTTGAAGCTAATTGAGTTAATAATTCAAATAATATAGAAATCTGACTGAAAATAATGCGTAGCGTGTATATAAATTCAAAATATTTTGTTTTTTATATTTATGTTTATTTATTTATTATTTGTTTGCTTTTTGTTGTAATTTTATTCTTTTATTAATTTTATTTTTTTATCTATCTATTTATCTTTCTATCTGATCTTATTATTTTTTTTTCTTTTATCAATTTTTTTCTTTCTTAATTAATTTCTTTCTTTCTTATTTTTTCTTATTTTTCTTAGTAGCGATTTAGCGAGAGATTTCAGGAGATTTATCATATCAATCAATATCTTTTTCTTTTTATAATTTTTTTTACAAACATAAATCTTCAAGTGCCGCATTGAGCTTTTTTTCCTAGACTACAAATAGAGACTATAGTTGATTTTTTAGACTAGTTGTTTTCTAGTATAAATAGAGATATATTTTTTGACAATTGCTTTTATTAAATAGGTCTAATTGCTCAGAAGACTTTTTTCAAGCAGATGATTATCTTCGGGATTAAGATAATCTTACTGTTTGAATCAAGTCAGCTTCATTGCTTTCGCCACTATTCAGCATTTTTAAGCATCTACGAGGATTAAACAATAGATAGATGCATTTTTATTTCAAAGTAAATTATTCAAGAAGAATCTAGTGCCTATTCATCGATGCAGCCTTTTTGTATTTATTTCACATTCATCTTTTGGGTGGAAAAGATGAATTAATGATTAGTTGTATTAAGTGGGGTTTTAAAAACTTAATGAATTGATTTAGAAAAAAAATTGCTTCTAAATCTTGTTACAACTAATCCGCAATAGATAGATCTGTACATCATTCTACTGATTTTGAAATACATTTAGTATATCACTCACATTTCAGATCATATCTATTACTTTATTTTTCTTAAAAACTGTGTGAATAAATTTCCTCAAAAACTGGCATTCTTCCAATATTAATTTACTTTTTTTTTTGAATCCTCTTATTTATATTTATATATTTTTTGAATTAATTAATTAATTATAAAAAAGAAAACCCTTGATTTACCTTTTCTAATTTTCTTGATTATTTGAAAAATTAATCAAATAAATTTGTTTGAATAAAAAATTAAGATGCTTAACAAATCATTTAATAAAGAAATTTATAAATAATTCATTGAAAGTCTGGCATGTACAGATATTATATTATGTAATGATTGCAAATAAATAAAAATTCACTTTGAATTTAAGAAGAATAAGAATAAATTTGATTATTCATTCAATTTTATTTAAATTATTAAGCTGTAAAAATATTAATTACTGCTTAAATAAATCGATCAAAATTTAGATATATAGCATTCGTAATATTTTAATGTTAGCTCACTTCAAAGATTTGAAATTCGTTAATTATTTTATCACTAATAGAAAATAATTATATATTTAATGGATCTTCAAAATAAACTGAATTAAAAGTTATCAGTAAATTTTTAAAAATAATAAAATAAAAATCGTGAATGATCAATAATTAATTGTCTTATTTAAATTTAAAGAAAAGACAAATTTATCTGAAAGAATATTTCTCATTTATGATAATGATGGCTGTATAAGCATTAAAAAACTAAAACTTTGTAAAATACCAATAAAAACAAAATAAATAAGTACTTATTTATTTATTTTCATCTAAAAAATATTTTTAAATTATTGAAATTTTACTTTTTTTAAATTTATTGATTAATCTTTTCATTGTAATCATTAATAAAGTTTTTAGAGAAAAAGAAGCTTAAAAATTTAATTAGATTCAAAAAAATGAAAGAAAAATAGTCAATAAATAAATTTGTTATTTATTAGAGAACTCTTAATCAATGATAAATAGTTAATTATTTTTGAAAGTGATTTAAAAAAACTGATAAAGATGATAGGAATATATGAATAGACTTACACAAATTTATATAAATACATAGGTAGGGTAAATAAATTAAATAAAAGCATTAATATTTTTAAATAAGATAAAATTAAATTAGATTATTTATTATTTTTTGTTATTTGTTTTTTAGACACATTTTTTTTCATAAGGATCAATTTTATTCAAGAGAGAGGGCCAAAAATGCTCCTACAGATATACCAAAAGTCAGACTAAATGCAAGAATTAAGGAAATTAAATTTTTTTCATCAGGAGTTTAGCCTCTTTGAGGTCCTAATTACATGAGACCGCCAGTAACGAGTCCGTTTGAAAGACCAAACAAAAATATATCAACAAAAGCAAAGTAATCATTACCAAAAAAGGCATTAGATGGATCTCTTGCACTCATTAGGAAAGTAAAGAAGAAGATGCCTCTGCTTATATTCAAAATATACATCATAGTAGAGTTGTAGAAATGAAGACTGCTCAAAGCCTTGCCTGATAAATCACCAATATTGTAAGACAATTACATTAATACACTATTTTTTTTAATAAATTTAATTAATTTTAATTGGAATACAATAAATTTTTTTTAGTTTATTTGCTATAGAAAGTAAAAGTAAGTTTTAATAATATTTACCTAAACCAAGCCAAAGATTGAATAATAGTGAATTATTTTTAGAAAATGGATACACCAGGGAAAAGCATGAAAGTCACTACATATGTGAAAAAGATAGAAATAGCTATAAATTTAATTTTCTTTAAGCATGCTATCAATCTAACTTTTAATTGTTCTTGGTTTGGATTGCTGCTGGGAGAGTCACTAACAGATTGATAGTTTATTTATTCAGTAGTGTTTTCATAAGCGGTATCTTAAGCGGAGTGAAGAGCCATCATTTCTTAGTGATGATCAGATTTTAAGTATTTAAAAAGACAGAAAATGGTTGTATAAATAGTAATGGCAGCCATGACAAAGTAAACTATAGTACCATTATTAATTCCGGCATCGTTATCACCAAAAATACCAAGCACTATTGCTCTTCCTACATTCATTGAAAGTCCACTCCAGGCAGTAAAAATCCAGTAAATTCCTTTTTTGAAAAAATTATTATTATTTTTTTTAGAAAGAAAATGCGCATTTAATTAATAGCAATTATAGATAAAAATTATTTTTTTATTTATAAATTTAAATCAACAAACAAAATTAATTAATTGGTAATAAGGATTTTAATTAAAATATGTTATTTTTTTTAAAATTTATTTATTTAATTAATTATTTACCTTGACTCTTTTTATCGAATTAAGAAAGCATTGCAATACTAGAATTCTAGGAGATGCAAGTTGTAGTACCTATTAAGAAACATAAAATCATGCAAATTGAGAAACCAGCCCAGTTTTGTAAAAGAAGAGCAACAAGTGGCATTGCAATCATAAAGAGAGATTAGATTCCAAGACAAAGACCAATTCTAATTTTGATCGAATATCTTTTCGAAAGGTAATCCATGGCCAAACCCCATATAAAAGAAGCAAACTTTAATGGAATTGGAAATAAGAAAGTGACGTCATGGTAAGTTTCCTTTGGATATTTATTACCGAAATAATCAAACGAATTAAGAATAGCACTCCAGCCAATCAAAGAAGAAACTCCCAATAAAGCAGCAGTTGTTTTGCTTAAAAGGGTAGGCTTTAAATCGTCCTTAGCAGCTTGAATTAATTTAGCGTCTTCCATGTTTGTTTATTTTTTTCTTTAGTTGTTGGTTCCTTGTAAAAAATAAAAAGAGATTTTGAATAAATAAAATAAATAAATAAATTATAAATTTTAGCTGTTTGTGGCTTCCAAATTTAATATGAATTTTGAGGGTAATTAGTATGTATGTATGCTTGTATGTTAGATAGATAGATAGAGTTTATATAACTTTATTTAAATTAAATCGATTTATCAAAAATCAATTCAGAGTAAATCTAAAATAAATCAATTAGGGGGACTTACTACAATAATTAATTGATTGATTTTATAACCTAATTCTTTTATAAGGAAAGTAAAGCAAATCTAAATTGATTGAAATTAATTATTTGATTAGGATACTCAATGAATGAAATTAAATCAAGATAAATACAATCCAAATATAATTTTTCATTCAATTTTCATAATAACTTGTTCATTTCTGATAATTATAACAAAATTAGTGTAAAGTTTTTTTTAGAAGTTCTATAAGAATTTCTTTACTTCTGAAATGTCATCATTTATCAGTCTAATTTTTTCTTAGATAAATTCTCATATGAAATTACATTTTCAAATATATTGATTTAAATTACAGAATTTCTCAAGAACAAAAAGACAATTTTACCTACATATTTATAAGTCAGATAGTAACCTATAATTTTATCTTCAATCATAAAGTCTTAACATCAAAAATTGAAAATGAATTTTTACAACATAGATTATTTGTAATATGATCAATCAATCAAGCAATAAATAAATAAAAGTAGTCCCCCTCAATTAATAATTTTCGAAAAGGTAAAATTATAATTGCATCAAGGGAAAGCCACAAAATTTTAATATGTATTATTTTCCATTTTGAATATACGAATTATGCTCCTCTATTCTTTATTTTCCATATGTAATATCTGCGTTTCCCTTAAATGAACTTTAATTCTTTTCAATGTAATTTAGCAGGAATAAAGAATTTACATTTGAAATTAAAATACTAAAATTATTAAAACTTTCTCAGTAAAATATGCCAGATATTAAACTATTTAAATGGTGGATAAAAATCCTTATTCATTTACAATTTAATAGTTAAAATATTGGCTGACACCCACTTTAAATCTGAAAAAATTTGATAAAGTTTTGTAATCAATTCCAGATTTAGAAAAAAAGAAGAAATTTAGATGAAATAAATATCAAATTAAGCAAATTCTATTTACAATATATATTAAAGGAGATTCGTACATTTATTCATTCATTAATTAATTAATTCATCCTTAAGAAACTAAATGTTTACAATCTAAAATAGTTATTTAATTACTATTCATATTTAACTTTTTTAAACTCATTTTGTGGTAATTATTTTGATTTTTAATTTGTTAAGCACTATCATCTTCATTCATATTATTTTTAAATTTAGCCTACTATCCAAATAAAATTCAAACAATATCAAGTAAGTTTTAGCTCAGTTCCCATTTACAAAATAATATTGTCAATTCGTTTTTATAAAAATGTCATTAAAACTTAAAAATCTAATCAAAATGAATGTAAAATTATAACACTTCAAAGAATTAATTCCTTATTCTTGAGATGCAAATGCAAGAATTTAAAACCTGAATTTTTATAAATAAGTTTGATTAATTAATTAATTAATAATAATAAAAAATATATAATGCATTTATTTAGGTTTTCTTTTATGCTTTTTAGCTTGAAAAAATTTAGATCAATCATTTTATTTTAGTAGAATGTTGAAAAAAAAAGATTTTCGCTAGTAGAGGATTTTAGAATCTGTAAATTTTATTTTTTGGCGAAGCGAATCTTCTTAGTCTTCGCCTTCATTAATATAAATTGAAACAGCTTTTTAGTTAGAAATTATTTTATTTTAAATTTATTTTGAAAAATACAAAAAACTTATATTTAATATAAATTAATCATATCTTCTTAATTATATTGTAATTTGTTAAGTTATTCCTTTAAATAAATTATCATGCTTAATTTACTTCAATTAAATATAGTATAATAAATTATTAGCTATTTATTTCACTCTTGAATCTGTTTCTCTTATTTAGATATTAAATTACCAACCTTAGTAAAATTTCTCTAAATATTATAACTTACTGAAGGTGAAAACTAAATATTTTTAGCTAACTAACATATACCGTAATTCCTCATTCATTAAGGCAACCTTTAATTAAGGCCATTTTAGAAAATTTTTGGAATTATATGAATTAAAATTTAACAAAATATTTATTTTAAAATAGTCTAAAAATGATGATTTATATTGGTCTAAAATATATAATATTTATTTATTTAATTTATTTATTTATTAATTTTATATATTGTAAATGCTAAAAAATTTTTAATTGCAACAAAATAATATTTTTAAATATTAGCAATAACTAGCTATAATATTCTTTATGGTCTAACCTTTATAGTATATGTAAATAAACATATTAATCTAAGTAAATTGAAAAATATTTTTAATTGCCTTTTATTGTTAACAAAAATCTGTTTTATATATTTTACTACAATGCATTTATTACATATGATTAAGCTTAGCCTTTTTCATGTATGACTTATTTATATTTGTAAATTTGATTAATTTTAATTCTTTTATTTGAATACGAATTAAAAATGAAATTAAAATGATTAAATGTATTTATTTATTACTTTTGTCAAATAAAATTAATTATCTTGTCTATCAATATAATTATTTAAATTACTGAAAAATATTTAATTCTATTATAATTCATTTATTAGTTAAATTATTTGTGGAAGCTGGTTTTTAAATTCAAAAAAATTCTTAGAAATACATCTTTTCTGAAGATAATAAACTGAAATCTAATTTATTTTTTTAATAAATGTATTGAACTAAAAAATTAATTAATTATTATATATTATAAAGACTAGTTGAATGAATATTAAATTTCTTTTATTTGATTAATTAATTTTTTTATCTTTTATTTATTACTAAAATTATAAATTTACTTTGCTTATTATTTTTCACAAACTTCTTATCAAATGTTATTAAAAGTAACTTTAATTTTTCCAGAATCTAAAAAATTTAGGGTTTTTCAAAATAAATTAAGTTAAATCTTTTTAAAAATGAAAGTAAACCTAAGTTAATTAACGAGGATAGACTATCCATTAAAAGATTTACTTTATTCATAACTAAATTGTGTCCCATTTATTTATAGATCAAATTTGAAAAGTTTTATATTTTTCAATAATAAATAACTAGTATATTTTGTAATTTCTTTAAATTAATGTAAATAATTTTCTTAATTAAGAAGAAATAAATGATTAATGTCCATTTATTTTTAATTAAATATGATCTTTTTTTTGATGCAATAATTCAAATTAAAAATTAAATGATAAATAAAAAATATATTACTTTTATAGTTTAATGGTTAAAATACATGTTGATACACACTTTAAATGTGAGAAAAATTAAAAAATTTGTATCAACCTTTAGCAAATAAAACGAAGAAGCTCATTACTATAGATAGCAATTCCTAAACATTCAATTACCTGTAAAATAAAAAAAGATTTACTCAAATTGTGGTTAATTAAAAAATTTATAACATAATTTCTCGCAATTATTATTTTCACTTTTTAATAAGTCGTAATAGTGCTATTTACTGTTTATTATAATTAAAAATTTTCTTATCAATTATTGTAATCAGTAAGAAGCTTTATTATTTTTCTGTAAAAAAATAGTTAAAATTTCAAAGCAAATTAACAAAAAAAGGGATTAATTCTTTTAAAAAACTGTAATTAAAATTATACTAGAATGGCATAGACAGTATATGTATTCATGGCAGTTTATTTTAAGAAATAATTTACACAGACAGAGAGATAAGTATTCATTAAAAATAGGTTTGTAAATTTTATTGTTGTTATTTTAATAAGACTATTAATTATTATTTCAAATAATGTAAGCCCTACGATTTAACACCAAAACTAACTAACTAAATAAATAAATAACACCACAATTTTTCCGATAAAAAACGATATAAAGGTAGTGGGGATTATCAATATAAAGGGAATATCTTAGGTAAATAGATTTAAATACTTAGTATAAAATAACTTTACCTTTTATTATTTTTATAATTAATTAAATATTTAAATTAGTTGTTATTAAGCAAAATTAAAAAGAAAATGAATTAGCAAAAAAATTGCTTTGGAGAACTAGAAGAAGTAAACTTAAAATATCTTAAAATGATTAAAATTTAATATTATCCTTTAAAAGTTTTTAAGTTCTTCCTTTTTATCTCATAATGATCTAGAAATTGATCTAAAGTAATAAATTTATTAAAAGCAAGCTTATTATTATTTATTTATTATTTTATTAGATTTAATTAAATAATACATTTTAATTTTGGCCTTTTACTTTACTCTAATTTTTTTTACAGTAAATTAACTAATAACCATTTTTGCGAAATAAAAAGCTATCCTAGGAAAGAGGATACACCAAACTTAATTTCTGCTTTATCAAATTGCATTAATCTCTAACATTTGACACTCGCGCTAAAGTAAAAAAAATTTTTAATTTTAATTTATTTGGTGTTAATTAGGATATTGGTTAAAATAAGCAGTATTAACCATAAAGATATGTATTTTTTGACCTATTTATTATTTCATTATGAAATATCTTTTTTCCTATTTATTTTAAATTTTTATCCAATTTAGAACTTATACTGATATACATTTCTTTAATTCACATCTAAACTTTTCTTGCTTGCTTACTAAATAAAATATTATTCAATAATTAAAAGTGAAAATTAAATTGATGGAGAGGATGTGTCAAGCTTAGGCATTGCATTATCAAAATTCACCTATCTCTCAAATTTGAATCTTAATCTAGGGTAAAATATTTGTTTATTTTCTCTAAGTTTTGAAATATTTATTTTTAAAGTATGAACATAATTTTAAATATTTATTATTTTTAGATTGCTAGTTAATACACAATTTTATTCAATGATATAATTAAAAATGTTTTTTTTTTCATAATTTTTATTCATTTTTTCTTCAAACTAACAAATATTTTATTGAAAACCTAAAAAGTGATAATAACATTGGAGTAAAAGGCATATCAGATTTAGGTTCTGGTTTAACAAGTTGCACTAATCTCTCAAATTTGAGGCTTGATCTTGGGTAAAAAATTTTTTTGTAAAGATGGTGATATTTCTCTCAGAATTTTAAAAATATAATCTAATATAGTAAAATATCTTTATTATATTTTTACTTGGCTGGCTTATTTCTTTTCGTTTATCCATATTTAATTTTTTATTAAATCTATTGATTTATAACTTTCATTTTATACCTACTGTTTCATGTTTTCGAATCAATAATTTCTTTTTCCATATTCTAAAACAAACTAATAACTTTTTGCTCAATATCTAAAAAAGCTACACTTAAATTGGTTCACTTGGTGCGTTAAACTTATTTTCTAGTTTATCAAAATGCTAAAGTCTCAATAAAATGAAATTGACACTGTGGTAAAAACATATTATTTATTTTGCTTTTGATTTTACTTTATTAATTTTTGATGGGGGTTTGTTGTTTGATATAAGATATAAATTCAGATATTTAAAAAAAATATATTATTTTAATTTTGAAAAATTAAATTATTGTTTTCAAATTTATTTCCCCAAATATTATTAAAATTAATAAACTTTTGTAAATTGGAATAAATTAATTTATTTTTATTAGTTAAGCTAATGCGATGTGAGTTTATTATTTTATTTTTTCAATCTAACCTACTTATATTAAATATTAAAAAGCTCTAATAAAATTAATGATGAAGCACTTCAAGGTTTAGGTTCTGCTTTAGTAAATCTCCCTAATCTCAAAACTTTTGAACTTCGTATTTTGTAAATAAATTTATATGTTTAATTTTAAAATGGATTTTCCTGATCATTATCTTTTTAATATTATTTAATTTATTGTTAATAATTAATGCTATTTTTTTTATATTATTTAAAAGAGACAATAAAATTAGTCCATAAAGCTATGCTGATCTTGGCTGTGCGTTTTCAAATTGTACAAATCTGTCAAATTTGGGACTCAATTTCATGTAAAAGTTTATTTACTTTTGATTGGTATTCTTTATAAAAAATTAATTAATTTAAAACAATAAAATCTCTTCTTTTAGAAGTTGAAAATTTTTTATAACATGGACTTTTTTATTTTTAATTCCTTATTTTTTATATTTTTTGTCAATATTATCAATTTATTAATTAATTACTGGTAATTCAATAAATAAATATCTTTTGTTGAATATTTGAAAAGGGGTAATGAGTGTGGCGATGAAGGTGCCTTAGGTTTAGGTTGTGGCTTAGCAAAATGTAATACTCTATCAAATTTAAGAATCAACTTAGGGTAAATATATTTTTTTGGTTTTGAATGTTTCTTAATATCTACTAATTCATATAAAAATAATTTTAAACAATAAAATTTATTCACGAGCAATTAATTAATTTGTTTATTTTTAATGTGTTTGAAATTTTGATAATTTTATTAAGATTATTCATTTTTTATAAAGGTATTTATTCTTATTTCCTAAAATTATATTTTTAAAAATAATTATTTAAAAAGCTAGAACAAAATAGGCATTTAGGGTGCATAAGGTTTATGCTCTGGTTTAGCAAAATGTCCTAACCTCTCAAATTTGAAACTTAACTTATAGTAAAACAATAGCTAATTTCTTTATTTAATAAATATATCTTTTTAGCTGATTTATTATTTTTTAGTTTTAAATCTTTTTCTGATTTAATTATTTAATTTATTAATTACTCATTTATTTGTTGGATATTTAAAAAGCCGCAATAAATTTGGTGATAATGTAGCCTCAGCTTTAGGTTATAGTTTATCAAACAGTATAAGTCTCTCAAATTTGACACTCGATCTATAGTAAAAACTATTATTTTGACATGATTTTTATATTTCTTTAATTACTGTTAACTCTACTCTCTATATTAAGATCCCCCTTACTATAAGACCCCCTTTTTTCTAAATTAGGGGAGGAGGTGGGTCTTATTATAGAGAGTTTAAATACAGTAAATATATAAATAGTAAATTAAAAAATTATAATGTCTTTAAAAGCAAACATTTCAGTTAATTGACTTTTTAAATTTTCCTAATTTGCTCATTTATCAATTTAAATTTTAAGTTTTTTTGTTGGTTATTAATTTCAGAATTTAAATAAATAATTTATTTGATAATATTTTGTTTAATATTGAAAAAGTTAAAATTAAATTAGCTCATAGGGTGCATCAGAATTATTTTTTGCTTTAGCAAATTGCGCAAATCTTTCCAATTTGCTAATCAACCTCAAGTAAATAAATATATTCCATATAATATTTGATATTTCTTTTTATCCAAATTTAATTAAAATAATTTTATTTGAATTTCGGTTAATTAATTAATTAATTAATTAGCTAACTAATATTTATTCTGATTCATATAAAATTTTGAATTGGTATTTTTTAATAGATATTTTAAATAATTGCTATTTATTCTTATTTTTTTGATCCTTAACATATAATTTTGTTAAAAATTGAAAAAAGTGATAATTAGTTTGGTGGTTAGGGTTTACAATGCTTAAACTTTAAACAATAAAACTAGTCAAATCTCTCAGGTTTAAAACTAATACTAAAGTAAATTTTGTTTATTTATTTATTTATTTATTTATTAATTTTTTATATAATCTCAAGCAAAAATATCTTTATTAACTTTTTAAATATTTTATTTATTTTTAATTGAGTTTTGTTTTTCTGTCTATTTTATTTTGAAATTCAATATACATTTTGATTCTTAAATTATCCTTACTAAAAAATAATTTTTATCAAAAAGTGATAATAATATTGGTCCTTAAGATACTTCAGGCTTAGGTTCTATTTTGTTAAACTACCCTAGTCTTTCTCATTTAAAAATTGATCTTAAGTAAAAATAATAATATTATTAATTTCTATCATGACATTCCTATTTACGAAAAAATAAAATTATAAATCTATTTAAAATTTGATTTTAATAACTTGTTTTTTATTGTATTTAATTTTTTATTGATAATAACATTTTTATAGATGGAATTCTATTGATGATTAAGGTTTTTCAGATTTAGGAATTAGTTTAGCAAAATGCACTAATCTCATAAAATTAACTCTCTTAACTTTGTAAATTTATTTATTTCTTTTTGTAGAGAACTAACTAACTAATTAACTAACTTTCTGTATAAAATTTAATTTAAAACTCTAAAAATATATATATTAGAATTTTGTTTAATTTTTTCTTATTATGTGTAAGAGGGTATTGTGTAGCCACTCAATATTATTTTTTAATGAAATTTCTTGTTTAATTTAGAATAAAGTTTAATTTAAGAGATAAACTCAACCCCTTACCTTCCCCTTTACTTAATATTTTATTTAATGCTTCTTAATTTTTAAATGTCTATTTATTCATTTTAATTAAATACATTATAAGTAAAAATTAAATTGGTGACGAAGGTGTTTCAAGTATAGGCTCTGCTTTATTAAAATGTACTAAGCTCTCATATTTAAATCTCAAACTATCGTAAAAACATATTAATATTTTTTTATAGCAGTTATATTTTTTATTTAGAATAATACCAAAAATATCATTTTATTTAATTTTTTATCATATTCATTCAGCATATTATGTATGCTTGATGTTAATCAATCTTTTTTGATAATTTTCTTAATTTTATCTTTTTAACTATTTAATAATATTTTATTTTATACTAAAATAGTTAAAATAAAATAAGTAACAAAGGTCTCATAGAATTAGCTACAGTTTTAGCAAAATACACTAATCTCTTAAGATTTTAACTTTATTTAGAGTAAAAAAAAATAGCTTTTAAAAAATCTTTTAATTTATTTATTTTAAATTAATTTCATAAAAAAAAACAAGCAAAAGTTTTTTATTAATTTCTAATTATTTTTGTTTGCTTAACTTTTTTATAATAAGCAAATTATTTCCGTTGAATATTTAAATAGAAATAATTAAATTGACGATGAAGGAGTTTTAGGCTTAGGTTCTGCTTTAGCAAACTGCAAACGTCTCACATATTTGGAATTAAATCTCGAGTAAATAGATTTTATATATTATTTTTGATAACCTTTATAGCTTATAAAATTATCTAAAAAAAAAATTTTTTAGTCTAATTTTTATTTGGCTTATATACAATTTTATAATTTGATTCAATATCTAATTTGCTAACTATTTCTATTTTTTTAATTTCTATGAATAAATATTTAAAGAAATAATAATATTAATGGAGAGCACATCTTGAAAAAAAGAAACAATTTTCTGACATCTAAAAGATTAGTTGTTAACAAAATATCATTTTGACAATAATTGATTTCAAGGATAATTAAGATTATATCTTAATTAAACAAATAAAATGATTATAAAATAAAAGTAATATTCTTAATTTTATATGTCTTTATCTAAAACTGTTTATTCATGGAACGATAATAAATTTAATTTAGAACGATATATATAATAATAACAAAAAATATTAAATAAAATGATTTATTTTTTTGTTTGTTTTTTCATTTTCTGTAATAATTATTTATTTATTTTATTTAAATTTAATTTATCATTCATTATATATATTGATTTTTTAATTCAAGTTAATTTATATAATCAGATCATGAATATAATGAGTTTGTTTTTTACTTTTATTTATCAAAATTACACCAAGCTACTTAGATTGGAATTAATCTTATGCTAAATTAATGAATTTTATTAGAAAATTTAAATTTTAATAAACTTCACTAAATGAGATTCTTTAAAATTAAGCAAATACTTTTTGTAAGAGATTTTAATATTCTATCAATCAAAAATAACTTAAGCTGAATAAGGTAAACTAATAAGATCTTTTTGCTAAATTAAGTTTTCGGGTTTATTACTTGGCAAAAAATTAATCTATTTATTCATTCTTTTATTCTTTTGTTTTTAAATGATAAACAATACTTTTATATCTTATTTATATTTCTATATAAAATGAATTAATTTATGAAAACCTGATAAAAAAATATATTTTGACAATATCAGGAAAAAAGTAACAAACAAACTAATTATAATTTTTAAGCAACAGCTTATTTCTATTTTTTTTATATATTATAATTTAATAAATTAAAAATTCTTATAAATAAATAAATGAAAACTTGAGTTAATATAAATATTTTTTGGTTGATTAGTAGTAGGGGATTTTCAAAATAAATAAATAAGATTAATTAAGTAGTAAATACATTTTTACAGCTTTTATGCATTCATTTATTTTTAATTACATTTTAATATAGTTATTAATTAATTTGAATTAAGTTAAATTAGTAATTTCAGTTCGTAGTTTGTTTTAGCTTTATTTAAATTTTTCCTTCAATAAATAATGTTTGTTGCTAATTAGATGTTAAATATAATATTTAGATAAGTAAAAAGCTTCTTATTCTTATTTGATAATTAGTTTCAAAGATTAGCATAATTACTTAAATACTTAGTTAGTTATTAGCAAATTATATTTATTTGATTATTATTTTCAAGATTTCATTGAAGTTATTATTGATATTATTTTCTGAGTTTTTTGCACAATTGTCTTCATTTCTTTTGAAGCATGCTTTAAGTCTTTTTGCAAATCAAAAACAATTTTAGGAGCATATTTATTTGTTTGTATTTCAAGATTCTGAGAGTTTAATTTATAATTTACTATAAAACCATTTGAAAATACACCTTCAAATTTATTCTCATATAAATAGAATTGTCCATCTTCGTTTTCAAGTTTTACCTTCGCAGATTTATCTTATGCATTTTTTTGTAGTGTCTAACAAATTTTCTTGCAATAATCATAAAATTAAACATATTTCTCAGGTAATCTATCGATTGTGTATTACCTTTTATTTAAAGGCTCTTCTTACTTTATCAACGTGACCTATTAATAAATAATAAAAAATGATTCATTTTTATGTCTATTTGATTGTGCTAGTTAATTTTAATTACATCTCTGCCATCTGGAGAAATCACCATCGTTATGTTTTTTTAAATTGACTGAAGAATGAATTCTCTTCCTTCTGTTATTTCTATCGTTCCATTTTAAGTTGTTATTTTACTTGGAGGTATTCTTCCTACCTTCAGAGGAGATAATCTACTATACTTACTAGTGTTATTACTATTATTCTTGCAAGAACTGTTATCCTCTACTCATTTATTTTATTAAAATTATGAAGAAAGCATTAATTAATAAACAAATTTACTGTTTCCAGAGAGAAGATTTTTCATTTGAGAATTATTTTTGACAGCTGTACTATTATTAGTAGTTGGTATTCTTCTTTCTGGGCTTAGCATAAGATTTAATGTGTTTATTCTAGGTGACTCGTAATATTCTAAATTATTAGTTGTACTATTTTAATTACTTATACTGTTTGTTTCGCTATCACTAACATCAGTTTTTAGACCACTTTAAATTCTTGACTTACTCTTTACAGCTTAAACCTATTTTATAAAAAATTGGGATTTATTAATTTTATTATTTACTATATATTTTTCCATTTAAAAAGTTTTATTTTTTTTTTAAATAATTTATTAAATAAAATAAGTTACAGAATATTGTTGTACTCTTTAGGTGCCAACCTAGGATTCAAAAATTTATGAGTTGCGGTAAGTATTTACTTTAGAATTCATCATTTTTTCTTGTTAATCCTAGAGTTATTATTGATATTGAGCATTGAAGAACTCCTTGTTATATTCATTGCTTCCATTAATATTGTTTGTGTTATTTAGACTATAGTTAGCATTATCAGATGTTTAATTTTTAAAATGTTTTACTTTATCAAATTTTTCTTGCTTTTTGTATAAATCTCTATCTTCGTTTAGAAAGGTAATTGGTATATTCTACTATTGCTGCTACTAAGTTAATTAGACTTATGAAGATCTCATTGGTTAATTAGCAATTTGTGAAATAAGAGGTACTTCAGATTTCTGTTTTTTATCAATAATTTTAGGATGAGCATTTGTGTTTAAAATATTTTAAGCGTTTCCATTTTTTAAAATTAAGTTTTCATTATTTGTTTTCATTATTTCATTGTTAAATCTGCCATTTATGTTTTATTCTACAGAGATTCTATTATTGGCATTTTCCATATTTAGCTTACCTTAGAGATTATCCATACTGAACATTATAGCTTTATTTTTAGAAATTACTCTCTGAGGATTATATTACTCAGTGGTTAACCTAGCTGTATTTTGCTCTGTATTTAGTCTCTATGTATTACATTCGGTATTGTCTCTTGTATTATTAAAGTCAGTATTTAATCTTGTACCTTTGTAATCTGTGTTTAATCTAGAAGTATTCTGCTCTGTATTCATCTTAGGACTGCTAAACTCATATTTTATTTTATATTAATTTTATTCATTGCCATATTTATTGTGGTTGCTTTCATAATTATATTTATTAACTTCACTAGTAACTTTATTAGAAACATAACCATTATTTATTTTATTATTACTGTTGAATTCAATATTTATTTTATTATTGCTACTATAATCAATATTTGCTTTATTTGGATCATAATTAATCTTATTCGAGTTATAATCAACATTTATTTTATTAAAATCGCTATTATTTTTGTTTGAATAATGATCAACGTTAGATTTATTGATTTCGTTGCTCATTCTATTTGGATTGTCATGATTAATCATTTTGTTTGTATTATATTCTGTATTTATTTTATTAGAAACATAGTTATTATTCATTTTATTGTTATTGGAACTAAAATCATTGCTTAATTTATTTTGATTGTATTCTTAATTTATTTTGTATTATTAGTTATTGTTCATTAATTAATTAGAAGTATAGTCTATATTTATTTTATTATTATTATATTGGTTGTTTAACTTATTTTAAGTATTAAAATCATTGCTTCCATTTTTATATTCAGTGCTTACTCTCGATATGTTTTGTTCAGAACTGATCCTTTTAATGTTGTTTTCCCTATTTATTATTTTATTTTCGTTTTTTCTTTAATGAATTATCTCTTCATATTTATCTGCTTAGTCCTCCACACATTAAGGGTGATCCTTTTTGGTAAGATAATAATTTAAATTATCACTGGTATTTTTATTTCCAACATGCAGTTAAGGTGATTGATTTCTTTATAAGTTGGTTTGAACAGATTAAGGAGGATTGTTATTTTTCTTGTAGAATCCTTGATCGCTACTTTACATTACTTTTTGTGTTGTTTAATTTTGGACTTAGGCTTAAATTGGTTTATTTTCAAAAGAAACTTGATTTTTAGTTCTGTTATGAGATACTGTTTGAGGTTGAGGAAAATTGTTAATTTCACTTTAAATGTTGACATAGTTATTTGTGGTTGTATTTGTAGAATTTGTATTATTATGTGGAGGAGAAAATCTATCTACATCTGTAAGGGAATTTAAGTTCTATAAGAAGCTAGTTTGGACCTTTTTAGGAAGTGGAATCACCTTGCTCTATGAAATAGAATAACTATTATTCTTGTGTTATGATTATTATTAGCCATTGTTCAAAACAGAGGAGCTTGACATATGGTTATTTTGTGTATTTGGAGATTAGTTTCTTTCAATGTAAGAATTGTTATTTACAGGAGAGTTATTTCTTATGTTATTTGTGTTTTTTATATATTTATCATGATTTGAGTTAGCTGCTGTTCTGCTATGAATATCATGTTAATGATTAATTCCATTAATGAACTATTGACTTTGGCTTGTATTGCTATAATAATTATTATTTATGTTGCTACTATTTACAGTTTTATAATTATTAGTTGGATTAATTTGGTTATTAGTGATACTATTTTAAATATTATATTAATTACTATTTTGGTTTGTATTTATATTATTTTGATTGTTGCTATTATTATATACTATAGATTTAACTCCCCTTTTTTCTTAACCACCATAAGTAGTTATTGCACTATTATTCTATTGCTGTTAGTTTTGAGGAACAGGTGGTTGATTACTTTTTATTTTTTCAATATTGTTAATGAATGTTTATTTAATTTCTTATTAATTAGATGTTAATTTAGGGCTTTTGAAAACATCATTTTAATTTATTGCTTGACTTTATTGTGTTAAGCTCTTTCTTTCTGGAATAGCTATTTTATCTTTATCATAATTTAAAATTTGATTTGTAGGACTTTGTTTTCTTATATTTAATTATTGATTATGAGAATGAATTTCTTTTACTTTTACTGTATGAGAAGCATCATCTTTTTATTTATTCATGTTATTTTACTGATTTTCGACATCGAACCTATCAACTGGACTATTTTTCCTAGCAAAATTGATTTCTTTTTAATTAAGGATTTGCTTATCATTTTATTTGACTAAATTATTTTGTGATTACTTTTTATATTGTATTTAGTTTAAATTATTACTCATTATGTTCAAATCTTCATTTTAAATTTTGTTATTTTTTAAAGCAGCTATTTAATCATTTTTATAAATCATTTAATTTTTTCTTTCATGAATATTAGTTGGGCTGTTTGATTTCTTAGGCATAGATCCTTCTTTGTGTTCGAGCTAATTAAAAAAATTATCTTAATACTTTATGTCAATCTTTTTAACCCCATTTTAATGCACATTAATTCTTTAGTCTTCTCCTTTTACACTCCTTATACTATTAAAAAAAGAGAGAGACTCCTCTTCCTCTTATCTCTACTTTACGCTTTTTTGCCTCATTTCTTCATAAAAAGGATGCATAAGAATCTAGTCAATAGTAAACCTCGAATCTTAATTCTAATTTATAATAATTAAATTAAGAGTGAGTTTTACAACTTTGTTGAAATAGAAAATAAAATAAATTTGAAATAGAAGATTGATTATTTCAATCTAATAAAATTTGAAATTTTTCAATAGAAATTTAGTAATTTAGAGAAAAAAATTATCTACCCAATTGATTATATTGACTAAAAGGTCCTTTAAATTATCAGAAATATTATTTGGCAACTCAAAAAACTGTTCCTAACTTGTAACTTTCTTTAAAGTTTGAACAATATCCTAACCTTAAAATGGCGGATGGCCAACAATCAATGCATAGAGAATGCACCCGAAAGACCAGCAATCAATTTTCATCCCATAAGGTTATTTGTTGAGAATTTCTCTATATTAAATAGATAAAATATCAATTAGCATTATTTATTTAATATGAATTTATAAGTAAAAAATAATTTTATTCAAAATAAAGTATATATAAGTATATTTTATATTTAAAGTCAATCAAAAAAAACTTAAATGTCTTTCATTTTATTTTATCATTTTTCTCTTAAGATCTAAACTTGAAATTTTTACACAAGACAAATTCATTAGTTTTTAAGATAAAATAAATGAACTTATTTTTTGAAAAATAGAATTAAAATCATTTTTTTATCATTAAGCTTCCTATAAATTATTTTTTTTTATTATATTTTAAAAAATTCCATTAACAGAAGTATTTTTTTTCAAAGCTATTTTCTTGTTCTTTTTAAAATTACCCTTCTAATTTTAAAATTTACGAAAAACTAAATTCATGATTTTAAAGCATTTCTTTTGGTTAAAAACAAACTAATTTAATAATGGTTATCATATTTTTTAAGATATTTATTTTGGTTATTTTATAAATGTAAATTTATTACGGAGATATGTAGTTCGGAGTACCACAAATTGTATTCTTTTCTTATTCATTTCCATTCAATCTCACTGCTAATCCGAAATCGCAAATTTTAACCTAGTGATCAGAACTAAGAAGAACATTTCCCAATTTTAAATCCCTATGGATAATAGATTTGTCATGAAGATATTTCAATCCTTCTGCTAATTTATAAGTTATCCGCTTTGCTTCTGTTTCAGAAAGTCTAATAAATAAATAATTTAAAATATTAGAAATGCCTATTACTAACTAAATGCTTTTTCATAATGTTTGAATATTTCTTTTGAGAAATAAAAAATTCAAAAAAAAGATGTCCATTAAACTAAATTCTCCTAATAAAAGCTAACTTATTACTTTTTGTGGTGCTTTAAATAATGAAACAAATCGCCTCCTTCACAATACTCCATAACTAAATATAAATTTTCTGAGTCTTCAAAACTTTTGATCATCTTAACAATATTTTTGTGCTTAAGATCAAGATGTATCTTTATTAAAATTTGAAACAAAATATCTTAAATATCACTCTCATTTGCTATAAAAATAAATCTACCTCTATTTCATTTTTAAGCCTCTTGTATGCTGACTTGTAATACTAACTTTATTTGTCAACTACTTTTATAGCCTTTAAAAAATATGATCAAGAAGTGCTCGTTCGTTATAATTAAATGTTAATAGCATTTTTGGCTTTTAAAAGGTAAAGATATCAAATAGAATAAATAACTTTACATATTCTTTTTTTGTCTTAATTGATTTAACCTTAACAACTAAGCTACCTGCGCCACTACCTATGGGATGAGAAATGATGTAATCCTTTTGAATATTTAAATTTTGAGTTTAGAATTGTAGAATATATGTGGCTTTATATTATTTTTTACAGATAGCTAAGCAGAGAGTGAGTTGAATAGAGAATTTCTTTCTTACTCGTTTATCTCTTGATTCTGCTCATCTGAATTTTATTCTTTGGCCTCTTCTTGACTAAACATAGTAGCTTGCTTGCTTATTTCTAATCAACAATTATTAAGCGATGCCCTACCTACCTGCTAACTTGTTAACTTACTTACTTACTTGCTTATATAATCAATTAATTAATCTTTGTGAATATTTTTAATCTTAATTCTTGTATGAAGTAAAATATATGCTTAAATATTAAGATATCCAAAGTAAATTAATAAATTATTGAATAAATCATAATTAAACTCTAAAAATCTATTAATTGATTGATTGATTTATTTTTTTAGTTAATATTTTCTTAATCAATCAATAAATTTTTTTTAGAATCTTTAAAATTTTAACTGGGCTTTTTGTAATTCTTTCAAAGAGGATAGAAACAAATAATCAATACGAATTCACTTTTTTAAATTATTTGGGTACAAACAAATATACAATTCAGCATCAAACACTCATTAATTAAATTAATATTTTTAAATTATTTCAATTATTAATTTAATGATTGATTTGATAATTATTGACTCTCCAAACAACTATATTTATTATATATTAAATAAATAAATAACTATTTTTTCAAATATTCAACTAAATATTTTTACATATTTTATCAATTAATTGTTTTTTTTCATTACGTTAAGTTTAAATAAATCTATTAGTTTCATAAATTTATATATGAATGTATTAATTAATTAGTTATATAGCTCATAAAATAAAATATAAAGAATTAAATAAAAAAATAAATAATAAAATTCTTTCATATTTAATTTTCATCTCAATTAAAAAAACAAAGATTTTATATTTTTATTTTTTTATATTAGAAAGCATATTCTGATTTAAAAAATAAAATATAAAAATTTTAATTTATACTGTATATACTATAAATTACCAACAAAAAAAATTTTATTTAACACTTACAGGTACTAAATTTTTTTTTAATTTTTTATAAAAGATTATGGAATTATTTAATTTAGATTTAATTAATAAGAATATATGTTAGGCTTAAATAAATTTTGAATATTTGTTTGATTTACTATAAATGTATCAAGTATAATTACTTTAAATAATAAACATAGAACATAACATTTCTTATTATTTTAAATAAATTTTTTAGATAAACTTTTTTTCAAATAAACAACTTAAATTAAATAAATATAAAACAACTTAAATTATTTTAGAACTACTTAAATTTTAATAATATCTTTATTTTTTCTAACTTAATTTTAAACTTGATTTACATTATAGTTCATATAAATGCTGCTATAGTCGGCATGGTGAAGTAGTAATCACGAAGGTATCACGAAGGTCTAATAAACCTTAATCCTAGGTTCAAACCCTAGTGTCGACTTTTTTATATTTTTTAAAAAGAAAAATAATTTTTATTTTACTTTCATTCATTTTTTTCTATTAAATGTTTTTATTTAATGTTTATAAAATTATTTTTTTGTTATTTTCTAAATATTATTTATACATAATAAGTAATATTAAAACAAGTAAGCAAATAAAAATAAATCAAACAAACTGTTATAAAAATTAAGTTAGAAAAATATAAGTGTTTAATAAAAATAAATATTTTTATTTTTCCAAATTATTAATTTTAAAATAAATTTACTAATTAAAAGGTATTTATATATATTTTAATTGAATAAAATCTTAAAAATAAATTTTTTAAAGATATTTAAGTTGTTATAAGAAAATAATAATTATTTTTTTAGTATTAATTATATTTACTAGAATAGGATTAATTAAATAATCCAAAATTTACTCAGAAATATAAAACAATCAAAATAAAATAATTTTTAATATCTGTTTAAAATAGTCTAATTATTTAGTAAGTAAGTAAGTTAACATGCAAATTATATGATAATAGCCAAAAAAAATATAAAATAATAAACAATCCTACTTCTCATAAATGATCCTCATAAAAATAATTTTTAAATTTTTTTAATTTTAACCTATCTTAATTATAAAATAATTTAATAAAATTTGATTAGCTTATTAAAAAAATATTTAACACAGTTTATAATAAAATAAATGGTTAGCTTAGCTTCTATTGATTGTTCGAGATGGTTTTTATTTTTAAAATTTTTTAATTTGTTATAAATGGTACAAATATAAAATATTTACAATGTAATTGGTGTTAATTAATTTATATATTTACATGGAGTATTTATAAAAGTAATAAAATTATTTATTCATTTTTTCTACTTTTTCTTTTTTTCAGGAGTGTGTTCAATTATAGTTTCTTGCTAAATAATTTATGTTTCTTCTTTTGGTAACTCTTTTTCACTTTGATGGAAGAGAGAATTTTCAATACAATAAGAATGAAGTCGAGCATACTATTTACATTTAAGCTTTTGATCTGCTACAGTGAAAAATTTAGATTCATCCATTTCTTGGCTACTTTGAAGATTGTAATTATTTGTATGATAGGCAGACTTTTTTATATCTGTTTTTTTAGCAGCTTCGAGTACATGCTTAAGACTGTCTTCTATAATTTTTAAAGTTAAATCTGTAAATTTCTTAATTCTACTTATGTCATTTTTTCTTGCTTCTTATTTTTAGATATCAGCATCCATATTAGATTCTAATTTATCTATTTCGTTTTCTAATTTAACTTTATCCGCTTCACAACTTTGTTTCATTTATGTAATATAATACTCATATTTATCTAAATTATCAAAATCAAATCCCCAGACAATAGATTCGTCTAGCCTTTTATCCCTTTGCTTTTGAGTTTCTTTCTTTTCTTGATCTCCTTTATTGGCATCTGGTTCAGGGAGAGTTGATTTTATTTCTTGCTTATTCAAAATAAAAACGCTGTACAAATCCTCTAACACTTCAAGCCTTTTTCTATTAAACTCATTTTCTTTATTCTAAAGTCTACCTTTGACAAGATAGTCATACTAAAGCATAGCCTTTTTGCTATCAATCAAAATTTCGATAGCCAAAACGTATTGATCTACATGATAAAAATACCTCACCCAAAGTCTGATGAAGTTTTCAAACTTCTACTCAAAATCTTTTAAAGGATTTTAATTCATATCTTTTCCTAATATTAATTGTTTGTTTTTATTAATTCTATCAAAACTTCAAATAAATCAATATATTATTTTTTATAATAAAATGCTTCTATCTACAACAACTATATACTATATCTATATCTGGATAACTAGTTAGCAAGCTAGCTAGCTAGCTTGCTAGCTTTATACTAACTAATAATAAAATTTGAATTATAAATTGTCATTATTTATAAACTTATTTACTATTTCATATAAAATTTAAAACAATTTATAAATATTTTATTCATGTTATTTTGAAATTTTAATAATTAAATATATGAATAAATAAATAAATTAAACTCTATTAATACTAATTGAAAAGGTAAGAGTAATAAAAATTATGAAAAATAATGATGATAAAGATATTATTTAGACTTTCCTATCAAATTATTTAGTTAGATTTAAATGAAAAATTTAAAATAAAAATAAAATAATTTGTTGATATCAGAATAAATATGATAATTAAATAAGGCATATTTTATTAAGATACTTTAAGTTTTTAATATTGAAATTCATATAATTTAAAATTCGTTATTGCTAATCCTTTCATATTTAGCATAATAAAATATTTTAGAAAAGTAATTTAAATATTAATTCTGTTAGTAATATTCATATTTCATAGATTGAGAGAAAACAAGCAGGTTAATAAGGTAAATTATTTAATAAATATGTACGAAATAAAATGCATACCATTAATTTATGAATAGCTTTAACTAATTTTATTAAATTGATTCATTGAATCAATCAATGCTGACATTTAACTATTTTATTATTATAGAATCTGACTTGCTTCTTATTGAAAAACCTATTTAATATAAGCCTGACTTTTCAAGGATAGTACTTTTTTTATTTTCATCTAGTTTGATAATGTTGTAGCTATTTGGGTAGTCAGACACTTCAACTAATCCTTCAGAAAGGTTAATTTTAAATTAGAATTATTTGAAATTTTTCCTTAATCTCATTTTATCACCTTGCTTTACACAATCAATTCCATAGCCATTATTAAGATCCTTAGAAGCTATACAAAATGATAACTTTTCGTTATATAAATGATCTGTATTTCCTTTGGTTGTCAAGCCTATGAAAAATGAAAAATGGTCCTGATTTTAGTAAGAAACTTCAAAAATGACTGAATAGGTAATGTTTTTATCAATAAATAATGTTGAAATAATGTTGTTGTAGTAATCATCCTCCTAACTGGTTTTCGTGAATTGAATACTTTAGTCTCCAAGAGCTATAATTTGTAGATCCTATTATGAGTTATAAAAATTGCTTTTGATAAAGGGATATTCCAATAGGTAGTTTATATTCTAAGGCATTGTTAAATCCACTCCTTCTAAAAAAGGGGATATACTTAAATACACTTTTTAGATTTTTTCCTTGATTTAGTTTGGCAAACACTCTTACTTTTAATTAACTAGCTTCATAAATTACTTAATTTAAGGAGATTACTCAACATTTTACTGTTATCCGTTATGAATAATATCAGAATACTTACTTATTTATGACATTTAAAACTCAGAAAAATCTTCAAAATTGATTGGCTTCTAAAATCCATCTTTGTATATTTAAACTCCTTTTAGATCATCAAAAATAAACTAATATTTATTGACAATCTATTTGAATTTGTTGATAAATTCAGATGAACATAAATTAGATTTATTTGAGATCATGCTGATTATTTAATTGACATGGTTGCTTTCATTCTATTTATACACTTAAACTTATTCGTTTTCTTTGAAAAAATTTATATTTCTGATTAAATTAATTATGTTGACCTTTATTTGATTTGGTTAATTTTGATCAAACTTTTTTTCGTGTGCTTTCAAAAAATTTTTAAGCAAATTTTCTGTTTCTTGCTACTTTTGCACTTTTTCCTCTATTATTTTTTGAAGTTCTATCTATGCATCATCAAATTAAGCTTGAGGATTCGTGAGTATATTTTTTATTCTATCTTTCTCCGCAATATCATTGTAAAGTTGCTTTATTTAACAAGCCTTCTCCTGTAGCTGATTGCACTTGATAACCATATCTTTTTGAACTTCATCTATAAATTTATTTACTTCTTACTTCAAGCTATCAAAATATTGTTAAATAATTTGTGTTTAATTTACAGTGTTGTTATTTTCTTTCAAAAATTAATCCAATTAACGAAGCAAGCTATTATTATTCATAGGAGGCCATTTTGGTAAAATTGTATCCTCATTTGACTTTAAAAATGTTTCTAATGATTGAAAATTAATAAATTATTCTTATCCTGAATCTAACAACTCCAAACACTGATTGCAAAGAAGAACACCCTCGCTATTAGAAGAAGAAAACTTAAGCTTAATATAGCTGGGTTTAAAATCTTCGTGATGTTTGCAATTAAATTAAATTTTTAATTTGCTATTATTACAAATCTCCATTAAAACTTAACTAAAAGAAAAATAAATATATTAGAATTATTAATTAGCGAGTAAATCAGAAATATTTTCTTTATTTTGATTAAAACAAACAAACAAACAAAATAAATTTTTATTTGAAGATAATTTAAATTAATTTTAGAATAGCTATCATAAAAGCAAATTTATTTTATAATATTTGTATTTTCTATTTTTTCATATATTTCTAATGAAAATAAATTAAGTAATTAATAAATGAACCACCATTTTAGTTTTTATTTTTTTCATAAAAGGAAACAAAAAAATAAAAAATCTTCTAGATCTTTATTGGAGGTAGAAGTTTTAAAATAAAATATATGATAGATATATAAATTATACAAATAATATTTTTTAAAAATTCATAAGTAAATTTCAATAAAATTAAATAATATAAATTTTATATAAGTTAAAAACTCTTCATTCTACTACAAAATTTAAAATCTTTCTTCTTTTTTGTTTACTCAAAATAATTAATTTAGTGATATATTACTGATCAATCAATCAATTGATTCATTGATTCATACCTAATTAAATTTCAACATCAAAAATAAATATAAATTATTAAATATCAATGGAAGAATATCATTTTATATATTAATAATTACTTTTTGTATATATTTATTTTTTATTTTATTTGTTTACAATTTCATTTTATTTTATCTTGAATAATAAAAAAATTAGAATCTTTTACATTTATGAAAAAACCTGGATACTTTTGCTTTTTTATTTATTTATTTATTTTAATATTTAAATCATTTTAAATGATAGTAGGAATAAATGGTAAAAGTTAATTGTAATACTTATCAATTTAACACTATTTCGGCTCTTAGATTTTATTTAATATTAGCTTTCCATTTGTTTTATAGGTTAAATGAGCTATCTATCAATTTCAAAATTAACCATTAATCTGGTAATATATTTTCAAACCCCTTTTTCAGATATCTTTAACATATGCATTAAATTCTGCTAAAAACTCACTCAGATTCGTCTAGAAGAAGATAAATTATTAATTAATTAATAATCAAATAAGTAGGCTTTAAGTGGTTTGATTTTGTAAAAAATAAATCATCAGAACATTAGAGAATAAAATATCTTTAAAGAGTATAAATATGACATAATAAAAGTAGATTGAATATGCTTTAATAAATAATATGCAAAAAAAAAGATAAGTTGAATTGTGCTTTACTTTATTCAATAAAATTAATTAAATTATTGATAAATAGTTCTATGGTTTAATTGATTGATCAATTAATTAGCTCTTCTATCTACCCTTGATAGATATTACACACTTTTAATTTGTTCAAAAAAGAATTTAGTTTTTAAAGCAACATAAAATAATAAATAAATTAATAAACACAAACCTTTGTAAACAATTTATAAAGAAAGGAAGATAGATAGATAACTTAGTTAAAAGGTTAAGAAACTTTAGCAATATATATTAAGCAACAAATAAATAAAATCCATTATAAAATGAACTACATGGCTGCTATACAAAATGCCCATCAAAAGATGAAGGCAGAAAATAAGATAGTTTTAAATACTCGTCTTGAAAAATCCAGAAAGCTTAGTGAAAAGTATGAAGCAAACATCTATTTAAAAAGAGAAGATAATCAACCAGGACGTACCTTCAAAATTCGTGGAAGCTTCAACTACATTTCAAAGATGAGCGAAGAAGAAAAGAAAAAAGGTAAATTCACAAATATAGAAAATCCTTTTATCTTCTTAATTTTTTTTCATTTTTTAGAAAAATAAATTTATTTTAAAGAGCATTCTAATATAATTACAAATTTTTTTATAATTAGGTTGTGTCACTGCATCCGATGGTAATTTTGCTTTAAGCTTAGCTATTGTTGCAGCTCACTTCTAGGTGAAAGCCCATATTTTCTTACCCAGTGTTACTCTTAAGCACAAAATTGATAATATCTTGAGATTTGGTAAAGAATTTGTTGAAGTCAGTTTAGTTGAAGCCAATTACGAAGAAACAGTTGAAGTAGCCAAAAAACACAGCCAAGGTAAGCCTTATTAAAAATATTTTTATAAATTATTGTAGAATTTTAAATTTCCTATATATTTGAGTATGTATATAGTTAACCTGTGCCATTTAAGCGATCCATAATTCATAAAATATGTTTTTTTCTTCCTTATTAATTAACGATTTTATTATATTTAGAAAAGGGTCTTAAGTATTTCCATTCTTTTGATGACGAATCTATGATAGAAGGAGCAGGAACTATTGGATAAGAAATTATGAAGGATCTAGAAGGTGATTTTGATTACTGCTTTATCCCTGTTGGTGGTGGCGGTTTAGCTGCTGGTGTGTCTTTTGTTATCAAATAGCTTTCTCCTGATACAAAATGTATAGGTTTAGAACCAGAAGGAGCCCCAGCAATGACCGAAGCCTTTAAAGCAGGACACCCTGTAATTCTTGATAAAATTTCAAGATATTGTGATGGTTCAGCTATCAGAAAGGTAAAATAAATAAATAGATAAATGAATATAGTATTTAGTTTAGGCTTTAATTTTGTTTTAGTATATCTAGCAAATAAGATATTATCAATAGAACTTACATTTAGAATGAAAATTACAATATAATCATTACAATAAAAAGATATTTCTCATTTCAATAATAATAGCATAATTTCAAATTATTCTAATAAAAATTTATAAAAAAGGTTGGTGATAAGCCCTTTGAACTTTGCAAAAAGAATTTGGATGAGCTTAAATTAGTTCCTGAAGGTTTGATAAGTTCTACAATCTTAAACTTATATGATAATGGTTTGATCACAGAACCTGCTGGTGCTATTTCTATTGCTGGACTTGAATTATATAAATAGGAAATTAAAGGAAAAAATATTGTTTGCATTTTAAGTGGTGGAAATACTGATCTTTCACGTTTAGATGAATTCAAAGAGCACTCTTTACTTTATGAGGGTTTGAAGTATTTCTTCTTGATTACTTTCCCTTTACGTCAAGGCATCTTAAGAGAATTCATTCAAAAGTGTTTGGGACCTAATGATGAAATTTCTCACATTCAATTTAATAAAAAACCAAATAGAGAACATGGTCCTGCTCTTATTGCTATAGAAGTTCAAAAGAAAGAAAATATGATAAAAATTACTGACAACATGGATCAAATGAATCTTAAATATAAAATTATTAATGATCAAAAAGATTTATACGATCTACTTGTTTGAATAAAATAACACACAAACTTACATCTTGTATGCATGTATGTATTTTATGTATGCATTTATATTTCCTGTTGATTTATTTTATTATTTTATTATAGACAACCATATATTTTTAGTTTATTCTAATTCAATCAAATGAAACTAATTAATTATCTGATTAAATCTATCCATTTTTAATTAAAGAGTCCTTTTTTGTTTTTTTAAAAGTACAAAAATTAGTTTCTTAAAATCATGAATTTAAAAGTAATTTTAAGAGTACGTACGTATTCATGAATTAAGAAGCTCATAAGTAAAAAGTCTTATGGAGGAGAGTGAAAATTTACAAAAGTAAATTTTTAATTTGTCAGTTTTTGTGTATTATTTTGATATTGAGAGATACATATTTTGTCAATTATGATTAAAATAGAGTAAGCTTCTTGATTTTTATATAATAGATTAATTAAATAAATAATTTTATTTTGACTATTTCCATAAAATATTATTTTATAATTTTTTAGTTATAATATGTAATTATTTATACTAAATTTTTAAATTTTAACTATTGTAAAATAGATTTTTATTATAAAGTAATTGTCAAAAGCAAATAAAAATCAAATATTAAAGAAGAATGTAATTTATACCAAATGGTTTAAGAATCAAGTAAGAGAGGAGGAAGGAGGAGATGTGGTATTTTTATTTATATTCGCACAATAACTCACTTTTATAATAAAAAATAATTAATAATTGAAATAAAAATTCATTGTATTCAGCTCTAAAAATGAACAAAGTTTTTGAATGTCACTAATTCTGCATGAATATAGTAATTTATTTTATTTTTTAATAATTAAGAAATACTTGATAGATATTTTTAATGACTTTTTCAAATAATATGTAATTTTTTTCAGATTGCATAAGAGAGTGATTTAAATGAATGGGAAAAAAGGCCATAAATAGTAGTTGTTTTAATTAGAGAATTTGTACCATTTAAATAAAATATTAAATAGGATATTTATTTAGATTAAAAGCAAGCAATACATTAACATATACATATTGAATATAATAATTTCTAATTTTTATTCTCAAACAAATTCAGATCGTAAGGAGGGAAGGAAGGAAGGATAGACGGACTGATTTTTCTTAAAAAGAAAATATTTAAATATTGTTCTTGAAATTAACAAATTTTAATAAAAGTGAAAAAAAGAGACGGAAGCAACTAAAAAATACTAACTGTCATAAGCTATTTATTTAAATGAATGTAATAATTATTATTTAAATCGATAAGCTTTTACTTAATGGTTTAGAATCTATACGATTAATAAATAATTGATCGTTCTTAAATGTTTTGTTAAACAAAAAATAGTGGATCGAAAAGTAATAATTCTACTTAAAAATTGTAAAGGAGAAAAGAAAAAGATAAAAACTAAAACTTGCTTTATTATCTCTGCTTGATTTGAAATATAAATAAATACAATTAAGAATAATTAAAAGGTACTTTAGGTAAAAATAATTTATTTTAATGATTTGATTCCTTTATTATTTTATAAAAAACAAAATATAGATATTTTTTTTTGAAATATCACAACAAATACATAATAATTAAATTAAAAATATGTTAGAATTTAATACCCAAACATTTAAATTAATATATCTTATGCTCTCATTACTTTAAACCCTATTAAGTATTTCATTATAATTTTAAAAAACTATTTCTGAAAATTCAACATGTTAATGTTAATTATTATAAAATTTGACAAAATATAATCAATCGAAGTAGTATCTTTTTTAAAATTAACAAAAAAATATTTGATGCCATAAATTCTAAATTTATTGAAACGATATTATGAGTATAGGAAGCATACAAAACATTATATTCATTTTCATTCTATTTAAAATTAAACATACATTTTCATTCTTACATATGAGGCTCACTCATTTAATTATTTTTCTTTGATTTTCTTTAAATTATTAAATTATGTCTAAAATATTAATTATTAATAGTTAAATTTGCGATTTGATACAATATTATTTTATTTTCAAACATTATCGAAGATTAATTTTAATTCATTTATTTGAAAGTAAAAAAGTTATTGAATTAATTTCTCCATGATAACAAAAAAGAAATTTTAAAAGCTAAAAAACTCAGGTTATGAGAAATTTTTTGTTAAGTTATAATATGTAATAGTACCAGGAATAATGAAAAAAACTCATTTTTGAATATTATAAATATGATTAAAGTAGTTTTAAGTAGGTATTTTAAGTTATCCATTTATTATTGCATAATAGTTTTTATAGCAAGTTATCAAAATGTATTGAGAGGTAAAAAAACTTTTTTATTAAAATGTTAAGAAACTCAGAGTATGAATCCAAGGAAGTATAAGCAACAAAAAGCTCTAAAATAGGTAAAATAGCTCATAAAATGGAATTATTTTAATTCAAACACATTTAAGATTTTTATTTGAATTTTTTGAGTATAATTCTATTGATTATCCCAAAGTAGAATAAACCCTATTTTTTAATGGCTGCTTCTCTCTGGCATATATTTAATCAATCCCATATCATATTTAACAAATTTTTTACATTTTTTTAATGCTTAAGTGCTCTTCATGATATCTAGCTTTAAAATTCTACGAAACAAACACAAATAATCTGAAAAATAAAGCCATAAAATTTAGTTTTTTATAAATAACTCGAGAACAATTGTTACAAATGGGAAGATATTCAAGCAAAAGAATCAATAGTTTGCAAATAAAAAGCAAATGAAGTACAAAATATGATAGATAATATTAAAATAATTTAAGAAACATTAAACAATCTAACTAAAATCAATTTTAAATAAAAATCAATTATCTCCCTTTTTCTTATTTATGATAAAAATTGATATTGAAAAGAAAAACTAAGAATAAAAGCTCTTTTAAAATTAAACTTTTATAAAATTTTTTCAATTTGTAAATAGTAAAATAGATAGAGATATAAATACATAAATAGATACTTTTTTTTGTAAATAGTATCATATTGATCATTTTTAGATTGAAGATTAAATACTAAACAAACTAATTTATTTATTGTTTATTTAGGTGGTTTTTCAATTGATAATAATTTTCTCAAATTCAGGCATATTTAAATAATTTTTCTTTGTATTTTTACCATAGATATGTTTTGTTTAAAAATTGTATTTTCCTTCTCTGCTTAGTTACGAAGAATAGATAGCTTGTTTCCAGTTTATCAATTAAATCAATTATTTTTAATGTTCAGAATAAAGTTAGAAAAAAATTTTAATAAATTTATTGTCAAAAATTTTAAGAAATTTTTATGTTTCTTTAACAATATGGCTGTCTGGATATTTAAAATGATTTACTAACCAATATAAATGTGAGATAATCATTTTATTTTATTATTATTATTAAACAAAAAATTATGTTGATACATATTATCATAAAAGTAAGATAAGAAATCAATTATTCTTATTAGTGTAACATTATTCATACTGATTACTTTCATAAGAGATATCAAATAAAATGTTAGATAACTGACTTGAATTAAAAACTTTTTTAATTTAAATAGTCTCCTAGCCTTTTTTTTAATTCTTTGTAATTTAATTAACAAAATAATAACGATTTTATATCTTAAGAGATTATGTCCATTATATTTATTGCTCAATATATAACAAAGGTTTTAACAAATTTTTAATTTAGATTAATCTCAAGTCAACTTTTTTGATAATTAAAGACAACCATATCTAAAGATTAATGATTTATTATACAAAAAATTCTTCTTTTAAAAAATGGTATTTATTTATTGATATACAAGCTAAACTAAAGCACTTACTTAATTTTAAAAATTTTAGCCATACTAATTTTAAGGTATCCTAAGCTATAAAGTATAATGAGTTGAAGGATTTTAAAAATTGCTTTGAGTATTCTTGCTCTAGAAATATTGTGGTGAATTGCCAGTTTGTTATTTATTTTTTGATTTTTAAATATAATCCAATTTATTCAATTCTGAGTATTATTAAATTAATCTACATTTTTACTTTTTTTTTAGTTAAATTTACAAACGTTTTCAATTTTTTAAGCTCATAAAAACCTTTTTGAAAAATTTAAGCAGCGTTATCATAAATTATACTTATCAATAAGTAAATATTTTTTTAATGAAATTAAAGTAACTAATATGATATTATTATTGTTTTATCTTTTTCAATAATACTTGTTTAAAAATTTAGTAAAATTGTTTAAACTCAAATTCAATTATTTACATTTTCATTTTTATATTGTAAGCTTAAATATATTAATTAATTAGTAATCAAAACAGAATAGAGCAAGCAAAATCTATTCTTTTATTAGTTTTTTAAAACAAATTTTGATTAATTTAAATAGTCATTATTTAAATTACTTTAAAAAAAGTATTATAAATTAATCAAAATTTTCAATAATATAATGTAGCAAAATTAATAATAAAACAATAATTTGTTGGCCAATTCATCTCTAAATACACCTGAACCTGATGAGTATAGGGATACTTAGTTAAAAAATTCAGATTTCAACTAAAAATAATTAAGTCAACAACTTTAAATTAATCAGTTAGTAAAAAAAACTTGTGAAGATTGTGATAAAATAAGAATTTTGATAGGATAGACTGGAAGTGGTAAAAGTAGCTTTGTAAAGAAAATAACTAATTTAGCTGAAATCTAAGTGAGCGGTGGGAAAGATTCATGCACAAAAATATGTAATAATTACATAAAAGATGGAATTAAATACATTGACACTCCTGGCCTTAACGATACGAAAAGGAGTAGAGAAGAAGTTTTACTTGAAATTGTTAAATACCTGTTTTCTTAATAAATCAAAATATGTTAACTATTTTTCATTTATGTATCGAATAAATAGCTTTAGACATAACAAAATGATATCAACGAGTTAGTCTACACTTACTTCTTATATGAGTTGTTTAAAAATGATATTAATTCAACCACTCTTAAGAGTCTTATTACTGAATTCTAGAACAGTAATCACTTTTTGAAGTGGGTAGAGTGCAAATATCATACTGGTCAAGATGCCTTCAGTCTCAAAAGAATTGAAATTTATAAGCAAAAAGATAAAGCATTAAATTATATTCAATATGCGAACAGCCATCATATTTTCGTTTCCACTCATTTTGATAAATTATAAAAAGAAACATTTGATGAACGCGATGAATACATGCTAAATTCTCTGAGATAGTAAATTTGGTCAAACATTACAGATTCTGAACTGACTAAACTCAAATCATATAAAGATTACATCAAGCAACAAGAAGAAAGTTTAAATGAAAAAATTCTTAGAATTATAAAACTTGCATAAAGTTATTATTAAGTTGATAATATATAAGATGTACAAAATATTATTATCATAGGTGAATCATAAGTAGGTAAGTCTTCTTTGATTGAGTAACTAACTGAATATAAAGGACTTAGAGGAGATTCTACAAATTCCAAATCAAGATTTTGCGAAATATTCCCAGTTATATATAACGATGTGAGATACAACTTTATTGATACTCCAGGATATGGAGGTACTGAGAGCAGAAGCAGCTACTTTGATAATTTTAAATTGATAGCTGATTTTCTTAGAAGGAATAAAATATTAGAATTTAAAATTCTATTTGTTAGTAATGCTGAAATATAATGTAGAGATAACACTGATTAAATTGTAAAACAATTTCTTCTTTTCATTTAAGAGCTATTTGACTAGGAAATTACTTTAGTAGACTCAGATAAGCTAGGCGACATCCTTGAAAATAAATTTGACAAAGAAATAAGCTAAAAAAATATTAGACATGTCAAAAGCAAAATGATTTAAGTTGAGAGAAGGGCTGAAAAAATTCACAATAATAAAATCTATTTCAATTTTGAAATATAGAGCGTTGAATTTAATTGCAACTATAGGTATTGGAAAAGTCTCATTTAAATAAATGACGAAGAAGATTAGCTACAAAAAAAGACATTATTCTAGGCTATAAACTCTATTGAGAGCTTTTCTGTTGAAGACAAAATTTAATTAAAAATTACAAAATTTTAGGATTTCTATATTATTACAGATCCAAATGAGTATAAGGAATAATACCAAAGGATATTTCTTTTATATTGTGAGCTCAACAAAATAACTACATAAATGAATGAATGTTAAATTCCATCATAAGAGCAAATACAATAAAAGATAAAAATTTAAAAGGAATTAGATACCTTAAACTTTGGATTACTTTCTAATTTTAATAAAATAGATGAAATTTAAAGTGCCCAACAAGAACTTTTTGATAAAAACTCTATTGAATAAGGCTAATTATAAAATATGTTAAAAAATAACATTTAAAGACACTTTTTAATATTGTATTAATGGAATTCTTACTAATTCTAAGAGGAACCATCAAGCGAAAATATTTTACTCTCAAGAAAACAGCTTCACTTTTGGAATTTAGTTTATCATCTTTAACCAGTTATTGATATCGAATAACACAGGTAGACTTTGGAAGATCTAGCCAAATTAAAAGTGATCAAAGAGATTACTGCTTATTAGACTATTTAAAATGGGATAATTGATGCTTTTCAATACGAAGACTAAGAAAATTTAAATTTGACCATTTAGTAATTTTTTGAATCCATGGATAAAATTATTGGAGTTGGGGGAGAAGGGTTTAGAAATATGACATACTTCAGTTATAATGCTAAGTTATTAATAACTTCTTTCAAAGCTATAAAAGAGGTCAATAGAATTTTGCTTGCTTTAAATGTAGTTGCATCACTTGCCAGTATTGGATTTGACTTTTCTTCTTATCAAAAGAAATATATTTGCTCTTAATAGATGTAGGTAAATACAGCCTCTAATGTTTTAAGTGGACTTCTTGGTATTGCTGCTTTTTTAATCCCTGGAGTAGGATGGGTGCTTGGCGGAATAGCAGCTGCAATAGGATTAATAGGGAATTTGTTTTCTCAACTCTTCTATACAGACAAATAATAGTTTGATGAAACTATTGGATTATTTTTTAAAGATTTTCTAAATGAAAAGAAAATTCCTTTATTGTATTTTTAAAAGGCAGGTTTGCTAAAGGAGAAATATTGTATTGAATTATATTCTCAACCGTAATGTGAAGAGGCTTATGATTATTATAGAGACCTGTAAATAGACAATTTTGAAAAAAATAAATTGATTTTATCAAATATTCATAGAGGGACACTAGATGAAAAATAACAAAAGGATCTAATTTCTTAATATATATATAAAGAATACATAATAAATAAATTTATCATTTAATTTGATGAGGTTTAACCAGACTAAGTTTTAACTTAAATTCCAGAAATAAAAAAATTCATTGTTTTTAATGAATAAATTATTAAAACCTTTTTTAATAACTTCGAAGATAATAAAGAATTATTAGAGAAAATATATTCTAAAAACAATTTCAAAGAATAAATTAATAATATATTGGAATCATAAAACCCTACAGAATAATTAGGTCAGTTCAATAAATGCATGTAAGAGTACTCCAATAATCTTAACGAATTTGTAAAATATGTTAAATAAATAAATTATACATATGATAAATGTATTAAGTCTACTAATAAACTAAAAAAAGGTAATTCTGAAATTTTATTCAATAGCTATTCTAATTTAGCTGAAGAAAAGCAAAAATATTTATGTGAACAAAGCTTAATTACAGAAATTGAGTTATCTCAAGATAAACATTCCTTTGTAATTAAAAAAGAATTTCAAAATTAAAATTTTTTTAAATTAGAGAAACCAATCTAAGCTTTATTAGATTAAATATCCTAGTTGTATAATTATGAAACTTTCATATCTTCAAGGTATTTGTAAAAGTTCAAAGGTAGAGAAGAGCTTAATCTAAGTTTCTGTTCTTTAGAAGATAATCTAGAAAAAAACTTAGAAAAATCTGTAGATTTATTATCATTTTTAAAAGAAAAAGTCTCTGAAGAAGAATTTATGAAATGTGTTTCCAATTAATTTTAGTAAATTGATACAGCTACTTACACAAGAATATAGTCCTTCTTGAGAGCCTATTAATCAATATAAGAAAAATTCAATTAAATAGAATAGAAAGAATGAAAGCCAGACCACTAAACTAAAATAAAAAAGGTAGGAATGGCATACTATTACTATTAAATTAAGCTAATTTAATTTTTTATCTTATATCTTTGTTGTATGTTTTCTCAATTTGAATATGTTATTTTAAATATTAAATACAATTATAATAGATTTAAATAATTTCCAAATTATTTTTGAAAAATATTAAAAATTTCGTTTATTAATTTATTAAATTACGTTTAAAATATATATTGCTTTAAAGTGAAATTTGGATTTGATATAATACAAAAAAATTATACATAAAAAATTATTTTGATAAAATTTTGTTTTATTTCGAAATATTATCTAAGCTTAACACAAAATATTTAGTTAATTTCTCAATGTTAATAAAAGAGATTTTAGAAGCTAAAAACAAACTGAGGTCATGAAATATTTTTTTGTTAAGTTATAATATGCTATAGCAGTATCAGGAATAATGAAAAAAACTTTTTTTGAATATTATAAATAAGATTAAAGTATTTTTAATTAGGTATTTTAAGTTATCCATTTATTATAGCATTATAGTTTTTATACCACATTATCAAAGTATACAAAGAAGTTAAAAAATAATTTGTATTAAAATGTTAAGAAAGTTAGAGTATGAATCCAAAGAAAAAGCAACAAATAGCTCTAAAATAGATAAAATAGCTAATTAAAAAGTATAAATATTTTAATTCAAATACATTAAAGATTTTTATTTGAATTTTTTGAGTATAATTCTATTTATTATCTCAAAGTAGAAATAAACTCCATTTTTAATTGCTATTTCTCTCTGGCATATATTTGATATATGAATCCCAATCATATTTAATAAAATCTTACATTTTTTTAATATTTAAGATCTCTTCATGATATCTAGCTTTAAAATTCTAAACAAACATAAATAATCTTAAAAATAAAACCATAAAATTTAGTTTATTATAAATCACTTGAGAATAATTGCAAAAATGGGAAGAAATTCCAGCAAATTAATCTATGAGAGAGAGCAAATAAAGGATAAAATATGATGGATAATAAAATAATGAAAAAATATAAGCAATCTAATAAAATCCAACTTTAAATAAAACTCAATTATCTCACATTTCCTTATTTATTATTAAAAAGATATACTAAGAATATAAGCTCTTTTAAAATTAAAAATTTATAGAATATTTTCAATTTTTAATTAGATAAATAAATAGATGCTTTTTTTGTAAATAATATCCTATTGATTTCACTATGTGATTGAATAATTGAAGATTAGATACTAAATGAACTAATTTATTTATTAATTAATTAATTAAGTGGTTTTTTAAATGAAGATATTATTATATTCCGCTTTCATAATAATTTACTCAAATCCAGCATATTTAAATTATTTTTCTTTGTTTTTCTACCATAGATGTATTTTGTTTAAAACTTGTATTTTCCTTTTCTAATTTGTTACGAAAAAAAGATAGCTTGCTTACAGTTTATCAATTCAATCAGTTTATTATTTTCTTTTTAATATTGTAACCTTAAATTTAAATATTAATTAATAATCAAAACAGAGCAGAGAAGGTAAAATCAATCCTTTTATTTGTTTTTTTTTTAAATAAAGTTTGATTAAAAAATATAGATTCATTTAAATAGTCAATTATTCCAAACTACTTATAAAAAAATCATAAAAACAAATATTTTCAATCTAATGTAGTAAAAAAACAACAATTTGTTGGGTGATTCATCTCTAAATACAACTGATTAGAAAGTAAATGGGCAATTTCTTCATTCATTCAAAAGGGATGATTAATTAAAAAAATCAGATTACATCTTGAAAAAATCCAGTCTATGCGAATTTGATGAGTTAGAAAGTTTAATTTGTAATGATAGTGTTAAAATAAGAATTTTGATAGGATAGGCTGGATGTGGTAAAAGTAGCATAGTAAAGAAAATAACTAATTTAGCTGAAGTCTAAGTGAGCGATGGGAAAGATTCATGCACATAAAATTGCAATATTTACATAAAAGATAAAATTAAATACATTGACACTCCTGGCCTTAACGATACTAAAAGGAGTAGAGAAGAAGTTTTACTTGAGATTGTTAAATACCTGTTTTCTTAATAAATCAAAATATGTTAACTATTTTTCATTTATGTATCAAATAAAAAGCTTTAGACTTAGCAAAATGATATCAACGAGTTAGTCTACACTTACTTCTTATATGAGTTATTTAATAATGATATTAATCCAACCACTCTTAAGAGTCTTATTACTGAATTCTTGAATAGCAATAACTTTTTAAAGTGGTTTTAGTGCAAATATCATACAGTTAAAGATAATTATAGTTGCAAAAGAATTGAAATTTACAAAAAAAAAGATAAAGTATTGAATTATATTCAATATGCAAACAGCCATCATATTTTCGTTTCCACTCATTTTGATAAATTATAAAAAGAAACATTTGATAAACGCGATGAATACATGCTAAATTCTCTGAGATAGTAAATTTGGTCAAACATTACAGATTCTGAACTGACTAAACTCAAATCATATAAAGATGACATTGAGCAACAAGAAAATAGTTTAAATGAAAAAATTCTTAGAATTGTAGAACTTGCATAACGCTATTATTAAGTTGATAATATATAAGATGTACAAAATATTATTATCATAGGTGAGTCTTAAGTGGGGAAATCTTCTTTGATTGAGTAACTAACTGAATATAAAGGACTTGTAGGGGATTCTACAAATTCCAAATCTAGATTTTGCGAAATATTCCCAGTTATATATAACAATGTGAGATACAACTTTATTGATACTCCAGGATATGGAGGTACTGAGAGCAGAAGCAGCTACTTTGATAATTTTAAATTGATAGCTGATTTTCTTAGAAGGAATAAAATATTAGAATTTAAAATTCTATTTGTTAGAAATGCTGATATAGATTGTAGAGAAAATTCTGGTTAAATTATAAAACAATTTGTTCTTTTCATTTAAGAGCTATTTGACTAGGAAATTACTTTAGTAGACTCAGATAAGCTAGGCGAAATCCTTGAAAATGGCTTTGAGAATGAAAAAAGCCAAAAAAATATTAGACATATCAAGGATAAAATTATTTAAGTTGAGAGATTGAGTAATAATGATCGCATAGGTGAAATATATTTCAATACATTTGAAATAAAGAGTGTTTAATTTAAGTGTAACTATAGGCTTTTTGGATAACTCCATACAATAAATGGATATGAAGATAAGCTGTAAATAGAGACATTATTCAAGGCTATCAATTCTATTGAGAGCTTTTCTTTTGAAGACAAAATATTATTGAAAATTACAAAATTTTAGGATTTTTAAGTAATTACAGATCCAAATGAATATAAGAAATAATACCAAAGGATATTTCTTTTATATTGTGAGCTCAACAAAATAACTACATAAATGAACGAATGTTAAATCCCATCATAAGAGCAAGAGCTAATACACTAAAAGATAAAAATTTAAAAGGAATTAGATACCTTAAACTTTGGATTGCTTACTAATTTTAATAAAATGGATGAAGTTAAAATTGTTTTTTAACAAGTTTTTAGTTAAAACTCTATTATATAAGATTAAGATTAAAATATGTTAAAAAACAACATTCAAAGACACTTTTTAATATTGTATTAATGGAATTCTTACTCATTCCAACAGGAACCCTCAAATGAAAATATTTTACTCTCAAGAAAACAGCTTCACTTTTGGAATTTAGTTTATCATCTTTAACCAGTTATTGATATCTAATAACACAGGTAGACTTTGGAAGATCTAGCCAAATTAAAAGTGATCAAAGAGATTACTGCTTATTAGACTATTTAAAATGGGATAATTGATGCTTTTCAATACGAAGACTAAGAAAATTTAAATTTGACCATTTAGTAATTTTTTGAAGCCATGGATAAAATTATTGGAGTTGGGGGAGAAGGGTTTAGAAATATGACATACTTCAGTTATAACTCTAAGTTATTAATAACTTCCTTCAAAGCTATAAAAGAGGTCAATAAAATTTTACTTGCTTTAAATGTAGTTGCATCACTTGCCAGTATTGGATTTGACTTTTCTTCTTATTAAAAGAAATACATTTGCTCTTAATAGATGAAGATAAATACAGCCTCTAATGTTTTAAGTGGATTTCTTGGTATTGCTGCTTTTTTAATCCCTGGAGTAGGATGGATTATTGGTGGAATAGCAGCAGCAATAGGGTTAATAGGAAATTTGTTTTCTAAATTGTCCTTTACAAGCAAAAAATAGTTTGATAAAACTATTGGATTATTCTTTAAAGATTTTCTAAACGAAAAGAATATTAGATTATTGTATTTTTAAAAGGCCGATTTTTTAAAGAAGAAATATTGCATTGAATTATTTTCTCAACCGTAGCACAGCGATGCTTATAAATGTTATAGAGAGCTCGAAAATGATAATTTTATAAGCAACAAACAGATTTTATCATATATTCACAAAGGGGCATAATCTGAAAAATAACTAAAGGATAAAATATCTTAATATATATTTAAAGAATAAATAATAAATAAATTGTTCTTTTAATTTGATTAGGTTAAATCAGATTAAGTTAAAACTTAAATTTCAGAAATTGAGCAATGTATTCTTTTTAATGATTAAATTATTCTAACCTTTTTTAATCGCTTCAAAGTAGAGGATTAAAAAATATATGAGAAAATATATTCTAAAATCTACAAAAAAGAAGTTAAAAAAATTTTGAAATAAAAAAACCCTACGGATGAGTAATTAGATCACTTCAATAAATGCATGAAACAGTACTCTGATGATCTTAACAATTTTGTAGAATAAATTAAATAAATTAATAAAAGTTATGAGGAATATATTAATTTTGCTAATGGACTATTAAGAAAAGGTAACAATTTTGAAATTCTATTCAATAGCTATTGTAATTTAGCTGTAGAAAAGCAAAAATATTTATGTTAACAAAACTTAATTACAGAAATTGAGTTATCTCAACCAGATTAAAATTCCCTTGTAATTAAAAAAGAATTTCAAAATAAAAATTTTTTTAAACTAGACCAACCAATCTCAATCTAAGTTATATTAAATTAAATTTCCTTGTTGTGTAATTGCGAAACTTTCATATCTTCAAGGTATTTGTAAAAGTTCAAAGGCAGAGAAGAGCTTAATCTAAGTTTCTGTTCTTAAGAAAATAATATGGAAAATAATTTAGAAAAATCTGTAGATTTATTATCATTTTTAAAAGAAAAAACATCTGAAGAAGAATTTATGAAATGTGTTTCCAATTCATTTTAGTAAATAGATACAGCTACTAACACAAGAATATCATCCTTCTATAGAGCCTATTATTCTATATAAACAATATTCAATTAAATAAATTAGAAAGAATGAAAACCAGATCAAGTAGAATAAAATAAAATGATAGCATAGACAGACAGATAGATAGATAGACTAATTACTATTAAATTAATTTAATTTTTATCATAAATCTTTGTTTTAAGATTTTTCAATTTGAATGTGTAATTTCAAATATTAAATTTAATATTGATAATAGATTTAAATAATTTACAAATTCTTTGAGAAAAAATATTTAAAATTTTGTTTGTTAGAAAAATGTGTGGGATTAAAATTAAAAAATTTGTTAAAAATGTTTTTAAAAGGACTGAAAAATAAAGCTCTACAAGTTAAATACTTGGAAGGCGAAAAATTAGCAGCCTATTGACCTTAATAAGCTCCGATTATAAATTCTCTTACTTGAAAGCAAAAAAACTATCTAGTCAATTTCTCTTTTTGAATAAAAAATAAATTTTAAAAGCTAAAAAAGTAGGCAATGAAATATATTTTTGTTAAGTTATAATTGTAATAATATCAGGAAAAGTGAAAAAAAATATTTTGAATATTATAAATATGATTAAAGTATTTTAAGTAATTACTTTAAGTTATCTGTTTATTACTCCATAGTAATTTTTATACCACATTATCAAAATAAATAGAGGAGTTTAAAAAAAAGCTTTTGAATTAAAATATTAAGAAAATTAGAGTATGAATCCAACGAAAAATAAGCAAAAAAAGGACTAAAATAGATAAAAAATAAAAAGTAGATTAAAAGCTCTTTTAAAATTATTCTGTTTTTAATTTTTAATAAGAAAATACAAAGATATATAAATACATAAATAAATAGATGCTTTGTTTTGTTAATGATTATTGATTGATCATTTTATGTCAATAATTGCTAAAAAAAGCTAATATATTTATTAATTAGGTGTTTTTTTAAATAAAAAGAGAAATACCTAATCATAAATATTATTAAATTCCCCATTCATAATAATTTACTAAATCAAATCAGACTTTTTAAAACTAATTATCATTGTTTTTCTACCACATATATGTTTTGTTTAAATTTTGTATTTTTCCCTTCTCTGTTTAGTTACAAAAAATAGATAGCTTGTTTACTACAGTTTGTCAATTAAACGAATTATCTTAAATTTTCAGAATCAATTTATAAAGAAAATGCTGATATATTTAGTGCAAATTTTTAAAGAAGTATTTAGGTTTCTTTAAAAATATGGCTAGCTGGATATTTAAAATAATCTACTAGCCAATAATAATATCAAATATTAGATAACCATTTATTTATTTTTATTTAAAAAAAAAAATAATAATTTAGAGACAGACATAATTATAATTAAAGCAATAAAAGATATTAATTAATATATATATAATATAAAAATTCAAAAAAGTGTAACATTGTTAACACTAATTACTTTCATAAGATATATACAATAAAAAATTAGATAACTGACTAGAATTTAAAAATTCTTAAACTTAAATAGTGTCCTAGCTTTTTTAATTTAATCGTTTGTAATTAAATTAATAAAATAATAAGGATTTTATATTTTAACAAATTATATCCTATTATATTTATATTTCATAATTACTTTAGATTAATTAAAAATCAAAACTTTTTGATGGTTAAAGAATATCAATACCACAGAAAAATGATTCAAAGAAATTTGTTAAATTCTTATTTATTTATTGAAAAACTTACATAATTTTCAGCTATATTAATTATTTGTTAACTTAATCTATAATATGAGTTGAAGGATTTTAAATTTGCATAGAGTATTTTTCCTCTAGAAATATTTTAGTAAATTTTTCATCTTAAAAAATATTTTGATAATTAAATATAATCCAAATTATTAAATTTTAAGTATTATTTAATAATTTTTATTTAGCGTCATCAATATATTTGCTATTCTAATAAAGTATCATTGCATATATTGATTCATTTAATTAGTCACCTTACTTCTAATCAATTATAAAAAAACTATTTAAATAAATAAATATTTTCGAATCTAATATATACACTTGATTAGTAAGTAGAAAGTTCATTATTTAGGGATAATTCATTAAAAATGTCAGAATGTATCTTAAAAAATTTCAGTCTACGTGAACTTAATGAGCTAGAAAGAAGGGTTTTTAAAGATAGTGTTAAAATAAGAATTTTGCTTGGACATACTGGAAGCGGTAAAAGTAGCTTAGTAAAGAGAATTACTAATTAAGATGAAATTTTAGTCAGCGGTGGGAGAGATTTATGCACGTAAAAATGTAATATTTACATAAAAGATGAAATTAAGTACATTGACACCCCTGGCTTTAATGATACATAAAGGAATAGAGAAGAAGCAATATTTGAAATTGTTAAATTCCTGTTTACTAAAGATATCAAAATATAATAATTATTTTTCGTTTATTTATCAAATAAATAGCTTAAGACTTAACAAAATGATATCAATGAATTAGTCTACACTTACTTCTTATATGAATTATTTGGAGATTTGATAAGCAATCCAATCACTCTAAAGAGGCTTATTACTGAATTCTTGAACAGTGATAACTTTTTGAAATGGGTTTAGTGCAAATACCATACTTGTCAAGATAAATACAGTGACTTTAGAATTCAAATTTACAAAGAAAAAGATAAAGCATTAAATTATATTCAATATGCCAATAGTTATCATATTTTTGTTTTAACTCATTTTGATAAATAACCAAGTTTTAGTTTTAGAAAGCGCAACGAATACATGCTAGATTCTCTAAGATAGTAAATTTGGTCAAACATTACAGATTCTGAAATTTATAAACTCTTTAAATATGTAGAGGACATACAAAATCAACAAAAAAGTTTATATGAAAAAATTCTTAGAATTGTAGATCTTGCCTAAAGCTGTTTTTTATATGATAATAAATAAAATGTACAAAATATTATTCTTATAGGTGAGTCTTAAGTAGGTAAATCTTCTTTGATAGAATAACTAACCAAATATAAAGGACTTGTAGGGGATTCTATCAATTCTAAATCTAGATTTTGCGAAATATTCCCAGTTATATATAATAATGTCAGATACAACTTTATTGATACTCCAGGATATGGAGGAACTGATAGCAGAAGCAGCTACTTAGATAATTTTAAATAAATAGCTGACTTTCTTAGAAGGAATAAAATATTAGAATTCAAAATTTTATTTGTTAGAAATGCAGAAATATAATGTAGAGATAACACTGATTAAATTGTAAAACAATTTCTTCTTTTTATTTCAGAGCTATTTGACTAGGAAGTTACTTTAGTAGACTCAGATATGCTAGATGACATCCTTACATTAGGCTTAAATAATGATTTAAACCAAAAAAATATTAGATATGTCAAGAGTAAAATGATTTAAGTTGAGAGATTGACAGATAAAGATCGAAGAGGCGGTATCTATTTCAATAATTTTGAATTAAAGAGCGTTGAATTTAAGTGCAACTATATGTATGAGGGAGAACTCTAAAAAATAGATGAGTAAGAAGATTAGCTACAAATATAGATATTATTCAAGGCTATCAATTCTATTGATAGCTTTTCTGTCGAAGATAAAATTTAGTTGAAAATAACAAAATTTTAAGATTTCTAAATAATTACCGATCCAAATGAATATAAGAAGTAATACTAAAGGATACTTATTTTATA